ACAAATGTATTGGAATAAAAAGGTAATACAATTTTACTAACCACATAAGAAATATACCTATAAATAGGAGATCAAATCAATATACCCCAATATGTAAACCAAAGTTACATGAGGGTTCTTTTTATAATTTTTTGGTCAATTTGTTTTTTTGGTGCATGGATAGAACCGACATTTTAGAAGTATAACATTGCGTTTTTATATCTTTATAATCATTTCTTTTTAAAATACTCTAACCCACAATTAATAACATTTTGACACTAGCCCAAAAAACTGTTTAGATTAAATTTCATCAGCAGATTTGATCAATCAAACTACCATACAAGATCAAATGCAATTTTCTTAAAGGGTATCACAAAAGGCAGACTCAATGGCAGCGATTTCATCGATGGCTCTCCAAAGCGTAGGCGATAATTTATTTAACAATGTGTGGCATGCGTTTTTCTGGGGAGCCCCAGTCGAAGCCTTTGTCCATTGAAATGTAAACGCCATTGGGATGTGTTGGCCTGGCCAGCTGCGAGCTGTGAGCTGGCTGGGAAACATTTGTAGCCCCGGGGCTAGAACAAAGGAGAGAATCGTTTTTATCTGCCACAGCATTCACTCCTTTATTTGCCAAGTGCAAATTGCAAAATGATATTAGAGGGGTGGATTCGCCGCTGCACCAAGGGAGTTGGACCCCCCATTTGGGAAAAAGTGGCACGATGGCCAGGGTGAAAGTGGAAAGTGGAAAGTGCGTCCGGCACCAGTCAAGCCGAGCAGCTCGTCCGTAATGAGCACGAACAAAATTAATGTGATTTGTGTCGAAGGGTGCAACGACTGTATTATCGAGCAGGATTACAGGAATATAGGAATAGGAATACAGGAAGCCCGATGATGCTGGTATTGTGGCTGGCAGCAGATTTCTATTTGCACTTGTAATTGGCGCGTTGGTGCTGGTCCGGGTGAGCAATCCCAATCCGTAAGCCCTGACACTCCCCCCGATTTCACTGCACAGTCATCGACTTTAATGAATAATTGAGCACACAACTCCCCAAAAATAAAAGTGAATAATGTTTGATACGTGAAAATTTTCACATTTTATTGCTATATTCGGTTGTGGGTAAACACGGCGTCCCATTTTATCAAATTAAATCAATTTCCCGGGTTTTGTGAATAAATATTTTATCACGAACAATTATTTTAAAAATATTGTGCATAAAATTGAATTTTCATTGATTGGATTTATGCTGTCTATGAAACTCAATATTTTCTCATTGATTTTTCCATTTTATTTTAGTTGCTTTTGAAGAAGTGAAAATTATACATCTTTGCAATAAACACAGAAATAAAATAATATTGTATATACAAATAGACTACTGGAAATTACAAATACTAAACTTCTATTCTTCACATTTCACATTTTTTATAACAAAAATTAAACTTTCCACTTGCCCATTATAAATGGCTGTTGTCCATCATCATCTTCCATTTAAAACACATAATGAAGATGATAAATACGTTATTGAAATGACCACAGCACTTGACCGTAACAACTTGTCCCAAACAAAATGCATTATAATGATTTATGGACGCGAGTCCCTGACCAAAAATCAACCCTCTAGACAAATTAACAAGGATATATGATGATGATGATGCCTTTCTCCAAAACACACACACCCACACCCACCCAAAAACAAAGGCTGTCAAAGCCACAAAGAGACACTCGACCCAAGCAGATGCCCCAAGGTGTTTTCCCGACCAAGTTTAAACAAAAATTAAAACACCTACCCTCCCGCATTCGATGTCCACGACCTCCCAGCCCCTTTTCCTTGTTCTGAACTTGAAGCTAATCAAAAATGTTTCACAAAAGAGCGAGAGGAAGGAAAAGGAAAGGGCCACGCTTACATCGAAATCTTTATACCCTTTCTTTGATATTTAAATATTATTCTGAAATTCTATTTTTAAGCAAAGTATCATGATATTTAAAATATTTTTTATATTCATTTTATATGAAAGGTTTTTAAGCCCATAAATTAAATGTAAAACAAAATATTTTCTGTTTTTCCAAAAATGAGAAGGTTGTATTTACAGGTAGGTACTGATTTTTAAAAGTTTAAGTCCACTTTTGTTCTCTGCATGGTAAACTCACTTTTCAAACTACTTTTGACTTACCATGAAGACGAGAAAATAAACCTTAAGACCTCAAATAAAATAGACATTTTCCTCGTTGACCAACTAAGTCATGCTACCCGATTCAAAGCTAAAAAAAACTCCAAACTTGTGTTAAGCGAAAGTGCAAAAGTTGTTCAAGGAGTTTTTTCTGCTCAAACAACAACCACCGAAAAAAATCATAAAAAAAATTCCCAACTTGGATGGATACTTTCTTGTTGTAGTGGCAAGTAAGCCAACATTGTTGCCATGATTAGCATTTTATCAGCAGATCCTTTGCCTCATCATGCCGTGTCTTAGGACAAACACTTGGGCATCTTTATGGTAATTTAGTTTTTGCTAAGATGCGACAACAGCTGACAATGTTTCAGGAATTTCGCCCCCACCAAAATAAGATCACGAAAAACCCGAGCTCACTCCCTTAAAGTTGACTGGTAGGCAAGTAATACTTGCCACATGAGGAAGCTGCGTGTCACATAATCAAAATTGAGCAGAAAACAAAACCTGCAGGGTGCTTTTTATGTTTTTATGTGCGGATCCCATTAATTTATTGCCAGAGACATTGAGACACCTCCAGCCGAACAAAAGGCGACATTATTATTTCATTATTATGCCAAACGCATCAGGATCTCGCCCCCCCAAACTCAATGCACGTGGGCCGTCTCATATTACACGCGGTGGATTCAATGGAGGATTCGGAGGATGGGAGGTCGGAATGGAGGCCTTTGGAGGCCTTTAGAGGTGGCAGATGATTCATGCGCTGGCAAATTTTTTGACGCCCGCCACATAAATAAAACAGGCAGCCCGGGGGGCCCAGACATATGTTTGGATAGTCCCCGGGTCAAAGGGCCCAGGTCAGAGGCTGTAATATTTACTCGTAAATATTTTTATAGGCACTAAGGTTTCCGCTACAGATGAACAAAGCGCCAAGAGTCCACAAAAACAGGTGCTCTATAAAATTAAATTAAATATTTCTTACGAAAACCAAACTTATCTCTCTTTATTTAGGAAATCATGGTAAGTGCAAGTAACTTATTTTCTGCCCTATTGTCGTTATAAGGATTTTAAGTAAATTAAAACTTGGCCCTAGATTTGTTTTTCTGTAATATTTTCTTCACAAATGAGGATTGTATTTCTAGGTTTAAATATATGGTACGCTAAATTCGTTAAATTAATATATGTAAATATTTATTAATGAAGTTGAAATCAGGAGCATGGTAATACAAAGGGTTATAGCCACCGGATTGGACCCACAGACTTCTAGGAACCCCAAGCGTAAACGTATTTTACATTAAACAGGTGACTTGTTTCTTCTTAGGAACAGCTTCAAAAATCGAAAGTTCAAGATTATTATATTAATGGTGCTGCATTTTTATTCCGTATACTAATCAAAAAATATGAACTGTTTTATATCTATTTACAAAACTAATATATTTTATCAAAAGCATTTTGCATTTCTGAGTTATTTTGTTCAAATTAGAAAAAGAAATAAATACTTCGAAATGAAATCATTCGTAAAAATCAAAATAACATAAAATGGTTTCTTATTTTTTCAATTTCGAAAAGAGTTTGTAATTCAAGGATGAGCTTTTTATTCATTGAAATAAGGAAGAAAAAAACGTTGGGATTATACTTTAAAATTTGGAATGGTATAAAAACGTTGCACTCGTTCATGCAGCAAAAACTGACTGGCAGCTTCCAAACAATTTCCCTATAAGGATAAAAGTTCGTTATTCCGTTTGACTGCTTTATTTTCAATAAGCCCACATCATCTTCTCCTCTGCCAATTTGTTCAATAAATTTCCAATTTGCCAAAATCAACAGTGTTAAATACCTTCCACCAACCAACACATCAACCCACCTTTTTTCACAACGAACTTTTGACTCCTGCTGCTAATCCTTTTGTGCGTGCGCGTGTGTGTAAACCATTTAGCGCCAATTAAAACATAATTGCGGCATTCGCGGATAGCAATCGGGCACTAAATCATTCTCGGGCCTCTTCGTCCTTTTCCATTTTGGCAGGACGAAAATTGCGGCACATAAACGTTGAGAAACCACAACAAATGGCAAAAAGCGCGGGCGAAAACGCGTAAACACTTGGGCGCCATTCACCGTTTAATGGCTTCAATTCAATCTGAGGCGCACTTTAATCTTATTGCACTTGAAACGTTGATTAAAAACACAGAGCCACCGATACCCACACACGGCTCCACATTTTGTTTTAAGGACGTATTTCCGACGAGAGATTTTGGCTGGAAATCTCGAGCGCAGAAACCACCCGCTTAAACCACCACACACCGCCGGTTAAGAGCACTAACTGTTATTCCTAAGCGCTCCTTTTGGGGAGTTCACCCTCAGGGTGGTGAGTTCCAATCAGCTGATTTTGGGGTAGAACCATAATACCGGAAATGAGGGTGGAAAACTTTTAAAATTGCCGGGCTTTTCACTGGCGTATACAGGAATTTACATAAAAAAGCACTAGAGGTATTCCGTATGATTAAGACCTTTAACCATTGAAATAATAAAAACATCAATCTTACAAGTGTAACTTGATTGGAGCTTAAAACTAAGAAATCAAATTACTCTGTTAGTCTTTCCCAGTTACCTTCATATAAGTATTCTCGGATCAAGTTCGGATCTACAACATTATCCAATAACTGTCGTTGGAACCATTTCGCTGAATTTTTATTGCAAAAGTTATGAGTGACAAAAACTAGATAATCTTCAGAGTTTTTAATTAAACTTTTCAGATTTAAATAAAGTATGCGTTATTTTAACAGCCAGTATTCATCGCATCCAATCCCACCTCTATGTGGGTATGATGGTATTTCTGCAATGTTATATTTTGGCACACCCGAAACGGTCACACTGCGCGTCTATCACATTTTTGGTCGAATCGAATTGCATTGACTTCAATTGTTTTACGTATTTGCCGAATAAATCAAAATGCCAGCGGTTGTGCGTATAAAGCGGCGCATCGACGAGGAACCCCACACAGCATTTGTGCTAAATGGCAAGCGGAGGCGCCTCCAAAACGATGAGAATGCTCTGGATGATGCGGGGGAGGTGGCGGGAGCGGTGGCATCAGACAAAGACGAGCTGACCACCGTGCTCAAGTTTGCCGGCACGCTGGAAAAGCAGGTGAGAAATCCGGACTCATGATACTTCAAATAGCCCAATAATTTGTATGGATTCCAATGGATCCAAACACAAAAGTTGAGATATTCCTAAACATTTGATATAGTGTGTTGAGTTTGCTGTTCTTATGTTTAAAACTTAAAAAAATTGGCATATCAACTAAAGTATTCTGTAGTAGACCGAATTAAATAGAACTTCTTAACATAATTATTTCCAAACCCTTCCTAAATCAATAAATTATGTAGTTCAAAGAACTTATCTTTATAAAAATAATAAATTAAAGTAAGCAATATCAGGAAAGTTGGCACCATTTTAAAAACATTTTTTACCTGGAATGAGTTTGTTGCTATACTCGACTACCTTTTCAGTTCAATTAAATTATCTTTAGCCCAAACCAAACTCTGATAAAAGCAATATAGAGTCAATAAATTCTTATCTTTAAAATCGATGAATAAAGTTTAGGAACTTGTCAGCCGTATTCTTTATTTTATCGATCATATTGAGTAAACCTTTGCCCTTTGTCATGAATGAATTGCAAGGAAATAGAAGGAATTATATGAAGTCCATATTTCAGTTGGCTAATTTGCATTTAAATTCTCTCCCCAGGATGACTGTGCCACTCGACAATTCGCGGCTGCCAGACTGAACAAAACCACGGCCCGTGAGTTGGTGCAGCAGCAGCGATCCAATGATGCAGCCATCGCAAGTGCCCTGCGGCGGGATCGGCAGCGCCAGGAGGCTCAGCAATACGCCCGAGAGCAGCGTTTCCGGGTGGTGAACTGTCTACGCAGTACTCTCGAGGATAATGCCAGTGAATCTGAATTCTCGGAGAACCAGAACGAGGAACCCCAGCCCAGCAAACGTCACATAACCATTGTGGACATTGAATCGCAACAGCAGCAACAGCAAACGGGATCAGAGAATCCAGCAGTTCAAAATCAGCAACAGATTATAGAGCCCACCCATGATCAGCAACAGCCCGCCGATTCCGATGTGGGTTATGTTTACGATCTATATGTTCCCGAGAACGAGATGCAGGCGGCCTATGTCGATATGATGGATGACAACTATCTAAGGTTTGTCATACATATTGAGCCACAGAAAACGTTGAGCCTTACCAATTACTATATGTAACCGATTACTATATATCCATAAATATGGCATACATATAAGTAAGCGGTGTGTTTGTGTGTCGGTGCTAGCGTATCTGTGTGGGTGTGCGTGTGTCTGTATTCCTAGTCCTCGGGCCAAGTCTCATTTTCATATTACCCCCTACCATATAGACATAATTGCAATCACTGATTATAGCTCAATAATACAATTCGTTCTCCATAAGGTTGTATTATCCGTTTAATTACTACAACAACTGCTACTGGTAAACATGACAAAAACAAAGAGAGAGAGAGAGAGAGACAAAGCCCAGGCAATTAAGAAGTGTGATGACACCCTACACTTCACCCACGACAATAAAAAAAGGACTGCAACTGGCTACTCACATCACAAATAGTTCATTTATATCAGCATCTGACAAATGCCTAAACACTACCCAATGAATGGTTTGATTTTATGAGGTTAACGAGGCATGAACTAAAAACCATTTCAATCGACATTTCTATTAGAAAATCTGAAAAGTACATTTTAATCTGTTAACAAAACTGTGTTTGTGAGATTCTGTACAATTTTAATAAAAGTGTGTTATCCCATATTCCAATTTAAAAATATGTTATAATAAACAAAAAAGAATTTATTTAAATAATGTATCATAAATAAGTAAAGTTTTTATAATTCCTTCTTGCCAAAGTCTTAATAAAAATTTATATTATTAAGTTTTCTATTAAATTTTAATTTTAAATAGTAATAGTTTTCATTACTACTTGTTCCATAGTTCGGGTTCGAGTTTTAGGCAAATGTCTCATTACCATAAGCTTCTAGATTTAATTAGCTATTAGATTAGTATGACTTAGTTACACACGCACACAAACACACGCCGCATATTCTATCACTGTTATCACCGAGTATTTTTCATTAATTTTTTGCCAGTTGTCAGTTGTATTTTTTGTTCTTTTTTCCATTCCGAAAAAAACAGAAAACAAAAGTGCTGAAGTCTAATTAAGTGCATAGTTTTAATTTAGTTTGCCTAATTTTTGTTGGGGTCTAGCGTTGCCCAAAATCGAAAATAACTGAATAAAGAAATCGACTAAATACATGACAAACTTAGCTGTGTTTCAATTTCAAAGTGCTACTCGATAACAGCTCCGAAATAAACCCATTAATTATTTCGCTTATTCCGCAGAGTGATTCCAGTGGGTGAGATTGTGCTGGAGGATTGCTACAACGACCAGGATGAGGAATACGATTCGGAGGATTCAAATCAGGAGAATTACTTTACCAATGATTACCCTGACGACGAGGAACCGGGCGCCATGGGATCCGATGAGGAATTGTGCCGGCAAATGAACAAGTTTATGCTCGGTAAGCAAGGGGTAAATAGTATTTTTTCATATTTCATTGAGCTAATGAATGGATCGTACTTTCAGATGACGACGAGGATGAGTTTGCCACCACCAGCGATGATGAAGACTATGCCACCTACCAAGATCCCTATGTCCACACGATTGACACTCAAGAGGACTCATTTGTGGACGATGTGGACTTTTACAATGCGGAGCGGGAAAGAGGCAGCGCCTATGAACGTTATAAGAGAAGGATTCTAAAAGAGTTAGAGGGTCAGGATGACGATGAGAATGATGATAGTGACTCATTTGCGAGCGCTGATGGTGAATGAATGATAGCAAAACCATTATACCAATTGAGAAATTAAATTTCTTACCTTTTAAGTGTCAGTTTTAAAAGAAAAAATTATATATATTTTAACATTACGGAAAATAAATTATAAGCTTAACTTACAATTGAAACAAAAAGTCGCCTAAAAAAAGTAATTTATTCGGCTTAAAAAACTAATTAATTTTGGATATTCATTTAGAAAAGCCATATAGCTAGCCACAACCGATCCCAAGTATTAGTCGAAGTATATTTTGATAAATTGTTTTATTTTCTAATGCTAATCTATTAGAAGTTTGTCGTTCATTATCTATACTTCTTCATGTCTTTTGTTTTCTCAGTCTTTATGTGTTGAATTTGAGGTTTCGGCGCACATCCTTCCATATAAAGTCGAAGAGTCTCCTCATCCATCTTTTCATTTTCCTTGGGGGGCTTATAGTCCGCCACATGGTCCACCCGTAGTGTTCTGTCAATGATTTTGATGCCATTTAGATTGTCAACGGCTAGAACTGTAGATCTTTGATCCTCGTAGCACAGGAAACAGAAGCCCTAATATGACAAGACATTACTATTATGTTATCCATTATGTATACTAATAAATTACCTTCGACTTTCCCGTTTTGGAGTCACGAATCAGGTTAATGTTGACCACCTCTCCGTACTGGGAAAACACACAGATCAAATCTCCCTCGGAAAGAGTATACGGAAATCCAGCGACGAATATCCAGGCTGAATCCCGGTACATATCATGCCAGCTCTTTTTTCCTCCATGTTGCAGCTCGTGTTCGCTCAGCTTAAGCACATTCTTCATATTTGTCAATGGATTCATTTCGAAAGCAAATTAAATTTATTTTTTTGTTTATATTTTGGTGGTAATATGACCGCTCGAAGTTTATTGAAAAACACCTTTGGAAGGGAATAGATTTTACTACTGCTTAGGTGTCATCGATAGTTTCATGGGCTGCAAACTACGGTCACATATAATAATCGCTGCCAAAAGAAGTTTATCGACTTCGCTCAATCGATATTACCTATCATTCTTCCACCTCCAGCAAGTAGTAGATATCGATACTCGTTCTCTGCTGAGCCGCACATTTGTTGTCGCGTTGTAAAAGGCTGCGGAACCCAGTTATTTGTGCAGTAGGGACAGTGAAAAATGTTGTAATATTACCACGATAGCACGGCCAGTGATCTGTTCGAAAATAAGGTGTGTACGAATGCGAAAATTTGGATTACATAGCCTCCCGTCTGACTGTGTGCGACTGTGCGTGTGTATGTCCGGGTGTATGTTCGTGTGCGTGCGAAAGAAAAAAGATATGCTGAAAAAAAGTATCTCTTCTCTATTTAAAAATGTGTGTCAGTGTATTGAGCGGCAGCAACAAAAATAATAAATAATAGCTGCCGCTGCTGCTACTGCTTGCTGAAAAGACCAGAAAAACCGTTTGGCGTCTTTGGGTCTTTTAATTGTGCCAAAGCCATTGTTTTATCATTTTTCCCATCATCATTTGAGACGCGTTCTGTGCCGAATAACAGCGAATAACGCCCCGTCTTTTTTTCTTTTTGTCTTTATTTTTGCGAAGGAAGCTGAGTGTTATTCCCTCTCTGTCTGGCACACGCAACTATGCCTGCGCCTTGCTATTTGAATAGTTGGTATGTAAAAGACATAAGTGCGATATGTCCGTTCCACACTAGATTTTTGTCACCCTGTGCCAGCCGCTCACACCAACACACATACACTCTCACCTGAGACAACTCCACCATATGTCTGTCTGTCTGTCTATCTGTCTGTTTTTCCTTAACACATTCACATTCCACCCCATTGGCAATGCCTCTCTTTCGTACAGCTGCAGTCAAAATAGTAGTAAAGGGCCTTCCGTAAACGTATCTTGTTTTTAAGGTCCTTGGTAATGGGAGAAGAGCGAACAAAAGCATTCCTTCAAAGCTGTTTTTTTGTCTTACTACTTCAACCCCAGGGAACCTGAGTTTTGAACCCTTTGTAACACCTTTAGAAACTTTACTATGATGTTAATAATAATATATAATAATATAATAATAATAAGAATATTAGGAGAATACAGAAACAAAACCATTCCTTCAAATCTATTCTCTTTTGTTTGAACCCTTTGTAATACCTTTAGAAATATTAATATTGAAAGTCAACTAAGATAGCTTCATTTTGTTTCACTGCTCATTCTTATTACTTTAAGTGTACCAAATAAAATAATGGCTCCCAGTGAATATTATAAAAATAAATTCCTTTAAAGCAACTTTCAACCCTATAGGGAATATGTAAAATTCCTTAAAATCGACTTTCAACCCTATAGGGAATTCCCAACCACTTTTGTTTTGTCCGTTTTGGTATTACGTTTCACTTTTGATTAACTTATAGTGTACATTCGCAAGCAATAAGATTTCTTTTATATATTTTCCAATATGTGTTTACATATTTTAACCCAGAGCTATGATAATAAATCTAAGAATTTTCTGTTCGGAAACTAATCTAGTTGATGATGTTGCAGATATATTAAAATGTGATTAAATATATTTCGGAAATCAGATTATATTACTGACCACTACTGTGTGGGCTGTTTGTCTTTTTGTTTTTGTCCACGCAAAAAGGAGGAAATATGTATTTTTCTTTGCTTGTTTTTAATGTTTAGGTGTGGTCGTGCTTTAGTTGCGGGCTTACACATATCCAGTTGTATATATTTTTTTAAGCGGAAGCGGTCGTAAAAAGTTTTCGTGGCGGTGCCCACACAGTTGACATTGAACTCTCGCCAGTGTCTCTGGATATCTCCCTCTCTCCTGCTCCTGGCCCAAAACCCCCTCCCCTTCCTACCACCCTGCTTACTGACTGATATTTTGGCCTGCTCTGTTACTTTCCAAAAAACCCAACTCCTGGCCTTTCATTTTTTTCGCTTGCCGGCCACATTTACTTTTCTTCATACCCTTTTGCAAAGTTAAAAGTTTTTGTGAAAGGAGAGTAGTGTGCGCTAAAACAATAAAGTGTTAAGGTGGGAGAGAAAATCAGTTAACATATATTTTTAGCTAATTGTTAAAGGGGATTTTATAAAAGCTTTTCTATTATTGTTTTACACCTCATACGAAAAGTCTAGTTCATCCAGCTTTATATCAACGCAATTTAGTAAGAGGATAAATTTAGTTACAGCTGTAGCTAAAATGTTAGAATAAAAAGAAATTTATTTTAATGTATTTCTTATTTTACCATAATTTTTAAGTTTTTAAGATGAAGATTGTAGGGAGTGAGACTTAGTTTATTTAAGAATTTTTAGATTAAATCATTTCTTTAAGTTCCTTAAAAATGTATGGTAATATTAGACGAGAGACTCTTATCTCTCTTTAAAGAATACCCATCTTAAATCTCCGCCCATCCTTATATTCCACCCACAATTTGAATTATATATATTCTATGAGAGCATTTTGGGTTCATGTTGGTTGACTCATTTTAGCTGTTGTATGCGGGGGCCTGTGCGGGCAAGCTTTCTCGTTATTATTATTACGAGATATGTACAGATATGTACTGGTGCGCCGTACATATGTACGGCTCCTACTGCGGTTATTATGTGGCTCACGTCTCTGGGAAAGATTCGCGCCGCGACTGCGCACGATTATGGCACATTTCGAGTGACGAGAGCAAAGTTGACTGCTCTGCGACCGCCTGTTGCAGAAAACGTGTCAAGTTGGCCAGATACATCTACTATATGTTTATTTGTTGCCTTTTTTTCTGTTCGACTATGGCTATATGTGCAAGAGCATAACCGAGCTAGCTGCCCCGGCGAGAGCCCGATTTCGAGTTCGATTAATTTCGTTGCGCCTCGGTAGCTGTGCACTCAACTCAAACATCCGCTCAAACGGACGGCGAGCTCACACTAATTCCGATGGGGAACGTTTAACTCGCAGCCGTCCAACCCATTGCACACTGCCCACATCTGCCAGGCCCAGTCCCCGTCCCCCGGATTCCCTTCCCATCGGCATACCTTCGAAGAAACCCTTTTTATCTACGAGGGTTGCGTTTACTCGGCTGACAACATCTGGGAGGGGACTTTACCAATTTACACTACAATGCATTGTATTGACTCACTGAAATATGTAAAGCGAGCCTTATTGTATCGGATTTGTTTGATTTTGTAATATCTTTAACTCGAACTTTTGCAATACAAGTTTGATAACTTAGAAGTTATGTTACAGCAGCTGCATATATACACTCTGTTTGAACTACGTGATTATAAAATGTTCTTTGAATCACTAATTGTGGTAAATAGCTTTATATCTAAGGGGCCTATATTACGTGATTATATATAACCAACCCCATATAATCATTTCGCTGCAGATATCAAAAACAAAGTATGTAGGAGTAAAGACGTCCTACTATTAATGCTGTCAATTGTTTGCCTTTTATAAAATATGGTTGCAGAAAGAACATGATTTTAAAAATGTAATCTTAAGTTTTTAATTAATTTAACATTTAATTTGCCCTATAACAACTATGTAGAAAATTGTAACCTGCTTACAATAGCAGAAACATAAAACATTTCAAAGAAACTGGCAACAGAAAATTCGCTGCTTTACACATTTTACCTTGTATCTTATTGCTGTTTACACCTGTTCATGCCGACGCCGCCGCCGTCGACGTTTTTTATTTGCATTTTGTTTTTGTTTACATTTATGTAAAAAATTCTTTTTTATTTGGCGACGGACACACCCCCCACCGTTTGCGGCTATATATGTGGGGGAAATGCCAAACCCACATACGGAGTATAAGAATTTTTGGGTTGGCGGGCTTTTGTTGCCGCTGCTGATGTTTCATATGCGTATCAAATAATTGAGCTCAATTGATTTCAATTAAAACTGACAAGTCGCTGAGACTTTTGTTGTTGCTGCTGTTATGGTTGTTAGTGCTAAGTCAGATGAAACAAAAACCATCAAAATGCTTGAAATGTGTGGTCTCTGTTTTCTTGATCAGATGAGTCGAATATGAAATGCGCTAAGAATTATTTACTTCATCAGCCAATGAAAGACACCTGTAGAAAATATAAGAACTAAGGAAAAACGAATGCTTAATCTTATATTGACATGCATTATTCAAATAATGAGTGTGTTTTTCCATCGCTTGATATAGTATATCAAATATTGTGTATATTTGATCACTTGATTCTGAGTTTCATTTACATGTTTTTGTTTGAGTGTGAACATGACCTGCTGATAAGAATTCAGCAATCATTAAAATTATGAGTGATTGCTAGAATTGTATTTTTTGATAAGAATATTTTGGTCGAATTTGGTAATTATTTTTCATTTCCATATCTTCCTAGTAATCCCAAGACTCAGATAAGAGAGAAAGTCCCATCTATCTTAGTGAGTCACCATTGTGACACAGAATCATGTTTAACAAAATATATAATTTATCCATGAATCACCTGGGGAAATAGAAGGTTAGGAATGTTGCGGTATTTGAATAATTGGAGCTCGAATAGATTCAATTGAACATATGTAATTTATTGATAGACAACTTTGCTGATTTCTAATAAGCACATGAACACTTACCTATATATATCGTAACCCAAAAAGAGAAGACACCAAATTTGGAAAACAAACTCTAAGCTTTTTCTGCCAAACGCCCCCGCGAATATTAAATACCATTACGAAGATATATTGCTCCCATTGTCAACAGACTTTCAATAACGATCGTAGAATAAATAAGGAATACATAAATAAAATAATTTTAATTGCGGTTGGTTATTTTAGATGAGCGCCTTCTATATTAATGAGACATTTCATGAATATACAAACCAGATTATTTAACATTTGTTTTTACAAGTAATATCTTGAAAACGGGAGCTGGTTTTATTCGCCTTATTTTTAGAATATCAAAAGCAAAAGCAATTCGAACGAATTGCTGTCCATCGAAACTATTTTTCGCTTCACTACAGGAATAGATATTTAAGAATAGCTCTTTGAAATACCAAATTCCTATAAAGGATTTTGCAGCCAAGCGATGATCAACCCTTAAACTGTGGAAACAGCCTTATACGCTCCACAATTCGTAGAGCACCTATTGTTTATTAATACGAACAAGTTTCATATGGAGGGTGATATTTTGTGTAGTTTTTCGCATTTGTTTATGAATTTCAACGCTTGTGCCAATTGCCCCCGTTTGTTATTGCCGTTTGTCTTATTGAAATTCAACACTTTATTTAACAATTCATATGCACGGCCACTCAGTCGGTCGCGCTCGGACAGAAATGAATAATAATTAAATTATATTGCTTCTGTCTGTGTCTCTGACTCTCGTCTGACGTTTGTTTCTAAATATTTGGCCAATGCGCTTTCTTCCAGCAGCTGCTTCGCATATTTGTTAATGTGATTTTTATTGTACGAATTTTTTTATTTTTTTTTTTTGCTTTTGTTTATTTTTTGAAAATTTGGCATGCCGGCGCCACGAGCCTAAGACAACCTAAAGAAAAAATATTTGGATATGGCCGGGCGCGTGTGTTTGACTTTAGTTTTGTATACGTATATATTTTTTTGATGCGCGCAAAACTTTCACTTCCATTAAAAATATAAAGTCTGGTCGGTGGAAGTGTCGTTGTGTGTGTTTATGTGTACCTGTTTGTCGACATCGTTAAATGACATTAGGCTAGGTTTTATGGTTCGCTGGGAGAGAAGAGTTCGGGGGCAGGTGGAGCGCAGGCGAAATTCTGCACAAATGTCAAAGTAGAAAATATGCATGGGCAGCGGAATTGAACGATTTCGCTTTTCTTTTCTACCCTTTTGCTTTCCTATCTTTTTCTATATCTGATGAACTCTTTTTTTTAATGCCCTAACAATGGCATTTTAATGGCCTGTTTGTAAAGTACCTTTTAGAAATTTGCTGTTGGTACATTTTGATTGTTATGCAATCTCCCCTATAATAAAGTATTTATGTGCGAATGAGACTGAAACCGTGCATGACCAATTATCAATTGTTTTTTAAATAGCTTTCAACAATATTACATGAACCACTCTGATAAAAAAATTAAAAGTATTTTTTTTTAGTCACAATGTAATCCTAAGGTAAATTTAAATGGGCAGAGTAAGGGTATTCAAACTTCATGGATAAGATAAAGTTTTCTCTTTTCTGTGGCACCTGCTATTTTGTGTGTACTTTGCATTTGTGTGTGCTACAGTCCATAATTGTGTGAACGGAAGTTGAAAGCTCGCTCGTCAATTAAGCCGGCCATGGGAGTATAAAGTTGGTCCGACGCCCAGTTAGAAATAATAGAACGGACTTGGGCAGTCCGAACCACGACCGTTGACTAATATGCCGGTTAGACTAATTGCATTTCTCACATGCTGGGCCCACAGTTTTTATTATGAGTCAGTCGACGGTGGGGTTGTGGTATCGATTCAGGAGCACTCCCCACAAAGGGCTCTAAAAAACTCGAGTATAGATGTCTCTGGCATGTAAGCCAACCCGCCATATGAGTCAGCCAAGCGAGCCAAACTGATCAGATTTCCAAAAGCACAAGTGCCACGGCGAGCTGTCAACTGGGGTGCAGATTGATACTGCTCTGTTCAACAGATTAACGGCAGTCGGCAGCCAGCAGCATATAGCAACCGGATCAGCCTTGGGCTGCAATTTGTTCATGCTGCATAGTTTATAGGAGCACTGGCATCAATTGGCCAGTTTAATGACTTCATGTTAGCCCATTAGTCATTCTGTCTGTCTATGTGTCTGTAGTGAAATTGCTTTCATTTAACTTGGTCCCGGCTGGATATATAATTAGGTTATATAATGCGGATCCGTCAAGGCCAATTATAATGTTTTGCAGTGACAATTTCTTGTGAGTCAGGGCTAGAAACACTCATCGAACAACCACAGAAAGGGTTGTCATTGATATTTATCGGCTAACTGAATCAAATGAATATATTAATGCACTCATTAGCTATCACTTTTTTTTTTGACTCACACAATTTGGAAGCAATTTAAAAAAATATATACTTTATAAGTACTAGAACTTCTTTAAAATCTTGTATATGTTTTAAAAGAAGAGTGATAAATCAGATCAACCAGAGACTAACTTGACAAGCATTTTCTTAAGATAAGATATCTACGAATTTTTGTAAACGGATCTCTAAGATTTTCATAGAATTGTAAATGTGTTAACTATTATTTCCGTCCAAAACCTATTTCGGTTTCAAATGCTTAGGAGAATAATGGTGCTTAGATGAAAATGGTCGATAAATGCATTCTATGTCCTGTCGTGAAGTGTGATTTTCGAGACCAGCTTCCTGGCATTTCGCAAGATAAACCGTCGCGGATCTATTTAATTGTCCGTCAGCGTATCCGTCTCATTTAGATGCACACCAGCATCGTTTAGCACTTGCCTGCTGAAGTGAGTGAGCGACTGAATGGAGTGACTGACTGACTAACTGGCTGAATGAATGAATGAATGTCGAACACACGGACTGGCAGTCTCAGCAACTAGGTTTAAGCACATTATGCATGCATTTGCAGCCTCGTAAGTCTTTTATGGCCGACAACCGACATCATTCGCTGCAATTGTTCGCTCTAGAAACCAGTGAGTGAGTGACCCACTTTGGGCCATAAATTAGCACAAACAACAGCAGCCTAGACAGGCAACTTTTATTCAGCTTATTAAATACGTACATGTATGTCTAGTTAGCCTCTCGGCTCTCGGACTCACGCACTTACGATTCCAGTCTTGTCTTTTTTTTATAGATCATTGTCATGTTTAGCTTTCGGTTTCTCGCTGTGAGTCAATTGGGTCAAACCCGAGAAGTCGGCTGTTGGGGGCAAAAAAGCAGACCAAGCTGAAGTGGAAAACGGAGCCTGAAACCTGCCATTAAAAAGCCATTAACTATTGTCCAATATTAAGTTATTTCATAGCATTAAATTAGCCTCTTGCAAAGCCGATTGAAATGTTTGCTCCTCCGGTGCTCTCACACACTCCGGACATAGACAATGTTGTTTAATTGATTGGAGAAAGTGAGCTGGTCGAACCGACCGATGGGAAAATGTCTTCATTGGGTTCGATTTTGGCCAAAGTGCAATGGGCAATCAAAGAAATTGAATATGCACACAGGTTCCAACTAAACATTTATATTATGTTGTTGCTTTTCCTCATAATTGGTTTGAGATTCATATGAATTTGAAGCAATCATCATCTGCTTAATTATATATGTTAATTTTAATCTCACAATCATTTGAATTTTCAATTGCAAAATATAACAACGTTTATATTTGTAGGTCAAAGTTACCAATCATTTTACCCCGTAGCTTATATTTATAATGTTTATTAAACATTAAAATTTTCAACTGTTATTTATTCAAAAAAAGCACAAAATATTTGATTACAGGAAATATTTAATTTTTATTTATTTAATGGCCATTGTTTGAGAGATATAAAGGAAAATCCAAATAAAAATTTAAGCAATAAATCTTCGGAAATAATTTGCATTTTCAGATGTATACATCATCCAAAACAAAATCATATGGTTTGTATCTTAAGAACGTGACTATAAAGAATTCTTTGGATATTGATGATGGGAGAACAACAGATTTAACAATATGAACCTTAATTAATTCATAAGAATACGATGAGAAAGCGGTAGATTGCGGTTTATGTGGAGTATTATCTCACTCGTTTATTCAACCATTGTTGGGTAGTCGTCGATTACAAGATCATTTTGATGACATCGTTTTGATCTTTTGTTATTTGTTTTGTTCCCAGGTCTTTGACACATGGTTGTTATATTGGTTTTACCAGATTTTATATGCACACTTTACATTTCTGTCACTTTGTCGATTGCTCTTTCTTTATGTGGCTGTATTTTGAGACCGTTAGCGTTAACAATTTTTAATAGTTTTGTTGCGCTTAGGCTGCAAGTGATGGACGGCCTCACCAGGCTGGACTTTTTCCTAGGCGAGTGGAAAAACCCGTTTCCGTAGCGCTCAAATGGTTTCGCTTCGGCAAAAGTTGTCCGCTGCTGGCTTAATTTATGAAAGTTTAAGTGCTGCAGCCTGGCGGCGATTGCATTTCGTGTCGCCTGTAAATCAGAACTACCGCTAGGCATCCAGCTTCATCCACATCTCCTCCAGTGGCATCCATTTCGAATCGCAATTCGAATCCGAGTCCCATTCTCATTCCCATTCCCAATCCCATTTCGAGTCCCCCAACTGGTTTGAACTTTATAAATATTTATTGTATATATTTATGGGACCGCGGCGAGCTGAGCCATACCCCTACATGTGCCACATCCTGCCGCATGTGTGAGCCAGTGACCTTATTTATTCCCGCGCCAAGACAAGGCAAATCCACATCGCCGAGAGAGTACAGCTTTTATTTTTGCCCGAAAGTAGAACATTTTGGCCTGGCGAGACTCCAGGTCGCTTAGTTGATGAAAAGATCGCGCGTGCCATTAGAAAGTAAACGCCAATAAACGAGGCCTGAATGTTTAATTTGGCCTTTGGTTAGTTTAAATTAAACTGCACTCAATTTGGGGTGGGAATTTCTACTGAGGAATTGGATCAGACGAAAGTGAAACACTGGCTACTGTCTGGGTTCCGGATTCAAGCTCTAGATTCTGGAATTAGAACGCCAAGATTCTAAGAACAAGTAGATGAGATCTAAATAACTAGTTAGAAAGGAGTTTAAGTGTAGAGTATTTTATTTATTTTGATATTATAGGTATTTTACTTAATTTGGAGGGCTTGCTAAATAGCTTATTAATTATACAGGTAAATTTGTGGAAGAAATTTATAAATAGATGTATGCAATTTACCAACTTTAACGTTGAGTATATAAAGTTTGTGAATGGTTTATGCAAATGACATCGAAAGGCTTGAGAGCAGAATAATAATGATGCCCCTTGTGAAAAGAATAACTGTGGGAAGCCATTAAGCCTTCGCATTGTTCTTTTTGATGGGCTTAAACCTTTGAAGGCCTAAAGAATAAAGAAAATAAATGCATTGCCAACACATTTAATAAAAATTATATTCTTTCCCTTCTTTCAGATGTTGCAACTGGCGTAGAGTGATCGAGTGGCCATCATGTCGGACAAGATCAGCACATCCTTGGCAGCCCAACTGCACTCCCATGCCCTGGCATCGGCGGAAGGTGGTGCTGGAGTGAATGGTGGTGCTCCTGTGTGCCATGCCAGCACTGAGAAGGACATCCAGGCTCCCCTCCAGTTCGAAATGGATGCCCCGGCTGCTGTGATCGGCGCCCAGTTGAACTTTAAAATCGTGCCCGCCGACAGTTTGCCCGGGCTGAGCCACCAGGACATGTTCGCCTCTATGAATACATCACAAATCTCCAATGCCTCCACGGAGTCCAGCTGCAGTCCGCTTATCCAGGGCATGGTACCGCCTCCAAAACCCAGTCGACATATGGCTGTGCAGCCGCTGAATAGCGTGAGTAGTCTTAAAAATGCAGTTCAAAACCCTCGAAATTATAACTTAATCTTATTTCATATCTTTAGAAGTCCTGCCGATTTCCCAAGCTTGAAGAGTGCGCTCACTTCCACTATGAACGGGTCCAGCTGGGCCCGCTATCCGTGCAACTTTTGGATGACAAATCGGAGCACATGGGCAGTAGTATTGCCTCTCAGTCGATCGGCGGCGATCTTCCGCACAGCTCTCTGCGCAGCTTTTCCCCGGAGAGCTGCTGGTTCATCATCCGCGTGTGCCCACAGCGCTGCGAACCGTTCCTGATCAAGCGCAGTTTCGAGAATATGCAGCTTCTGGACGAGATGCTCCATCGGTGCGTGTATGATCGCAAGATAAGTGGATTGCGCAACATGGAGGAGTTGGCAGCCGAACTTCCAAGCGAGTCGGATGTGGAGTATGCGGTCGCCAAGTACCTGGAGCGTTTTTCGAAGATCGCCTCCGATTCGCTGACCTGCGGCACCATTCTCACCTGGCTGCAGTTGGACAATAAGGGGAGGCGACTTCCCTTGGCGGATGGTGAGACACAAAGGACGATCAATACCCCGGCGGTGGGTGCCGCCTACGGAGTGAGGCGTTATCAGGCACAAGCTCCCGATGAGATCAACATCGAGGTGGGCGACATGATCTCCGTGATCGATATGCCCAGTCCGGCGGAGTCGGTTTGGTGGCGCGGCAAGAAGTCCCACCTGCAGAAGTCCCTTTATGAGGTGGGCTTTTTCCCCCAATCCTGTGTGGCCACCATCGGCGATAAGGTGCCCAGGAATTTTCCAATGCCAGCTCCACTCGTCGGCCACCTGGATGCTTCCCCCACCAAGCCGGTGCTGCGTAAGCACGGCAAGCTGATCGCCTTCTTCCGCTCCTTCATACTGTCGCGACCATCTCGTCGTCGCCTAAAACAGAGCGGCATCTACCGTGAGCGCGTCTTTAACTGTGACCTGTCCGAGCACCTGCTCAACAGCGGCCAGGACATTCCCATGGTTCTCCGCTCCTGTGCGGAGTTTATCGAGAACTATGGCGTTATCGACGGCATTTACCGGCTCTCTGGCATCACCTCTAACATCCAGCGGCTGAGGCGTGCCTTTGACGAGGAGCGAGTACCGGATTTGGGTAACCCCGAGATGAAGCAGGATATCCATGCGGTCAGCTCGCTGCTCAAGATGTACTTCCGTGAGCTTCCAAATCCTTTGTGCACCTACCAGCTGTACGACAACTTTGTGGAGGCCATCCAAGTGAAGGCCGACGAGGCGGACGAGCGGCTGCGACTCATGAAGGAGACGGTCCTTAAGCTTCCACCTCCGCACTATCGGTGAGTAATATAGAAATCATCCATTTTATATGATTTTTATATTTCAATTAAATTTTAAACGAAATTCAATTGAAATTCGCATGTGTGAATGAATACTTAATTATGGTTATACACATATACACAGCTTGGAAAAAATACATCAATTTTTATCGTTTCTTTGTGATGTTTCATCATTTTAATTTACAAGTTAATTTCTTATTTGTTAAATATAATTGAATTATCATTTTCAAAAATGTAATATTTTTGTATCTTCTTTGCAGAACACTTAAATATCTGGCCGAGCACTTGTATAAGGTGTCGCAGCACCACGAGCGTACTGGAATGACGGATAAGAATCTGGCCATTGTGTGGGCACCGAATCTACTACGTTCGCCCGCCCTCGAGTCAGGGGGCGTGGCCGCCCTGCGAGGAGTGGGCGTTCAAGCGGTGGTCACAGAGTACCTGATACGGAATTGCCATAACATCTTCGATGCTCTGGAGGATCACCCGGCGCGTCAGTGCATGGTGACAAGTGCTGCTGCTGCTGCTTCCAATGCGCCGGGTGGAGAGCTACGTTTGGAGTCACTCACAGATTGCGAAAGTCTTCTGGTGGAACAGCGGGAGCAGGATCAATCTTTGGGCATGGTGGAGCGTCCGAAGAGCCTGAGCACCGGTGGAGCCAAGTTGATAAGCCTGGAAGAGGCGCAAGAACGACACTCGCGGGTCGAGGGCGGTGATCTCAAACAGTCTCTGCCTATTAGCATGCTGACGAGTGCAAGTAGCAATGCGGCCAGCAACATTGGATCTTATATCGAAGTGGGCGGTGGTCCGTCTAGTTTGCCGGATAAATACCACACCGTACTTTCGGCACCACGCAGCTGGCAAAAGCGAAAACCGGACAAGACCCCCTCCTGGAAGTCGATATTCACCCGCAGTCAGCGGCAGGGCAACCCGGATCCTGGCCAGAAAATCACGACCGATGCCAAGGATTCCGTTGCTTCCCGGGTAAGCTTTGTGCAGGCTTCGCATGCGCATGCCAGCAAGGAACTGACGAAGCACGACAAACCCAAATCTATTGAACTGCTAGAGACAACAAACAATGAACGCGATCCGAAACCGATGGATCTGTGCATACGCTCCAATTCGATTGATAGCCTACGCACGGTGGGACATTCGAGGAGCGTTTCGCATGACTCCTACTTCGATCTGTTGCAGTCGCCGCAACGGGGTCACATGACCACCTGTCCGTCGCGCGAGCTCTCCGAATTGGGACTGAATTTCGACCGTGAGGAGCCGGAAATGCGCATCTTCTCGGAGAGCGAGTCCTTGGTCAGCTCCCCGCGGGTGGGCAAGGAGAATGTACCGCCTGCCTCTGGATGTGCCACCCGTCGCATAATGCGCGCCCGTCCTGAGGAGTTCTCCAGTCAGACGAACAGCGTTAATCCCAGTCCCAAGAAGCAACCACGTCTCAATCTACTGTCTCCCAGTGCAGCCAGGACCATGCCGCCACTACCTTCTCCAGCGGCTGCAGCTGCATCATCCACCTCCTGTGGCCACGAATCCGCTGGAGCAGAGAACTGTTGCAAGCGCTACAAGTTGGAGGATCAGTTGTGCGACATTCAGTTCATTGACTGCGGCACTCCGGAAAATGTGCCCACTGCACAGCAACAGTTCGCCAGTGTCGAAGTGCATCCGCCGCCAAAGCCGGCGCGGGCAGCCCAATCCCCCATTTCGCCATCGAAGGGTGCACCTGGTGGATCCTCCTCCTCCTCGTTGACCCGCTACAGCTATCCGTCGGTGCAGCTGGGGGCCAAGCGGAAGGAGCAGCAGGCTGCCAAGGAGCGATTTAGCTATCAGGGCACCTTCACGCAGCCGGGACAGAAGCAGGAACCACCTGCTCCGAGATCAGTGCAGTAAGTATAGATCAAAGGCTATATATGTTCAGTTGAAAAATGTAACATAATTTTAAACCACCTGCAGTACCAACAATACCGCACTTCTAAGGAAACCACGAGTGGAACTTCTGGATGATGGCCAGACCAAGCTCGCTGTGCCCACGCCCACAACTCCTGCCCGCAGTCCTCGTTACTCCTTGCTGTTATGTGACACCGAAAGCTCCGAGAACAGTTCGGCGGTCAACACGCCGCAGTACGACATGGAGCCCCTCATGCTGACCTCGGCCATGTCCGGCGTATCCGGAGTTTCATCAAACATGCAGCAGCAGCTGCTTTTGGGTCTGGATGCGGCCAGCAGTTATCTGGGCAGCTCGCACGAGAGTCTGGGCCAACACGTAAGAAAATCCTCATCAATTTGAAGTGTTCCTCAAAAGATAATCTTTGATTGCAAAAGTCCCCAGAATATTGAATTGACAATTTCTTTATTGCAGTTCAACAACCTTCAGGATGCTGAGCAACGTGATATGAATGCTCTAAAGCGGGAGCTATCTTTAGACCTTCAACCAATGCAGCCACGATTGCCACAGCCGGCGAATCGAGCTGCCACATTGCCAGTGAAGGAACAACTGCAGGCAGCGGCGGCGGCGGCCATGTGCTCCTCCCCCAACAACTCCAATTTCACGGACAATACTAGTCAGTCGGTGACGCCCAGCGAGTTTGGGTACCAGCATTTGCAGCGGCAACTGAGCATGCACTCACTGCTGGCCACCGATGATAGTTCGCCGGTATACGAGGATTTTGAACAGACTCCCGTCAAGATGGTGGCCACCAGCCCGATCAAGTCAACCATTAGCATAACGTACAAGTCCCCGGAAAAGGAGAAGAAACCTTCGGCACTTTTGGAGACAAATTTCGATGAAAACATTGTCTATGAGCAGGTGAAGCTGTTCCGCAACTCGGTTACCGAAGTGAATCAAATGCTGCATGAGCGGTCCAGCCTAAAAAAGATAGCTGAGGAGGAGCAGCAGGATGGGTGTGCCTTTAAGGCTGCGGAGATGACCCAGCAACTGCTGCAGCTAGAACAGGAACACCAGGAGCAGGAGCAGGAGGCGGAAGAGCCGGAGGACGAAGAGCAGTCCCAGTTGCTCTACGAAAACATCGAGCTGCGCAAACCGAAAACAGTTTACGAAAACCTACGTGGCGAGGAGATGAAATTCAACATAGAAGAACAAAAGCCTAGTAGTGATAGAATCGAACTCGATAGTCTAGACAGTTTGCCGGACAACATGGAGCACGAGCAGTCCTCACCCAGCAAGTCGCCCTCATTCAGTGTCAAGGAGTTGGCCAACAAATTCGAGAGCTCGCCGGTGGAGCAACTGCCCTGCTTCGATTTTTCGGTGCGTGGTGGTTCCATGAAGAAGCCCAATGAGCTGAGCGTGCCCAAGGCCATGCCAGCACCAGTGCCGCTAAAGAAACTGAGCAGCAGTGCCCAGAAGATAACGCGGTCGCTGGATGAAAACGCGTTTGTTCGGGAGTTCGGGGGTAAGCAGCTGCAAGATCTGTCGGCTTCGGGCAAGCTGCCTGAGGTTATGCCAGAGCTCAACAGCAGGCGCAAGAGCTTCGACTTTACGCGACCCAAAACCCTGAATCCACCAAAGCGTTTGCCGGGTATGAGCATCACCGAGGAGATCTGCCAGAAGCGCGGAGGAGAACCGGAGCCCATCACTCCCACCACCGAGAATCGCATTTCGCTTATTCAGCAGAATAATATGCCTAAGGATCAGCAGACGGCCGCTAATCAGTTCCTGCCTCCGGCGGGACGCAAGAGCGTGCTAACCGGTGTGATCCTGGATCGCGAACGCATCGACAAGATTAAGGAGGAAAGGCGTCAGCAGTTGACGCAGAAGTACTACGGCGACACTCTCAAATCTCGCTCGCGCACGGAACTCAATGCGGAGGACAACTTTCAGGCAGCCGAATCTCTGCGCATCAAGTCGAAGTCCCGCGGCGATATGCACACCCTGCAAAAGGACATGGACATGAATCTGAGGCAGTTGACCCGAGAGCCTGCGGGTGGATCGGAGAGCACCCTCCACATGGGCTTGAGCCAGGGTAATGGACAAGAACAACTGGGACAGCAGCGGGTGCGGCGCATTTCGGACGAGAAAAATCAAAATTGTGATACCAGTAATGGTGGCGTGAGTGGAATAACATCCACTTCGCTCCTCAGCGTCAAGACGGCGGCCCAGAAATATGGAAGCACCAGCAAGGCACCAGCGAATAAGTTTGAACGTGGCCAGCCGATGCCACGCGAGCGTTTGCAGCGGAACTCGTTGGCCGAGAGCAATATAGGCACCAAGTGAGTGGAAAGACAATAAACCCTAATTAAAAATATTTTCTAATCGTTTTTCCTTTACAGCAACAGAGAAAAGATCTCACCACAATTCTCAATACGCGACGTGACAGCGATGTTCGAATCTCGTTCACAAAACCAATAGGCTAAGGCAACTTTAGCAACTAATTACATCGAAATATTGAGACCGCTACCTACATATAATCACAGTACTGGCGCAACAGCATATATATGCATATAAGAGCATATATATTTTATTTAGTTTTTAAACATTCACTTAAGCGCATCCAAATTCTCGAAAGTGTTATTGATATTTACGGCGCAAGCGGCTCCAAAGACATTCAGATTTACAACGCCGCGCTTGATTGCAACATTTATAATGATACTGATAATCATAATGACGACGCTTTGCGCCTTGAATCATATGCAAAATTCAATTTTGTTTTGAAGAAGCATGAAGAGAGTTTAACTAAAAGACCATCATCATCACACCCCGAAAGTCCTTCGATCCTAAACAATGCATATTGTTATTGCATTTTAGGCGTTTCTTTACTTAGGTGTTAAGTTTCATTCGTTTAACCTTAAAAGAAAAAACAGTGAATTCAGAATATTTGAATTTAATTTTGGTTTGTTTTTGCGTGATTTGTGTCTCGAATGTTTTTATTTTCTTGTTTTGCGACTAAATTGTGACCCGAATGTATCGGAATGAATCGTTTTCTTAATTTAAAATTAAAGCATTTTCAACAACTTAAACAAGTTGTTCTAAGTTAATTATTATACGATTAATTTATATATATTTTTTAAAACAATAAACTCAATTGCATTGTCACTCAAATACTCTTTCTTCATCCAATACCTGTATATACCCTTTGGCTTTGCTTATAAAAACTGTTGTTAGGGAAACTATAAAGATAACTGGAGATTTGAAAAGTCTGTGTACGCGACTTAAGCGAAATGTCGATTGAAACTAAGACTTCCAGGAAGCTTATATAAATATCATAATTAATGTTTGAAATGACGCATTTGTCAGAATGCAATGAATTAATATGACTCTGAAACTGAAGTTACAAATATATTTTCTTTACAAATAAAAAGATTTAAATTGAGAATAGTAAAACAAAAAATAACAAAAAAATGGTTGTCTATTAATATATATTAATACATTTACACTAACTGGTAACAGTTCGCTATAAAAGAAAACTGAATATTTTATATTTAGAAATATTCACTAAGAAATGCAGTAAACAGAATGGTTATCTACTATTTAGGGCTAGAACTCATGTACTAAACTTTACACTTATCATTGAAAGTAATTCAATAGGTTTTATTCGTAAACATTTGAATAATTTTGTATACTTCAGAAAGCCTAATGAAATCCAGGCTTATTAGCTTGGTGGATATTATATTCCTGAAATCTAGACATAAATGGCTGGAAACCTGCTGAATGAAATTGGCCAACGGCTGTTACAATATTTAAGGGCAAATACAACTTTATTTTGGTCGAAATATTTATTTTTCCTTTTTTGCTCTAACCAATTTTTAAGCTTTGTTAAGTTTAATATGCGATTTTGTTTTATAAATATATGAACTTAAAAAATACTACCCTGGAAGTCATGAAGCGCGTACACAGCAAGCATATTCTTACAATACTAAAATTTTGACCAATAAAAGGCACATTTGATGCATAACTAAATAAAGAATTTTTACGTGGGGCTAGTGCTTTGACTAATAGATAAATTTGATATTGAAAAAGAAAGCATTAGTTTGAAAAATTATTCATCTTTTAAATTACTCCAGAGCAGCTGCCAAAACTTTTATATTCAAATTTATCAAAATTTTAAAAGGGAATGACAACAAAACTACAAAATGGAAGCAAAACGGAGATTAACAGAATTGTAATACAATAACTAAATAGAAAGCTTTAAAACATAAGTTAGCATTTGATATATTTTGATAAAATACAAGAAACCCTTAATATAGTTATAAACAATTGTATTTCATAATGACTGAACCAACAAACAGGCAAAGGACTAAAAGAACATTTGAGCAACGCTTGCGACAACAATTACAAGCAAAACCATTTATATATATATATATATATGTCATACTTACAAACTGGATAAAAAACGTATATTTAATAGGGCAAGGATCAATCAACCAATAAATGAAATGGAACATAAAACATCATGTGATGAGTTCACAATTTGCATTAACATTTTTATAAGCAGTAACATACGACATGAATAAATCAACAACTACTATAACGCATTTAAATAAAACCAGATTATTAAATACAGACAATTTCGTTGTTTTATCTCGGCCGCATTTTGTTTGTGGTCAATGTGGTTATGTGTAATTAAAATTATCAGAATAAGTGTTAGAGGGGACTTAGGTTCTCATTAGCCCAATTGAAAAATAGACAAGAAAGCTAGATAGCATTTCTGCAAGATGTTATTTATCACGAACTTTTCGAAGTGTATATTTTATTTATTCATTTTTAACTTTGATATAATATTTCTCCTCTCCGCCTTTAATTTTTATGTACAAATTTGGATATTCTCCATGAAACTGCTGTTTTTAGTTTATTTCCCAAGTTTAAGGTCTGTTATCCAATCTTTTTTAAATTAAATACATTTAAATACCAATATATTTATTGATCGCTAAGATACTACGAAATCGCGGAATAAATCAAAATCCTTATATCAAGGATGACTCGCAAATGAAAAACTTTCGGTGGGAGCAAAGGATATCGTTCATGACAGGAGCTCCTTCGAAGGTATGAAGTTCCACGCAATGTTCTCCGTCACCAGCATTGTTGGGTTCGTCGGGACCCCATTTAAAAAAGGTCGCATTTAAGCCCGTTGAAACGGACACAAATGCTCCTTCCTTATACTGATCGGTCACGTCAATCCAGTAGCCAGAGTACTCCTTCAGTTTCCCATCAATAGCGTCAATATCTTCTTGGCTTTGGAAGCTGGCCAGGTGACCACCTAAATCATAACATCTCTGTAAAGCTCCGTGCCAGGTTTTCCTATCGGTACTTTCAATGTAAAATAGCTTTGAACCCAGTTTTTGAAAATTCCGCTTGATTTTTTCTCCTATTTCGGTACTTAAAGTGTTACCAGGAGGAGTAGGTGACATTTGTTGCTTCAGTTGAAGTAGTTCCGCCTGGGTGTTTCTTCCGATTTCCTCTAATTGGGCTATCCTACCAAGTATATCGGATGGCCCAGCAGCCTCACAAAGCTCTACCCGCTTCAAGGTGTTTTCTAGTTGGGACAAACAGGTCTGTACAGCTGAGAAGCAATACTGCCCGCACTGGGATAGTTGTTCATCCTCCTATTTGAAATGAGTATTTGAGTTTCCCTTAGTAATATATTATTTGGTGAAACTTACCAAGAAACTTGTCGAAATGGAACAGGAACATCCAAAGCTAATGGACAATAAAAGCAGAAAAACCGTATACTCCATTTTTGGGATTGAGATTGACTTGCCTGATCGCAAGATGCAAACAGACTGACTTAAATTCGCTAGTTTAATAAATATCAGAGTTTATTTAACCCCTGCTCAACTGGTAACGACGAGTCTCGGAAAATCCCAGCTGATAACGACGAGTCTCGGAAAATCCCAGCTGTCTATCAGCTTACATAAAGATGTAAGATTTTCGCAGTCTATTCCTTATCAGTTCTGAAATGAGGTCTTAACTTAACTTATTCTTTCTAGATAGAACAGAATCCTTTTGCGGTTTCAAATATGCAAATTTAACAGAATTGCAATTTCATTGCTTGTCTGAAACTAGTAGATTTTTTCCGTATCCAGCTTTTAACAATAAACTGATTGTAATATTCGCCCTCTGTCAATTTAAAATAAGTTCATAGAAAAGGCGTCTTGCCACCCATGGTTAGGACATAGGTCCATAACTTTATTAGCTTAACGCTTTGTCCTTTGCATTTATTGTTGAACCTGCTGGGCGGCAGTGGAAAAGAGCACGTGAGAAAATTAATTTGATTAAATTTCCATAGAGACGCGCAGCAGGTCAGAAGTGTGGCGGGGTGGGAGAGTAGCGATATGGGATGTCTTATCGCAGAATCTGTTGTTGTTAGCCGGCTACTTAACGCGGATGCGGAGCCACCACCAAAGGACACACAGGACACATCCTTCGATGCGGGTTCACAGCGGTGAACGCACTAAATGATGTGCATAAGTGCGAAAACGTTTTGCACATGGAATGCCTCCTCGCCTCTGATGTTTTACTTTTTATTTTCTCTTTTTTTTGCCCTGGCTGTCTGTTTGGGTTGATTGACGCTGATAGGGCACGTGCTGGCAATTATTTTAGAATAAACATAACAAGCCTCTCCACGGGACCAAATCATCAGATGACTTCTCCTCTCCAGCTTCTCGCTCTTGGGCACGGTCGAAATATATTTTCACAAGAAAATATGCAGGCAGATTAGAACAGGCGATAGGAAATCACTACCACTGATAACGCAAGCTTGAATAAAATTATTTAATTCTGTTCCATTTCACGCTGTTGATTAAAAATTTGTTTTCTATATAGTCACTTAAGTTAGTTAGGTTATGAAGATTTTTTACACAGTCTGATTTCTAATTATTTTATTGGTTACTGTTTTTGCATCATTGGAGTACTTTTTACATTTTAATTTTAAGTTGGGAATCAAATTAATTTTCATATCCGATAGATTTACGACATTGTTCAGTGACTGTTACTTCTAAATATTTAAGCACCTCATTACTTTCCATTTTTCAAATGCATTATGGTATTAACCTAATTGTAGGTTCCGAAACGGGTCGAAATCACTGAGTTCGGATCGTTTAAACACCCACTATTTCCTCCCTCGAGGGTATTCGAATTCCCATCTGATTCCAGTGGCTGCTTTTATTAAGGCTTGGGTTTTGGGGCGGTCGGCTGCTTATTAAAAGTCTCTTGTTGTGATCCTAGGCCCAGTAACCTTTTCACCCGGCCCCTCGTCCTCGAATTAGTCCGCCGCCCTGACAATTAGAGCACTAACAAATGCAATTATCCCGGCACCTCCCTCCACTTGTGCGCCATTCCTTCACCCCTTGCGGCACACAATTGCTCTCATTGGCAACAATTGTAGATGAACTCTTCGCACGGAGTCACAAGTCCTTTCCCAGCCAACAAACAGCGAAAATTCAAAGGAAAAAAAATGAAAATACGTGAGGAGTAGAAAAAGCCAAGCTAGGAGAGTGCAAACAGCCAAGGCAAAAGTTTCCCAAACGCGTGCCACATATTAAATTACATCGAAATATGTGCACACGATGATTTGTCGAAGGGCAGTTTGTAATTTGCTGGCATTTTTTCGATTTTATCAGCCGGCGGGGGCAGCATCGCTGTTATTTTGATACAGTTGTTGGATTCTACGGCCATGTAGTGCGCTATTTAATTGAATTTATCTCGCGCAATTATCGTAAAATTTACTGAACAACCAAGAGCTGCAAAATGGGGGATTGTTCGGGCACAGGATTTCCGGATATGGCACTTATGGTGGGCGTAACGCAACAATTTTGGAACATATTTGTTATTTAAATGTGGTTGAATTAGAATAGTGTTTTGAAAAGAACATAAAAGAGGGTTTTGAAAAATAGTTTTATTTGTTTTATTTACCTATTAAATTTGCATATCTTAAAGGTTACAAGGCTTTTAAATGAGTCTGAAACTTCTAAGTCGTTTAGTTTAATAATTTTGGGGATATGGACTTTGAAAGCTTAGCACTTTTGTGTTTATTTTTTAAGAGTTTCGACCAAAATATATACTTTATAAACTTTTCTATAAATTAAGAAATAAAACATTATATATATAATTTCCTATTTTATCAAAAAACACTTCATTGAACTGCTGGTTTCTATAAGATAAAAGGACCTATGTATGTAAAGGAAGTGCCACTTGCTGAGGATGTAGCCACTTGAGCTTCTGCTCTGAGCCCTTCCCCAAGGACAAAGGACCCGCAAGGATGATCAAGTTTGTTGTATCAGAAGTTAATTTACCGAGAATCAAACTTAAATGCGAAAAAGGATCTGAGGATTTGTACCGCCGACATTTCACCCCTATTCCAAACACCGGCACGACCTATGGCTTATGTAACCCGATCGGTGACACACTTCAACTTTGATTTCAGGGAATTATGCTAACACAAAAAAGGAAACGGAGACGTCGATGTCGACAATACAAAAGGATTTGCCAGGCAAACTGACACAAAACGCTGTAATTGCCCCAAGGAAGCGCACCCTCCTGCAGACTCAACCGCAAAGTGGCTGGCAATTCGATGCCCGAGACATAGTAGCATTTTTATTATTATAAAAATTAGGCTTAGCCAAAATGACGGGCCACGTGCAACAATGGAAATTAAGCAGACTAAATGATGGCTCAAAAATATGATCAGCTTTCTGACTTGGCCATGGGAAAATCTCTTCGAGTTAAGGAAAAAATCAATAAACAACACAGGCACACAGACTTAAAAAAAACTTTAAAAAATGGTATACCCATGTTTTTCACAAAATGCCCTTTGGCACGTTCATGTCAGCGGGTTAACAATGGATGACAATGAGGTGGAGCAGCAAGTTAAGTGCTTTCAGCCAGGTGAGATGAGCTAAGGAGTGCTCATCTCTGTTAGTGAGAGCCCTAGTTGACAGACTCCACTTGTCCATTCCTTGTTCGGCTCATTTTGTGGCAGTACCAATTCAAATATGATGTTCCAAATTTTTCAGATCGATAAGCCATTTTATTTCAAGTTACCGACCGAACCTTTTAATTCTTACCCTCCAAAAACAAAATGACTAAAATAAATTTCTAAAGTCTTATAAATCTTTAAAAAATCTTTATTTCAGTTTTTATTATCAAGAATAATTATTTTAAAGCTTTTCGGTTACTTTCATGATTTATAAAATGTTGGCTTTTCAAATATAGTTTCAATGATATATAATTTTGTAAGCATTTAATTTGAGGGTATTTTAGTTTTCAAAAGAAAAAATAATATTTTATTTAACTAAACTACATTCGTCCCTGAAGGTAATATAAACAAAGTCTAATGGCCAATTACCAGTAATTAGTACTCAAAAAATATAAGTGATTTAAATTCATTAGAGAAGCAGAGACATTTGACTTCAGGGGCACCATAGCCCCCTTAACCTCTCCTTCGATCCCTCGAATACCATCCTAACGCGCCCGTTTTAGGGCTTTAACCTAATAATGATGTTCGACTTAGTTTGCGTGACTTATTTTATTAATAAAACGAGCAAATTTGTCTTGCTTTTTGGTCGCATCCTCGCCATGCTCTCTCTCCCTCAGTGATGTCTCGTTATTGTCTGCCTTCCTGCTCTCTAGTTAGTCATTCCCCGCTATTACGCGCCCCTCAACGGACCTATTCTCGATCTCAATAGGAGGAAACAGGACGAATATACTGGCGAAAGCAACCCCTTGGCAGGCTCTTCGCTGATTGGTGGCTAAAAGCCAAGGACTCACGCCCTCTTTTCGGATGTGTTATGGGTGTGGGAATTAGGTGTCCTCTTCTGTGGGTGGTGTTCTGCTATGTTGGACACTGATTAAATTACCCGCGGCGCGGGGAATATATATATAAATTTGAGAAGCAGGAGAATATGTCAACCCAAACCCAACAGGCGGTACAGTTGCGTTTGGCTCCACCTAGCAATTATCCTGTCGCAGCTCTTTTCACCACCCCGCGGCAGCAGAATCGATTGTTTAATTCAATTATAATAATTGTGGCATTTAATGCATGCACATCATCGCCAGACAGACAACAATGGCGGCCATGACACGTTAATTATGATCATTGGGGGGCCAAAATGGGTGGCAATGGGTGGATGGAAGGACGGGTGGACGGCTCAACAAAATGGCGGCAGAGCAAGGACGCATAGTTGTGCAAATTATTTGCGGTTAACAGGGGTCAATTAAACTAAGGTTTTATTTGTTTAGCAGGGGGAGGGGGCTAAAAGTACTCGGATAATCGGAGGTCCAGCAGATGCCAGCAGAGAAATTTTGGATGGGCGGAGGGGGTATGCTAAACTTCAGGGAGAAAGCAGGACAACCGTATGCGCATGCAAATCCTGGGGGTGTGTTCTCCGTATAACACTGCCGGGGATTCCCCCGAATTGCCGCTCTAAGCGGGCACCGCAAACGACAGCCAACTGCAACTGGATTGAAGAGGGGGTGGCGCAAGTTGAGAAGGGGTTTCTTTTTTCTTTTTTCATTGCCCTCCGTTTGCAGGATGCAGGACATTATCGCTGGCTCGCTCGCACATGTCTGCTGGCAGCTCGTTTAGAGCAATTTGCTGGTTGATGTGCGGTGATTGCCGCAAACTCAACGCGACCGTCAACGAGCAAACAACATAAACGCGCGCGCGGCCAAAGGACATACATATACATATATCCTGGCATATCCTCCGCCGACTCCGACACCGCCACCTCCACCCCCACCTCCTGCTCGTCCAGCGAAATGGCAATGCTTAATGAGGCCAGCTTGAGTCCTGCGGACGCACATGCTCATGCCAATGCCACCACGCCCACGCACAGCAAGGCGGCGATGGCGATGGCCAGTAGTGCCACCACAATGCTGACCACAAAAACGCCGTTCTCCATCGAGCATATATTGTTTCAAAATTTAAATAGTGCCAGCAATAATAATGCCAACAGTATCACCGGTAATAGCAGTAATTATGCGCAAAAGAGCAGCAAAAACGCGATGAAAAGTGCCAGGAGTAGCTATGCCCACCTCGACAATAATCCACAGAAACATCCGTCGCATCATTCGCATCATCCGCCCCAATCACATCCGCCGGCATCCGCATCCGCGACGGCAACAACGCGAGGCAATCAGGCAGCGTCGGGATATGGCAGCGAGGATTACGCCAAGTCCTTGCACAACGCCCAACGGTTGGTTGTAGTAACAATAATATGTGTACAATGCAATGAATAGTGGATTTATATGTGAACTGTATTAATTCAAACCAAATTATTCCTATTTTTAAAACATCAAATTTGGAGGAAACTAAAAAAATACAGTTCAATTCAGTGAAATAATTAAGAAAAATAGAAAAAAAAAATATTTGTTCGATAATTAAATTGAAAAAGGATACAGATTGTGTTATTTTGTTTAAAAAAAGGGAAATTTTGAAGATCGTAGGCTTACTATTAAAGCGAGATAAAGGGCAAAACAGTTTCTTCAGCATAATGAAACATTGATTTAAACTTAGTGTAATAGCAATACATTTGTGTAACCTTAGGTGCAGAATTTAAGAACTAATAATTCAAAAGACCACTACCGAATAAGCAGTGAATAACAGAAATCTCATTAAGAATACATACATAGTTTTCAGGAAATTAAAAACTTAGGAGACTTAAGATTTTGTAGAGCTTCTGATGAAAAGGGATTAAATAAATATCAAACTCTTTCACCCATTGAAATCTAGGTCCAGTCACCATTCCCGTCCAGGAGCTTCCCACTACAGCGGAGATCAGAATTCTCAGCAATTGGGATCTGGGGCAGGACAGCATCCGCCAGTACCAGCGCCCCAGCCACCTCCTCCGCCGCCACTGAATGGAGGAACTGGTGGGTCCAATGGGGTCTTATACCCAAATGCCCCGTACACCGATCACGGATTTCTTCAAATGACCCTCGGCTATCTGTCTCCGTCGTCGGGCACTTACAAGTCCGTGGATCCCTATTTTCTATCACAAGGTGCGTGTTGTTTGGAGAGTATGATTAGATAAGAGTATGTCTCAACCAAGTGACATTTTTAGTAATAAGAACCTTATTTGTTTTTTTCTTATTATGTTACAAGCCAAGTACATGAGTAATAATTACTTAATTAAATTTAGGTCTAATATTAAAACTAAATTAAACTTTGACTTTCTCAAACAAAAGTTCTCGCTACTGTCTCTTCAAAAAGTAGGTGCAAATCGACCACGTGGCGTATGAGTGATATTTATAATCTTTAGATCACATAATAAATTTGAACTAAATATAACGTTTACCAATGAAAATATTTGTGTTAACAATTCGTATCAAGATAAATGCTTAATTATTTTGGTTGGATTTTTTCAAAACAGTTTAATAATCTGAAAAGTCTTTGTAATTGACCAAAACAAAAAGTTGTGAAGCAACCAAATAATTAATTTTATTTTTCTGTGTCCGAATTAAAAGAACCTTTATTTTTTTGTCTACTTACACAATTTTTCAAATGGTGCCCAAATTGAGGAACCCCTTTAAGGGAACTAGATAGCATCTAAAGTCGGTGTAAATGTCAATCAACACCGAAAGTTTCCATTTCTGCAAACTATAACAAAGTTAACGAATTTTGGCATTCGACCTTTCAGCCAGCCTTTTCGGGGGAGCACCCTTCTTCGGGGGACCTGGTTGTGTTCCGGAATTGGCCCTCGGATTGGGGATGGGCGTGAATGCCCTCCGTCACTGCCGCCGGAGGAAGGCCCGCACGGTGTTCAGCGATCCGCAATTGTCCGGCCTGGAAAAGCGATTCGAGGGTCAGCGATACCTCTCCACGCCGGAGCGAGTGGAACTGGCCACGGCACTGGGTCTCAGCGAAACCCAGGTGAAGACCTGGTTCCAGAACCGCCGCATGAAGCACAAAAAGCAGCTGCGCCGCCGTGATAATACCAATGGTGAGTCTTTTAAAGTTAAAGCACTTAAACTTTAGTTATTCCTGGTGACAAGTGCCTTTAAAATAACATATACCCAACTTTTAACCCTGAGACAAAGTAAATCTAAAGTATTTGCCAAAGATATTAAAAGTACATATGCGAATCAGCATTTTAGAGAACATATACATATATTGTTGTTAGCCCTTTTTAAGGGCTAAGAAAAAACGAAAATATTTAACAATAAGATAGATACCAACCTAACATTAACTTTTGATAAGATTAAAACTTTGATTAATACAAAATTATTTGTCTCAAATCTGCAATTGTAATAGCCTTGTGTTAGTTTTTAAATAAATAATCAAAATAAGTTACGCATCTTAAATAGAATTGGTTACAGTTTTTAAATTGTTTAGAACGCTCAAAAACTAGACCACTTGAAAATAGTTGAACAGACAAAAGAGTGTGAGTAGTTTCTTTGTGAAACTTTTGGACTTTCAATTAGACCTTTTGGCTTTTAGCTGCCTCCTTGAGTTGCAAAAAGTTTTGCTCAAGTTTCTCCACAAATCAAATTAGTTCTAAATTTGGTGGAAATTTCTTTGACTCTTCCATGCCGCAGAACCCGTTGACTTCTCACGCAGCGAGCTGGGCAAACAGCCGGGCGAAGCCACCTCCTCCTCCGGAAACTCCAAGCACGCCAAACTCACCTCCGGATCCGGATCCGGGGGCACGCCCACTCAGCCCACGAGTGAGCAGCAGCAGCTGCAGATGTGCCTCATGCAGCAGGGTTACTCCACGGACGACTACTCCGACCTGGAGGCGGATAGTGCCGATGAGGACAACTCCAGCGACGTGGACATCGTGGGCGATGCGAAACTCTACCAGTTAACATAGATAGTTGGATCGGGATCAGAACCTTGATCTTATATTAGTAATGTTTTTGATATTTTTGTTGGGGAAATACAACAATTAAATCATTGTTTGATTTATGAGTGGCAATTTAAGGAGATTATATAAGATTTGTCTTATATAAAGTATTAAACATTTATCAAGGTTAAGTTTGGAAAAACTAACAACCATTTTAAGTATGTTCTCTTATTTATCAAGGTTAAGTTTGGAAAAACTAACAACCATTTTAAGTATGTTCTCTTACTATTTGTTTTATATTTATTTTTCTCACGCCCTTTTCAAAATGCTATCCAACTAAAATCTAAATGTTTCCTTAAAATTTAATTTAAGACAAATGTTTGATCAAATTGTAAGTGTATTTCCCCCAATTTTAAAATTGAAAAGAAAAACCGTGTAAATACTAACGAGCTGCTTTCTAGTCATATATTAAATCTTAAATCTAATCAAATTTAGTGATTGTATTCGAGAACTTCCATTTTAAGATATTTTAGTTCCCTGCCCGCTCGACTTCTTATCCAGAACATAGTGCTTACAATAAACAGAACAGAGCAGAATTATGTGAATATCCCAAAAGTGTTAGTTGGTTGGGCGAATTTTTCCATCTATGCTGGGCAATCAAATCCAATTGACAACATAAAGTAGCAACTAATATGGTTAAACATCAGGGGTATTTGAGCATGGGGTTCACGTTGACTGACTGCCACGCCCTGCGCATGTCCAAGTGCCCGTGAGTGGGCGGATTCGGGGAAAGATTGGATTGATTCGGGGTGGATGTGGATGGGAATGCACTTAACAATGCGAAAATAATTGCGGGTTTTCAGACAGCCATTTTAGTGAGACACTCATTGTCAAGAGTGGGAAGTGAATGTTAAATGTTTCAGATTGATTGGTAATTATGGGTTAACAGAAATGCCCACCCAAATATTTAACTATTGGATGGCAGTAGGAATATGTGCTTTATAAGAGCAATAATGAATTCAATCTCTTACTTAACATTTTAAAGTTCTCCATTTTTAGATACAACAACCTCCTAAAAGATATCATCGAAATGCAGCTGTAAGTATTTCCTAAATTATTATTCTTATAAACTTTTGGTTAAAGACTACAATTCTTGATTTGATAATTTATAAGAGTTTAATTAATCTTATATTACGTCTACCAATCACTTAATTTCGTATTGTAAAATCATTTCCTGACGTCAAAGAAGCAAAGTGCAAATTTAATCCCAAATCTGAATAAAAATAAAACTACAAACTGATAGACATATATGTATTTCTATAAAATATGTATTATTGTATTTCTGAATGTGTTTTGTTTTATGCTCAACTTGGTAGACACACTCTAATCAGACGCGAATTAACAAAAAGTCGGGAGATTGGCAAATAATGAAATACTATCTGAGGTCGAAGCAATGACAAGGCGCCTCTGGTATTTTCGGAACGAATACATAGTTTAATAAGTAGTACTTTAAAGCTTATCTTATTGTTGATTAGGTAAATACGAAAACAAACTGGTGGAGGCGAGCCTCCCACGATTAGAATGGGTTGGTAATAAAAATCACACATTCCACTTAGGAACTATAACCATTAAAGGCTTTAATTTGAGTGCTCTGTTTAAATGAAACACCTAGTATACGTATAGAAACTAACACACATTCATTGTCCATTAAATAAGTAAACTTATGAGTTTATTATTTTAATATTTTACCAAGATACTTCTACTTTATAAAATGGTTTTTAATTTTTTCTTCGTAGCTTGCCTTTATTGTATTATAAATTGTTTGTTCACAAGTACCCTCCTCTCTTTATTTAATTTTTGTTTTTTGACTCCCTCTTATTTTTTTCAAGCCATATGTCTGCAATTTATGCTCCCCATCTGCACTCTCTTTTACTCCGACACTCTCTTTTATATACTTTTTCTGTATGTATGTATGTTATTTACATGCTATCAGTCGTTGAAAACAAAACAAAATAGTAGAAGAAAAAGAGAAACCGATGTTCGAATACTTTACCATTTAGATCTGCAATTAACAATTAGGTCCCGGGATCTTAACTGTATTCTCCAGATTTAATAAAAATGTTACAAAGTTTTTGAAGGACCTATAATATGGTATTTTTCTTTTTCTGTGAAATAATTTGAAAAATTATAAAATAAAAGCTTGAGTGAGTATAAGTGTTTCAGCTCTCCGGTATAAAATACAACATTACCTAGAAATTTAAATTTCAGAATGAAAGCGAATAAATAATATCAGTTTACTACTTCACTTGACAAAGTCGGGAACACGACTATAGTCTTCAATTCAGTATATTTTGGACATCGAAATAAAACATTTTTAATTTGCATGCGTAAAGTTAAAAGGATTAATGTCGTATATTAATGTTAGAGTAGTAGGGTGTACTGGCAGCCTGATCGTCAAAGTGCATATACCCTCTGAAAGGGCGTGGCAAACAGTGACGTTTCGCTGCCTTTTTTCCGCTGTCGTCGTGGCCGTGGACTAAAGCCAACAGGCAGTCTCTTTAGTTCAGCCGTCGACCGCGGTTCGTTGTTTTGCTTGCCAGTCTTTCCCCGTTTTGTTGTAAGTGAAAGTGCATTTCGGTCTCATGTATTCTTTGAAGCTCCACAAATGTTGGGGGTCATAGTAGTGTTAAGGACAAGTCTGAAAGTCATTTAGTTCTCATTGATATAGATGAATGAAGGAGATACATATATGTACAAAAGATATTTCTCTATAGATACTCTGTGTTTACTTATACTCTATGCGTTGGTATATATTCAGCTAATCGGGTGCTACTCAGAGACGTTCCAAAAATAAATAAGGGGGCACGTGTCGATCTATAAAATCGGCCGGCAGAAATATTATTTTGCGGTTCCGGCTTTATAAATTTTTTCTTTATATGTACATTTGTATATTTTTGTAGAACAAACAGGTTATCAGCTAGTCAAAAACAAAATAACAACCAGTAACCACAACCACACAAACAAACACGCATACTCAGAGTGACAAGTTTTTGATAGTGATTTTTTATGCAACAAGCCCCCGAAAAAAAACAGGGGAAATAGTGGTCAACAGAAAGATACTAAAGAGGGTCACTTATATGACCTTCATAAAACGAACTCACAGACCCTTGGTAATTGTTTTTATTTTTATGGATCCCCACAGGAACCACATCATTTAGAGAGCGTATATATAACCAATAATGGCGGCTAGTAACGGTGATTGTAAGTGAAGTTGCTTTCTGCCTCCTTAAATGTTGCCTGGCTCCTTTCGCTCCAATATGAATTTTCCCAACTCACACTTTATAACACCCGCCTGCACTTCCCTCAATTCGCAATGCTCCCAAACTTGTTCCTCTGCCTTGAAAAAGTATAACCTGTTGCTAAGCTCAACGTTTTATGTCCTACCGCACAATTCCTTTTTTTATTAATCCCCTTTTAAATCCTTTACATATAAATATTAATTAAGTATGCTTTTGTATAATATTACCATTTAAGGGTTAAACAAAAAATATTCTTATAAATACTTTCACTGAAAGTAAGCCGCAAATATATTTTATTCAAAGAAAAGTTTAAGGACCTAGAAAAGCCACAACCAAAAAAAGACATTTTTGGGATTAGTTATAAACCGAAGTTAAAAAAATTTTTTAAATATAAATGATAAGTAAAAAAAACTTCTTATTTCAAGCTAGACAGATTTCGTTTTCGCAAAGCTCTTTAAATTTTCATCTCAGAAATATATATACATATGTATGCACAAATTGTTTTCAACTTTGCTTATTGAAAACAATATTTTACTGATATGGTAGTATACCATTACATAAAGCATATTAATTAAATGTATTGAATTAATCCCTAACCCATATGCTAATCCTATTCCAATCGAAACCCGACGAATAAAACTTACCATTTAAAAAAAAATTTTTAATTCCCAATAGCCAAAATGAGCCAACAGGGACCAGCTTTTGACTCCAATGCGATGACGCTGACGCGTTTCGTGTTACAGGAGCAGCGTAAGTTTAAGGATGCCACCGGAGATTTGTCCCAGCTGCTTAACTGCATCCAGACGGCGATCAAGGCGACTGCTTCGGCAGTCCGAAAGGCAGGAATCGCCAAGCTCCATGGAATTGCCGGCGACGTGAATGTTCAGGGTGAGGAAGTGAAGAAACTGGACGTGCTTTCCAATGAATTGTTCATCAACATGCTCAAATCCTCCTACACCACATGTCTGATGGTTTCCGAGGAGAACGAGAATGTGATTGAGGTGGAAGTGGAGAAACAGGTAATATTTAAATAAATAATAATTTTGAAAAACAATAATACTTATGTTTAATCGCTCTGGTGACCTTATTAAAACTCCTAATAATAACTATTTGTTTATTCTTAAAATCAGATAACTGTATCTTTAAAGCTTTTTCTAATTTTCGAATCCCAAAATCCTTTAGCTATTTAAGTTACGTTAAGTTTAGTTATTTAAGTTACCTTTATCTTTTTTTTTATACAGAGCCTTAATCAAATGTATTTTTAAAGCTTATTAAGTAAATCGTAGCTTTAGATTTATAGATAGAAATCCAAATTTACTTTTTTAATGAATGCCAATTTATTTTCCTTTTCAGGGCAAATACATTGTGTGTTTCGATCCGCTGGATGGATCCTCCAATATAGACTGTCTGGTGTCGATCGGCTCGATCTTCGCCATCTACCGCAAGAAGGGCGATGGTCCGCCCTCCGTCGAGGATGCACTGCAGCCCGGCAATCAGTTGGTGGCCGCCGGCTATGCGCTGTACGGCTCAGCCACGGCTATTGTTTTGGGTCTGGGATCCGGAGTAAATTGCTTCACCTATGATCCGGCCATCGGAGAGTTCATCCTGACCGATCCCAATATGCGGGTGCCTGAGAAGGGCAAGATCTACTCGATCAACGAGGGCTACGCCGGCGATTGGGAGGCGGGCGTGTTCAACTACATTGCCGCCAAGAAGGATGCCACCAAGGGCAAGCCCTACGGAGCTCGGTACGTGGGTTCCATGGTCGCAGATGTTCATCGCACCATCAAGTACGGGGGTATCTTCATCTACCCAGCTACCAAATCCGCTCCAAACGGAAAACTTCGCCTGCTCTACGAGTGCAATCCGATGGCCTATCTAATGATACAGGCTGGAGGACTAGCCAGCGATGGAAAAATCAGCATTTTGGACATTGTACCCAAGAAGATACACGAACGCAGTCCCATATTCCTGGGATCCAAGGCCGACGTGGAGGAGGCGCTTAGCTACTTGAAGTGATTTTTGAAATTTCTGTAATTTATGAATAAAGGACATTTTTATTTTTTACTAAGGAATCGGAATTCCTATGACATCCTGTCCCTAAAAAGTATGCCCAAAAAAGTTGTTAAGAACTGTTACCAATGTAAGTTAATAATTCTCAGCCGGTTCAACCCACTTTTGAATGAAGTTTTGTGTTTCGGACGTTTTAATTATCGCTTCTCGGCCTTATGGCTAAGATCAAAATGTAGTATCTGTTCTTATCAGCTTAACATCTGATAGTTCCCCCATAGGGGGACAACAAATGTTAAACTGATTTTTGTAATCAGACGGAGTGGTAGGAGCTAGCTCCACCTCTGTCGCGGGTTGGCCCGGTATTGCAGTACAGCCGGGTTTTTCAGCCCAACAAAATAATACATGTGACCTTAAAGAGATAACCATAATAAGGCGTGAACCATCACTTGGGTAACCTTCCTAAGCGATGGTTCACGCTTCGGAATTATGAAATTAAGGCTTGAAGTTTAAATAGGTCCTTTTGTTGCTGTTTGTTCAGTCCATATCAAAATATTTATTGATTTCTGAAATATTTGAGTTGCTTTAATTGCATCAGTTCGGCTTGGGCTTTGTTCTTCAATTGTTGTGAAATTTGATAAAATCAAAAGGTTTTCCAAGTAAGAGTTACAAAATTGTATTTTTCCAATTTACTTGACCAAGATAAAGAAAACATCAAATTTTTCAGTTTTATAAAGTTAGGACTCAACGTCGCATACTTAAAAAGATTTTAATTAATTTTAATCATTAAGGGATTATAACAATATTGATATTGATGTTACAAAACATACATATTCATGTATGTATAGTACAATTCTAAAAAGCGTTTGCCTTGTGTTTGGGCACAAAGCTGAAGCCATCTGGCACCCGACCCAGGAGCGATTCGCTAAGCTTCACCCAGTCAGCGGCGTTGCCGGAACTCATGAGGGTTTCCATTTCGTCGCGTCCCCGGTATTTTTGCGGCCGAGCATTGATCTTTTGCGGCGGAGCTGTTTGCAGGGCTTCGGGTATGTAGCGGTACAAGAAAGACTGCCACTCGAGGAGGAAGCGTCGTGTGGTCTCCACACCCTTGGTGTCCGAGCCCCAGTGTTCCAGTCCGTAGTTGGAGAACTTTTGCAACATCTCATAGCGTTGGCTTGAAGAAGGAGACCAGGCTTGTTTCTCCTTGATCTCCTGGAATATCCACGGTTTAATTAACGCTCCGCGACCAATCATCACGGAGCTAACGTGCGGTGCTAGAGTTCTTCGCTCCACATAGTCCTCGTAGCTAAGTATATCGCCATTTCCGATCACCGGCATCCGCTTGGCCTTAGCGGCACACTCCTCGATATAATTCCAGTTGGCATGCTTGGTGTAGCGCTGCTCCCTGGATCGTCCGTGCAGGGTCACCGCCGAGGCGCCCCACTCCTCGACCAGCGGCAGGAGTTCGTGCGCCACACTCTTGTCTGCATAGATACCGGTGCGCATCTTGACGGTGAACGGCAGACGATCGGATAACACAGCACAACTGCGCACGGTCAGCTCCAAAATGTTGGTTCGTCGCATCAGAGCGCTGCCCCCACCTTGCTGGTAAATCAAATCAATGGGGCAGCCAATATTAAGATCGATGAAATCCGCCTGGGCCGTCTCGTGAATAACCTGCGCGGCCTGGTTAAGCATGTTGGGATTATTCCCGCACAGCTGGACCCCGAAGACGTCCTCGCTCTGGTGGCGCTTGGTCAGAGCCCACTCCTGGCCCATACCCTTTAGCAGGGGCTGGGCACAGGCCATCTCGCCACAGGTGATATCCGCCCCGAACTCCTTGCAGATCCGTCGGAAGGGCAAGTTGCCCAACGTGGTTAGTGGTGACAGGACGAGTTTCTCGCGAAAATCAACGGCTGGCTTTTGATCAGCGTCTCTGCCGACAGGAGAATCATCAATTGCACATCCAGTGGAAGCTTCAGTTGCTACTGGTGGGTTATCCTGTGTGACCGGTTCCTTGGAATCGATCTGTTGCTCCCCGTCCAATTTTTCGCTGGTCTCAGATTGTTTTTCCTCTATAGTTCCTACAGATTGTTCCTGTTTTCCATCCTTTTTCTTTTGCTCTATTTGTTTTCGAACATCTCGCAGTTTCTCTGCTAATTTAATGAGCTCCTTGCTGCGACTAAAATCGTATTCATGCTTTCGCAGGCGCACCTGGATTTCTGAAAATGATGTAATACATTTAGTTATGTATTTTACAAAATAATAATTGTGTTTCGTAAACATCTCTTAATCAGTTTATGTTGGAATATATAAGCTAAATACAAATAATAAATACATAAAAAACTTTTTCCACATAAAAACTTTTGTACAATGTTGAAAACAATGTGCATAGGAATATATCCAACCTGAACTAACGCCATTGAATGTGGTCGGAGGAGCCTTGTCGTCGTAGTCTTCCCTTTTGAGGTTCCTGCCCTGCTCACTCGTGTGGGCCTTGCTGAACCGGCAACTCACACCGCGGGCACAGTATCCCTTGGTGGTGTACACATAGCACTTGGGGCCCAGATCCTCACCCTTGGCGGCCAGGAAGGCATCTAGATCATGGACATAGCGACAATTGGCCAGGGAGCACGGTTCCCCACCGGTTCCATCGATCAACGAATGACACAGATGCGAATACCGCTCGTCCTTGAAAACTGGACGATTCTGTGGGCAGCAAAGTATTAATAATATGCCAAATTACCAAAAATTGTTTACTAGCCTTGTTCTGTCCACGCTTGCGTTCCTTTTTATCCCATTTCTTATTCCCACCGGCTTTATCTTCGCCATCCTCGCGTTTTCTTTTGTTAGTCTCGCTGTTTTCGGTGTTAATTGTATCACTGCTGCCATTGGCTTCAGTCACCAAGTATCTGAAGGATATATCAAGTAAATTAGTTTAATAATATTTTACAAAACAGGGGTACTTACTCTGGTTTTATATAGCAAATACCCGCTTCCATTTCACAATAAACAATCGCACGTGTTGGTCTATGTTCTTTTTCTTTACCTTTGTTTTTATCAGTCAGCTGATTCAAGTGCCCTCGTTATCGATAGTTTCAAAGTCACTGAGTGCGTTCAGCATAAACTTCTGAATCGATGAAAACTCTATCGATAAGAGTTTAAACTATCCAATATGTTTAATTTACACGGAAAGTATGTAAACATATATGAACTGGCACCTTCAAGAACTTGCAGAAATTATTTGAAATTGACACACATAACTAGATTAGTTTCAAATTATTAAAGTAACAATATATTAGAGAGTGTATATTGGCTTATCTGTTATATTATATTTACATATATTATTTATACTTCATTGCGTTGAAAACTTCTAACTAACATGAAATGGAATTCAAAATATTCTTTGTTTCTGTGATTATAATAAAATAAAATTATATCGATATATTCCTCTTCACGGTCACTGTAAGTTAAAGCGCTCATCACTGTTGTATAATGCCGCCAGTGAGATGGTGCAGCTGTGTAAATTCCTGTTAAAATCTAGCAAATCGGTGAGAGTAGAGCTAAAATAACTTATTAAAAAATACCATAAATGTTTTTCAATGCTTAGCCCGGTCGTGCCCACTTTCGGCCCACCTTCCTGGACACCCTGCGTCTGGCGGTTCGCGGAGGACATGGTGGCAATGGATTTCCCAAGTACGGAGGAGTCGGTGGCCAAGGCGGTTGCGTTTACTTGGTGGCCAAGGAAGGTCTGACTCTACGGAAGGTCGTCCAGGGATTGAAGGACAAACGGGTTGCCGCCTCCAGCGGTGAGGACAGCAGCAAGGCCAGCATCTTTGGACGCCGTGGAGTCGATCAAAAGATTGAGGTGCCGGTGGGGGTCCAGGTGTTTGACGACCGGCAGAAACTCATCGCCGATCTGGACGAGCACGAGGCTACCTGCATTGTGGCGGGTGGAGGTACCGGCGGCTGCACGGCTACCAATTTCCTGGGGCGTCCCGGAGAGAATCGCACTGTGAATCTGGACCTGAAGCTCATAGCGGACGTGGGACTCGTCGGATTCCCCAATGCTGGCAAGAGCACACTACTCAAGGCCGTCTCCAATGCCAAACCCAAGATTGCGGCTTACCCTTGTGAGTAATAATAAGGTTCTAAATAATATAAAATGCATTAGCCATATTTCTGGCTTATGTACATATATAATCTGCTCACAACAAGTTACTCTCAAATGAAAAGCAATATAGGACTAGAAATCCTAATTTTTACTTATTTATTCCTTATTTTGACTTAGTGGCTTTTCAATTAAATAGAAATCGACAGAGAAGAACTTCTAGTTAATAATGTCACCTTCTTTTTTTACCCAAGTTACCACCATACGGCCCCAGATTGGAACCATCGAGTATAGCGACCTACGCTCCATCACCGTTGCCGATCTTCCCGGCCTCATCGAGGGTGCTCACTCCAACTTCGGAATGGGTCACAAATTCCTGAAGCACATCGAACGCACCCGCCTACTGCTCTTTATGGTGGATATATTCGGCTTCCAGCTGAGTCCTCGCCATCCGCATCGCGACTGTGTGGCCAACATATATGCGCTAGTGAAGGAGTTGGAGCTCTACGATCCATCGCTGCTTGAGAAGCCCAGTGTCCTGTTGCTGAACAAAATGGACAAGGAGGGTGCGCATGAGATCCTCACCAAAGTCAAGCCGATCATCAGCGACCTGGCCAGCGGCCTGGAACAGTGTCCCGAGGAACTGCGTCCAAAACGGGTTGTGAAGTTTGACAGTATTGTCCCCATATCGGCCATGAACTCCACGAAGGTCACGCAAGTGAAGTCCCAGCTGAGGAGGACGCTGGTGCGACTGGCGGAAAAACAGTTTCTGGCTAATGAGGAGCAGATCAAGGAGCAGTTGAAGCAGCGTGTGGGCCTGGTGGGTCCAAAAATTACCTAGTTCTAAGTGTAAAGTAATTTGTCTTAGTTTAGTAGAGTTCGAAATGAAGAAATTAAGATTTAAAATCCTTTGAACATTAAAAAGTTTGATTGTTGCATTTTATTTAATACAATTTGTATCTTAAGTTACTATTTACCTTCTACTCCGTGCAAATAATTTTTGAAGTTATACACAACAAAATGTTAACAATAAAGTTTCAAATGATTTGTTACTAAAAAAAATGATGTTAATAGGATATTTTTTTATTTTTATGTTTCAAATGTTATGTTTAGTTTTTAAGTAATGTCTTAAAATCTTTCGTTTTATTAATAAACTACATTTTGAAAATGTGTTCAAAATAAAAACATGATTTCGGAATAAGATTTAAATTCGAAATGAAGTTTCGAGAAAAAATTGTGCGGAATTACAAAGGGTTTTTGTTTTTTAAGTTATAATTATATATTTCGAAATTTAAACCAGAATCCTTTTTAATGCAAAAATATTGCGAAAGCTCCACAATCGATAATAAAGCTCCCTTTTCGATAAGGCGCTCAGGTCTGCTCTCGATAACGGGGTTAGCCCCATCGCTATGTGCGCTCCTCAAACAGTTTGTTGTTGTGTCTCGCTGGACGTTTCGTTCGTCGCGCGTTCGGGAGCAAAAAAAACGAAAAATGATTAAAACCCAACGCCCGCCCAGAGCCAATAAGATTAGCAATTGCAGAGCAGTTGCAGAGTGCCATGTGTGAAGTGCATCCGCAGTTGTACAATGCAAATGCCGAAGGACAATAGCAACAATGCCAGTTCGATACATACACACAGACGAGGGCCGATGAAAAACTGGTATATAAAAGACGCCAAAAGCTTGCGAAAAAGAGAGCAAACGCGCCCCTAACTTGGCTGCAGGATATCCAAGAAAAGGCGACTCAAAACAGGCGACGATTTGACAGGGACAGGATAAACAAGAAGAGCAACAAACCGTCCGCGATGTCACAACAACACCCCCATCACGCCCACCCCCACTACCACCACTACCCGCCCCCTGCGACGCCCATGTCCCTGCAGCAGCAGCAGCCGCAACAGCACCAGCAGTCGCAACAGCAGCAGCAGCAGCACGCCAATTGGTACTCACATGTTGCTTCCTACCCCACACCCCACTCGGCCTTCAGCTCCGCCCACCCCTCCCCCTGCAAGGCCACCAACAACAACATCATCATGGGTGGTGGCTATGGCTCAGGGGTACCAGGGGGTGTTGGTGGTGGCACGCAGGGGTATTATGGCGCCGCTGGCGGTGGCCTCAATGTCAGTGGGGCGGCGGTGGGTGGTGGCCCAGGCTACGGCCTTGGGGCCAACACAGTGGCATATGCCCACAACCAACTGCTGCAGTACCAACAACAGCAACAGCAACAACAGCAGCAGCAACATCAGCAACTTCAACAGCATCTAAACCCGCAGCGCTCCTATATGGGCCACGAAATCATGACCGGCAGCTACCCTTATATCAAAAGCGAACCGCTGGAGGCTTTCCAGCAGCCCCCCAATCCCATGGCCCCGCCCCCAGCTCCAGAAATATTAATAAAATGTGAGTTACCTCTTCATAATAGTTATACACAAAATGACTATACCTAAAAATACACACTAAATGGTTTTTTTTAAAACAGTAGAACTCCCTTTTAAAAGCCCAGAGAATCAAAAAATTTGTGTATTTTATTAAAAAGATTCTTACAGAAAATGTTTGTAACATAGAGATGAAAATATAAAGTGTAATAATGCTTAAATAATATTTAAATATATGTTATAATTTATCTAGGCAAACCGTTTAATTTTGTAGAACATTCACTATTTCATATATACTTCATATATATTACGAAGATTACAATTACCTAGAAATAATAATCCCTTAAATTAGGACAGGAAAATCGGAAAACTTAATCACCAAATTATTTAAATGTAAAATCCATTTTAATTAAGCCAAGCGATTCCGGGAAGTTAAGCGCAAAATCCATTTTTGCCATAGATACAGATACAGAATACACGCACTACACCAAACTTACTTGGGGCCATTTTCCTATAAGTAGCGTAATTTCAGCTCCGTTTTGGCGTTGAATCAATAAAACGTTTGTTGAGTTTCGCTGAGGTTTGGCGCTTGTTTCGTTCGGTTGGTTTTCGGATTGGGATTCGGTTCTGTCGCTCGTCTCGTCAACCTACGGCTCTGTATCTCTGCCCTGTTCGGTTCCGTACCGGACAATTCTGTTCTGTTTGCGCGTCTCTCGGTATGTGCGAAAGTACGGTTGTCTGTATGTATCCATTTAGCCAATGTATACTCGGATAGATGCTTTATACTACCGGCGTAACCTATTCAGTTCGATTCGTACGCACACATATAACCCAATAAGTGTGCATATCATCTCCCCCTTTCGGTTTTCGGAATGGGTTGTAGGTTGTGGGGTACGGAACTGTCTTCCAAGTCGCATCTTATGTAACGTGCTCCCATAGACTAACCTAAAAATGATTGGTTCCGCCCGGTACTCCCCGCACTGTCAATTTAATGGGCGTGTGGGTGGGGCGAAATCCAGAGAGTAAAACAAATATTATTGAGTACGCACAAAATACGTAGCCCGCCCAGAAACAACGATTTTACTATAATTAATAAGTTCAACCTCTCATATCTGATATGTTTGCCAACTCGTATTCCACTTATGTGTTTTTTTACAATCCATACCAAAACATATATGTACATATCTGGTTGATGCAAAACTGAAAATTAAAAAGAGAATAAATATAAGTTCTCTTATCTTTTATTTTGTCAATCAATCAGATAAGCATGTATTTTTAAAACTATTTTATTTAGTTCAAATGTACAAAGGCCAATTTAGTACCATAAATAATGTAAATGGATGAAATATCTGTTTGTCTGCAGAGCACTCTGTTATCTATCAATTTTGTGTAGGCGCATTCTTATCAGCAACCAAAGGGGAGTTCAAAATACAATTCGAAACCATAGAAACAAACAATGGGTACATAATTTTCATCTGCGCAGAGTTTTCCGGAACAGTTTTTTTTTGTATTTGTGTAAGACTCGGTTGAACAAATTTATATAATTCTGTAGGAATAAATAAATAAAATAATTACAGTTACAATTATATAACAACTAAAGGCTCACATTTTTTAAAAGACTTAATATACTTTTTGTATAAGTTTTTCTGTCAAAGCTAACTAACTTTTAAAGTAGTCGTGCAATAATTAACAAAATATTTTTTTTTCCACAGCGGAACCTATTGATGAACATTCCTACAAGTCCAACTATATAGACGATAACACGCCATTTGCCGACTTCAGCAAGTTCAGCGAATTCAGCGAGGACATGCTGAGTCCCAAAGTGGAGTTGACCGTCAAGGATGAGTCCTACGGAAGAGTAAGTGAAGAGGTCTACTTCTCAGACAAAACGTCTAAACAATCATTATTTCCATTTCAGAATCCCAACAGCTTTCTGCGCCGGAAACAGCAGTTGGATCGCAGCGCCGAAAGTCTGCCGATCTGCCAGCGTTGCAAAGAGGTCTTTTCAAGAAGCAAACCTATCTGCGGCATGTGGCCGAGAGCAACTGCGGCATACAGGAGTACGACTTCAAGTGCAGCACCTGCCCCATGTCCTTCATGACCACCGAGGAGCTGCAGAGGCACAAGCACCAGCACCGGGCAGACAGGTTCTTCTGCCACAAGTACTGCGGCAAGCACTTTGACACGATCGCAGAGTGCGAGGCGCACGAGTACATGCAGCACGAATACGAGAGCTTTGTGTGCAACGTAAGCCGATTTATTTTGATGGTCGTCTGGATCCCTGTAACATTGATCTACCGTTTTGCAGATGTGCTCAGGAACCTTCGCCAATCGAGAGCAGCTATATGCACATCTTCCTCAACACAAGTTCCAGCAGCGATTCGACTGTCCCATCTGCCGTTTATGGTACCAGACAGCCCTCGAGCTTCACGAGCATCGCCTGGCAGCACCATACTTTTGTGGCAAATACTACACGGGCGGACAGTCCTCCTCAGCTTCACAGCCGCAGACACAGCAGCACCAAAACCAGACGAATTACAAGCTACAAGATTGCCATATGGCAACCATGGAAAGTAAGTGTGAAGGCAGGCAGATTTTTCCAATCAAATGAATTATGTTTATTGCATCTGTATAACATCACTTTTGAAATGCAATTAATAGCTGTTTTATAAGCATATGTAATCCAATTTCACTAAGGGTTCTCATAGAAGCTTATTTACTCACCTATAACAAAACTATTACTTACAAGAAATATTCAAAAATTGTGGCACCAATATTAAAACATACCAAACTCAACATAGAAAGACGATTTTTGTGGCACCCAGAAGATAACCTTGTGACCTCTAGATGATTTAAACATTCAATTTTAGAGGAGAGATGGGAGGTTGAGTTTACATTTCGTACTCATAGAACAATGTTTTGTATTGTACCATAAAGCAGCGTTTCCAATTTTATAAAGCACCGAAACTTATAAACACTTGTAATGCACACCCATGTCAAAATTGTTTTAATTTTGATTGTTTTGAATTGCTCAAAAACAAGACAACTGAGTGATTAGTTTATGTATAAACTTGTATTTAAGGAAAGTACACAAATTTTCTGGTTGGAATAGTTATACCCTCCAAAGCTACATAAAGCTATTTATAAAACGAGTTAATTGTCTTTCTTTTTAGTGCCCACCGCCCCGCATCACAAATCTAACCCATCCAGCTCATCCTTGCCGGCTACAGCTGCACTAAATTCACTGCTGCAGCAGCGGCAGGCGAATGCCGATGGAGCGGCCATGTTTGCCGCATCCGCGCTGAAGAATGAGGTGAATGTTAAGCTAGAGCGTAGCTATAGCAACTCGACCAGTGAGTCATCCTACAGCGTTCAGGATAGCAGCTACAACAATGCCTATGGCAGCGATAGCTCCATCCACGGCGGAGCCATCGCGGGTCCGCAGGCCCATTCTTCCACGCTGGACGACTCCGAGGACGCCCTGTGCTGTGTACCGCTGTGCGGAGTGCGCAAAAGCACAAGTCCCACGCTGCAGTTTTTCACGTTCCCCAAGGACGAGAAGTACCTCAACCAGTGGCTGCACAATCTCAAGATGTTCCACATACCCGCCGCAAGCTACACCAATTTCCGCATCTGCAGCATGCACTTCCCGAAGCGCTGCATCAACCGCTACTCGCTGTGCTATTGGGCGGTGCCCACCTTCAACCTGGGCCACGACGACGTAGCCAATCTCTACCAGAACCGGGAACTTACCAACACCTTTACTACCGGCGAAGTAGCCCGCTGCAGCATGCCACACTGCACCAGCCAACGGGGTGAGAGCAACCTGAAGTTCTACAATTTTCCCAAGGACATCAAGAGCCTGATCAAGTGGTGCCAGAACGCACGACTTCCTGTGCAGGCGAAGGAGCCGCGACACTTCTGCAGCCGCCACTTTGAGGAGCGCTGCATCGGCAAGTTCCGACTGAAGCCCTGGGCGGTGCCCACTTTGCATCTGGGTGCCCAATATGGCAAGATACACGACAATCCAAAGAATCTCTACGTGGAGGAAAAACGCTGCTGCCTGAACTTCTGCCGCCGAAGCCGATCCTCTGACTTCAATATGTCGCTATATCGATTCCCCAGAGACGAGGTGCTCCTGCGGCGCTGGTGCTATAATCTCCGCCTGGATCCGGGAGTGTATCGCGGAAAGAACCATAAAATATGCAGCGCCCACTTTATCAAGGAGGCGTTGGGTCTGCGGAAACTATCACCGGGTAAGCTTTGAAATAATAATTGCATCTGCCTTTTTATCTAAAATTAAAATATTCGTAAGACATACTAACCAATTTCCTTAATGCAGGTGCCGTTCCAACGCTCCACCTGGGTCACACTGACACCTTTAACATCTACGAGAACGAGCTGTGGCCCCCGCCGACAGCCTCTGGCAGTGGCCTCCAGCAGCACCAGGCGCAACATCACACCTCGCAACACTCATTGCAGCAGCAGCTGCACAGCAAATCCTACCAGCGTCACTCGGCGGCCTCTACGTCGTCCTCGGCCAGTTCTGCCACCTCGCACTACGTGGATCCGGAAATGAACGCCTCCTATCTGGCCATGGGTGCCGGCGGATCCTCGGCGATTAACGCCAGCGACTGCATGGACATCTGCTGCGTGCCTAGTTGCGAGAGCAAGCGGCACAACAACGAGAACATTACATTCCACACCATCCCACGCCGGCCGGAGCAAATGCGCAAGTGGTGCCACAACCTGAAGATACCCGAGGAAAAGATGCACAAGGGCATGCGGATCTGCAGTCTGCACTTCGAGCCCTACTGCATCGGCGGCTGCATGCGTCCGTTTGCGGTGCCCACCCTTCAGTTGGGTCACGATGACGAGGATATTCATCGGAATCCGGACGTGATTAAGAAGCTCAACATCCGGGAAACGTGCTGCGTCGCCGTTTGCAAACGAAATCGGGACAGGGACCATGCCAACCTGCATCGGTTCCCTAGCAACGTGTCGCTACTGACAAAGTGGTGTGGCAATCTGCAGCGGTCTGTTCCGGATGGCAGTAAGCTTTTCAACGACGCCATCTGCGAGGTGCACTTCGAGGATCGATGCCTGCGCAACAAAAGGCTAGAAAAGTGGGCGGTGCCCACCCTGATTCTGGGTCACGAGAACATCCCCTATCCGCTGCCAACGCCGGAACAGGTGGCCGAGTTCTACGCTCGACCCACGGCTCCCAATAATGGCGAGGAGCAGGGCGAGTGCTGTGTAGAGAGCTGCAAGAGGAATCCCAGTGTGGACGACATCAAGCTATACCGGCCGCCTGAGGAAGCCTCTGTGCTGGCCAAGTGGGCGCACAACCTGCAAACGGAGGCCGGTCAGCTGACGAGTATGAGGATCTGTAATCTTCACTTCGAGGCACACTGCATTGGCAAGCGAATGCGGCCGTGGGCCATACCCACACTAAATCTGGCAGGTAACATAGAGAATCTCTACGAGAATCCGGAGCACTCAATGCTGTACAAGCGACGAACTCATGCAAAGACTAAGCTTCCGGCCTCGGTGAAGCCCACTTGGGTGCCCAGGTGCTGTCTTCCACATTGCCGCAAAGTTCGAGCTCTTCACAACGTCCAACTGTATCGCTTCCCCAAGCTCAATCGCTCCACTCTGGCCAAGTGGTCGCATAATCTGCAGGTTCCCATGGTGGGTAGTGCCCAACGCCGGCTATGTTCGGCTCATTTTGAGCCGCATGTGCTGAGCAAGAAGTGTCCGGTGCCGCTGGCGGTGCCCACGCTAGATCTTAACTCTCCGCCCGGCCTGAAAATCTACCAGAATCCGGCCAAGCTGAAGGCAAGCAAGCTGTGCCTACAGCGGGTGTGCATAGTAGAAAGCTGTCGCAAGACGAGGGCGCAGGGCGTCCAGCTATTCCGACTTCCCCATAGTCCCACGCAGCTGCGCAAGTGGATGCACAACATCAAGACGCGTCCGAGGGCGGCGATGAGGGCTCAGTACCGGGTTTGTTCCCGCCATTTTGAGACGCACTCGTTCAATGGCCGGAGACTAAGTGCTGGCGCCATTCCCACCCTGGAACTGGGTCATGACGACGAGGACATCTATCCCAACGAAGCTCAGGCCTTTGCGGACGAGCACTGTGTTGTGGAGGGCTGCGAGGCATCCAAGGAACAGGCGGATGTGAGACTCTTCCGTTTTCCGACCGATGACGACGACATGCTGTGGAAGTGGTGCAACAACCTCAAGATGAATCCCGTGGATTGCACCGGAGTGCGCATATGTAACAAACACTTCGAAGCGGATTGTATCGGACCCAAGCACCTGTACAAGTGGGCTATTCCCACCCAAGAACTGGGCCACGACGACGCCCAGATCGAGCTGATACCGAATCCCAAGCCAGAGGACAGGTATGTGGACCCGGTGTTCAAGTGCATCGTACCCACTTGCGGAAAGACGCGTCGCTTCGACGAGGTGCAGATGAACAGCTTCCCCAAGGACCCGAATCACTTCCAACGCTGGCAGCACAACCTGCGGCTGGAGCACCTTAATTTCCTGGAACGCGAGCGCTATAAGATCTGCAATGCCCACTTTGAGGATATCTGTATTGGCAAGACACGGCTGAACATAGGTTCAATTCCCACTTTGGAGCTTGGTCACGACGAAACGGAGGACCTGTTCCAGGTAAATCCGGAGGAGTTGCAGAGTAACCTTTTCGGACGCCAGCGGCGGGTTCACGAGGAATCAGGCGGAATAAGCATCAAGCAGGAACTTTCGGAGCCGGAAGACATTAAGCCGGATGTGACGATCATGTCCGGTCTCAGAGATCCCATTACCAGACAGGTGAGTTTCTCTATGCTAAGTATTATTCTATTATTATATTACATACATTTCTGTTTTTTTTTAATTCAGGCTAAGTTCAAGAAAACGATGTGCGAACTAAAGTGCTGTGTGCACAGCTGTGGACGCAGTCGCCTGGAGCACGGAGCTCGGCTCTTTCCGTTTCCCACCGGCAAGCAGCAGCATCTCAAGTGGCGCCACAATCTGCGCCTGGAGCCCGACGAGGTGGACCGTTCGACGAGGGTTTGCAGTGCCCACTTCAATCGGCGCTGCATCGACGGCAAGCAATTGAGGAGCTGGGCAATGCCCACCCAGCAATTGGGTCATCAGGAGCAGCCGATCTACGAGAACCCAAAGAACATTCCAGGATTCTTCACGCCCACCTGTGCCCTCGGTCACTGTCGCAAGCGGAGGAGCATCGACAACGACCTGCGCACGTATCGGTACCCAAGAAGTGAGGATCTGCTGGAGAAATGGAGGGCGAATCTGCGACTATCGCCGGATCAGTGCCGCGGTCGCATTTGTGCGGATCATTTTGAGGCCCAAGTGCGAGGCAAGCTGAAGCTCAAGACTGGGGCGGTGCCCACTTTAAAACTGGGCCATGATGAGGGCTTAATATTCGACAATGAGGCCATTAAGGTGGGCGTGCCAGAAGATGAGGAAGGCAGCTCGGAGTTGCCGCGACTGAAGCCCAAAAGGGAGCCAATCGATGAGGAGGAGGAAGACGGCGAGGTTGACGAGGAGCACCATGACCAGGATAACGAGGATGAAGATGAGAAAGACGACCACTATTTTGATCCCCTTGAACTGGTTGAGACCTTTGCCGAGCATGCATCCGATGAGGAAGCGGAATATCGTGGGGATGAGGAGGACGATCGAGACGAAGAGGACCTGGAGGAAGTCCTGCCGGACATGCCACCCACTCCTCCAATCGTGCCTCTGCGTCGCGAAAAGCCCGCCAACAATGTGACGCCCATTTGCTGCCTCAAGCACTGCAGAAAGGAACGCACTGCCTTTCACTTGCTCAGCACCTTTGGTTTCCCCAAGGATCGCCAGCTGCTGCTTAAGTGGTGCGCAAATCTCCACCTCAATCCGGATGACTGCATCGGCCGAGTTTGCATCGAGCACTTCCAGTCGGAGGTACTCGGAACCCGTAAGCTTAAGCAGAATGCAGTGCCCACTCTCAATGTAGGACATAATGAGCCACTCAAATACTCATACAACGGCGTGGACCAGGATCAGGAGCAATCGCCGGCACAGCAGTCGGTTTTTCGGCTTTGGAGCCTAAAACACTGCCGCAAGAGGAAACTAACAGAGCCGCCGGACATTCGCCCAAGCAAGTGGAATTCGATGGAGGTTCAGATGATGCGGAGATTGAAGATGGAAATGCAGATAGAGAGGGAGATCAAGATGGAGATGAAGATGGAGCGGGAGATAAAGACAGAGGCGAAGACTCCAACGAAGAATCTGAGGGAGAGTGAAGTGGAAAGATGTTGCATCAGCACCTGCGAAAACAAGGATGTTAGCCAGTTACTTCCAATGCCTGAGGACCCAACTCTTTTAAGAAAATGGCAGCATAACCTGAAGCTGTCAATGGACACGGTGCCAAGCAAGATTCGCGTATGCCTGGATCATTTTGAGCCGAAAGTTGTGCGAAATAGAAAGCCCACAGAGCAGGCAGTACCGACCTTAAAACTGGACCAAATAAGTTCGAACATCTACAGAAACAACGGGTCGTGTTTGGTGCCCGACTGCGCCAGTTCCCTTTCGGATCGCTTGAGCTTTGTGGATTTGCCGGAAAATATGGTCATAAGAGCGGAATGGATGTCCTACCTAAAACTGTCTCTCAGTGAGGGACTATTATGTGGTATCCACTTTATAGAACTGTATGAGAATGTGGTTTTGCCAAAGGTTTTGCCCGCACAAGATTTCGAAATGCTGCATTTGACTTTTGATGAATTTAAATGCGCTGTGCCGGACTGCTCCTCCAAAATTGACCATGATCTTCAGCTTGTCCCGCTGCCAGACAAGGAAGTGACTCTTTTTAAGTGGCTGCATAACACTAAGATTGCATACGATCAATCAAGGCATAAGAGCTATCGCATCTGTCTGCATCACTTTGAGCCAACGTGCCTAGAGTCGGATTTACCGAAGGTTTGGGCTTTACCCACTTTGCATCTGAACCATGAGGACAAGATTCATTTGAATCCTGGCCAGGAATCCCGCAGTGAAACCCCTAATAGCAACTCCAGACTGACTCCTCTAAGAATAAAGACAGATCTTGCCTCACTAGGCAGTCCCTGCGCGAGTGCAAGTCCCAGTCCTCGAGGCAGGATCAGGATATGCTGCATTCCTTCATGCGGACAGTTTGGGAATAGTCAAATACGTCTCTACCGCTTCCCCACCGAAGAGCAGGCCTTGCTACGTTGGCTGGTGAACACACAGCAACAGCCTCGCCTGGTGGATCCCCTCGAGCTTTACGTGTGCCAGTCCCACTTCGAACCCGATGCCATATGCAAGAAGCAGCTTCGCAGCTGGGCGGAGCCCACCTTGAACCTGGGCCACGACGGTCATGTCATCCCCAATGCCAGGCACAACGGGAACATCGCCGACAGCCAGGAGACTGAGCAAGCGATGACGTTCATCCGGGAACGCTATTGCTCCGTACTGACCTGCTTCCAGGCTGAAGGTAATGGAGTGAGGCTCTATGAGTATCCCAAGGATATGGCAACTATACGAAAGTGGGCAGCAGCATGTCGACATCGCTCCATGCAAGCCAGCAGCCATGGGTTCAAAGTGTGCCAGTCTCACTTTGCTCCGGAGTGCTTCGATCCTATCACTTTAGATCTGATTGACGGATCGGTTCCCACTCTGGAGTTGAGTAGAGATGACATTGAACGACACTGCCTAGTGTCGGGATGTGTGAAGGATGCGACTGGAGAACGTCTGCGCTACTACAAGGTGCCAAAGACTGCGGCTCAGCTGGATGCCTGGAGTAATAACCTGAAGATCAATTCTATGGACCTCCTTCAGGGAGATCAGCTCATCTGCGAGCGTCACTTTGAATCCTTTTGCTTTGGTGCCAGCAAGGGACTGCGGCCTGGAGCGCTTCCAACTCTCCAGCTAGGTCATGACGAAGAGGTGGAGATGTTACCCAATCCTGAAAGCCTCTGCCAGAGCAAGTCGCAGGTTTGCTGCGCCCCAGGATGCGGTAGTATTTGGCAGCTTGGAGAAACTCACTTCAGTGGATTTCCCAAAGTATGGGCGTTGGCCGACAAATGGATGTATAATCTCCGACTGAAAGCATCTAAGGATCAGATAGGCAAGCTGAAAGTCTGCGGTTCCCATTTCGAAGCCTCCCTATTCGATAAAAGCGGATTAATATTTGGTGCGATCCCCACTCTGGAGCTGGGTCATTCCTCTCCGGACATTTTTCAAACGGATAAGCAAAGCCTTGGCAAGAGCTTAAAGTTGTCCAAGCGTTCCCAGATAGCGGAGACCGATTGCTGTTATCCTGAGTGCAAGGAACTGTCTAAAAGCTTGTCATTCAATCTGCCCCAGGATGAGCACCTTAGAATAGCATGGTTGCGTCATTTGGGCATGGAAGAGCCGTCGAATGGTGTCGCACTGCTTTGCCCGCTGCACTACGTCATTCTATATGAGCTTAGTGTCAAAAGTTTTCCAGAGCATGTTCCAAATCGAATACTTGAGGATAATTACCATTCTGCTAGGAGCAACAGGCGTGTAAAGATCGTTAGCTGTGCGGTCAGAGGTTGTGATATGATCCGGCCCCGGGATAAGGTTCTCCTGCACGGATTGCCGCAAAGAAAAGACATCCTGATGATGTGGGTAGAAAATGGCCAGTTGGAGATCACCGAGCAGCAGCAACAGTACATGCTCAAGGTATGCCGCAATCACTTTGAGTCACGATGCTCGTTTGACGACAGGCGTTTGCATCCTTGGAGCGTTCCCACTCTACTTTTACCAGCTGATCCAGTGTATCAGATTCCCACCAAAGAGGAGTGGCTGGAGATGACGGCCAAAATTAGACAGGATCCAGGGGAAATCAATGAGGAAAGGGAGGAAGAGCTGCCGGTGCAGGAAGAGGATGAGGCGGATAACTCTCTGTTGGAGCCAATTGTGAGAATGGAGCACATCGAGTCGGAGGAGGAAGACTCGGAGATGCAGGCCCTGGAGGTGCTCTTGGAGGTCGGTCACGTTGAGCGGATGGACAGCTACGAACACGTGGACACCGAACATGCAACCTACCAATCTGGTGGCATTCGGAACCAGTATAATGCGAACCACTGCGCCGTTGAGGGATGTGAGGTGACCGCCGAGGACGTGGACGGAACCATCAAGCTGCACAAGTTTCCCGCCTCTTCGGAGGCCGCCCAAAAGTGGATGCACAACACCCAAGTTCACATGGACGAGAAGTTCTGGTGGCGCTATCGCATTTGCAGTTACCATTTCGACCAGGAGTGCTTCCAGAGCGCCAGGATTAAGAAGGGAGCGATGCCCACACTGCTTTTGGGACCTAATAGACCGGACAAGCTGTACGACAATGAATTCGCATTGCAGGAGGCAGAAGAGCCGCCTCCCTTGCCAGCAGAAGTTCTGTTAGAGGAGCAAGAGGAGCCGCTAATTGAAAAGGTGACCAATCTGTGCCTGCCGCCGCCAGCTCCGCCTCGAAAGTCTAGCAAGTTTTGCCAGGTAGACGGATGTACGAATCACCTGACCACCGAGAACATGACGCTACACAAGTTTCCCCACTCAGAGGACATGTGCCTCAAGTGGCAGCACAACACGCAGGTGCCATTCAATCCCTACTACCGGTGGCGGTATCGCATCTGCAGTGCCCACTTCCATCCCGTGTGCCTGGTGAACATGCGCCTAGTCCACGGCAGCGTGCCCACCTTGAAGCTGGGAACTAAGGCTCCCACCGAGCTCTTCGACAACGACTTCGAGGCCATCAACCTAAGGCTGGACAAGCGGTCGGGAGCGGAGCCAAGTTCCGTGCAGATCAAGGAGGAACGGGATGAGGATGAAGACTCAATGCTGTTCCTAGAGCCCGAACTGCAGCTGCACGAAGACAAAGAGGAGGAGGAAATGGCAGAGACGCAAATACCCTTCAATCACTCCAACTGGAAGAGCCAGCTCCGCCTGCCCGTAAAACAGGTGAAGGTGTACTACAACCAGGTGAAGTCAGGCTACGATAAGTGCTCGTTGAGTCATTGCCAGCGACAGAGATCTCAGCACGGCGTCCACATCTACAAGTTTCCGAAATCAAAGCAACAACAGGACCGTTGGATGCACAACCTCCGCATTCGTTACGATGAGCGGCGACCCTGGAAGTTCATGATCTGCAGTGTGCACTTTGAGCCACACTGCATCAGTCTGAGAAAGCTGCGTCCCTGGGCGGTGCCCACGCTGGAACTGGGCGACAATGTGCCGGAGAAGATCTTCACAAACGAGCAATGCCAGGAACTTTCCACTGATCGCAGCGAGGCGGACAGTGAAGGCGACGAGGAGGAGGATGGCCTGCAGGAGGACGAGGAAGAGGAGGAGGAAGAGTATGACGAGGACATGGAGCCGGAGGTTCGCGTCAAGCGGGAGCGACGTTCCAAGCTGGATCCTTGGCCTCCCGGGCAGGTTCCGCCCTGGAAGGTCAAGCAGTGCTGCCTTCCATATTGCCGTGCTTTCCGGGGTGATGGCATCAAGCTTTTCCGACTGCCTAACAATCGCAACTCCATCCGCAACTGGGAAGTGGCAACAGGAATGGTTTTCAAGGAGTCACAGCGAAACACTCGTCTGATCTGTAGCCGCCATTTCGAGCCCGAGCTGATTGGAGTAAGGCGTCTCATGCGAAACGCCATCCCCACAAGGCATTTGAATTCCCAAGGAGCACCTGACGATGTGAAGAGGAAGCCGGATCCTCCTGTTCCCATTGCAACTTGCTGCATGGCTGACTGCCATCACAATGGAAACGTCAAGCTGCACAAGTTTCCCAGTGGTAAGTGAAGAGCTTTGTGCAAGCGGAATTCAGTTCAAACGTTTCGTTTTTATAGATCCCGCGCTGCTTAGGCAGTGGTGCCAAGCACTCCGACTAACGGATACGCAACGATACCGGGGCAAACATATCTGCTCGGTCCACCTGCCCACCGACAAGACGATTAGCTGCGTTGTCTGCGGGGTGGACAACGTTCAGCTGCCGATGCTGGACTTTCCGCAGCAGCGCAATCAACGCGCAAAGTGGTGCTACAATCTCAAGATCGAGGCCATACCAAAGTGGGACCACTCCAAGCACATCTGCTGTCGTCACTTTGAGTCCCATTGCTTTGTCCAGCCGGATGAACTACGACCAGGAGCGATTCCCACGCTGCATCTGAATCACGATGATACAAACATATTCCTTCTCGACTATGCCGCTGGTCCGACGGGCAATCGGATCAAAGACGAGCCCTTGTTCAACGACGACATGCTGCTGGTTTAGTCTACCCACAAGGAATCATTTTAGTCTAGTTTTAGCTGTACCATTTTATAGACCTTTTTGTACATTCATTGTACCAATGCCACATCACGTCTTCTAGTTTTACCATGTAGTCTCTACCGGTGATTTTAATGCGTTATTAACTCGTAAGTGGCTTTAGGATAAAACGCCATACAAAGAAACAAACAACACACAATGTTCCTTAAGTTTTTGTTTTTACTTTTTATACATCGTACTTTAACTGTGAATGAAATGTGTTTTAGTTTCCATGATACATATATAGATATAAACTATAGACGCATACATATTATGTAATATCCTTGAGCGTATATGTGTAGACTTGTAGAAGATGACCCAATAATAGTTGGTGTTTTTCTAAATATACATATTACTGAAATTGAAACTGAGCGAATTGAAAAGAGTATGATTAACTCATAATATCATACATAGCATTTCTTTTTGGGAAAAAGGCTCTGTAAATCAAAAATAAAAGGTATTCCTTACTAACAAATATGGTAATACAACAACACAATGTTTGTGATATCCTGCGGTTTAAAATTTACAAAAAATTTTAATAATGAATTAACACAAAATTAATGTTTTTTAAAAAGTAAATATTTCAGAATGGATTCCGAGGATGCCGTTAAAATGTGGCTGTACAACACCCAGGTGAAATTGCCCAGGGAGCTGCAACTTTCGGATCTGAGGCCTCCACTTTAATCAGGATTGTTTTCAAGCATCCAGGGTTTTGATCAAAAAACCGAAATAAAAGTTGATTTTTCAGCATCTGCCGGATTTTGGCATTTTTCATAAGATTTTTTGCGGAAAATCGACTGAAAGGATATTATTTTAGCTGTAAATGCCACTCGGTTGGAATTTAACGAGGTATGCCATTCCAACATTCGACCATTATTTGCCAGGGCTTCAAAAAATTGGATTTAACAGATCATAATAAAAAAAGACAACAAATGAGTATGTGTGTCCTAACTTTAGCCATTTATTTTAAATTTATAAATGGACATGTTTTCTTTATAAATTTGATTACTGGTTATATATATTGGTAATTTTCTTAATTTACGTATACGTAACAATTAATATCCTTAATTTTTGTAATATGAATACCTTAAAACTTGAGTTTGACTATGTTTTGTGCAAAAACGGCGTATGCTTACAAAATCTGTTATTACAATCCGTAAAAAAGATGTACATATATTGCTTAAACACTACCTGATAGTTTTGGCAGGGAAGTGTTCTTGTTTATGTTCTTAAATGACAAGTTTCTAACTTTATTTCAAAATTTTAAGAGATGATAAAAAGTTGAAAAAAAATATATTTGTGAAGGTAATGCATTGTTTACTTAAAAAGCTAACGCTTTAGTTTATAGAGAAACACTTTAAATTATTCTAAGAATTATTCTTTATGCCAGAACTTTGTTTGGAAACTTAGCTACCAATGTAGGTGAATTTGGGGCTACTGCTTTCCGGCCTCGTTCGCGGATGATCCATCTTCGTTATGTGGGTAACCGGCGTCCAGGAAGAGATTGCGATCCGATTTGTTTGACTGCAATGGGGCATGTGATTGGATTAATATGGATAGTGGGGGATCCAGTAACCTCACTTACATCTCGGTACTTTTGCAGGTAAATGGAGAGTGGTTCCACGTAATTGTCAAATCCCAGATTGCTGAACGCCACCAGCAGGTCGTCCCCGTTAACCGTTTTGCGATTCTCCGCCACGCTGCGTTCGATTGCCTCGCTGCTGATGAAGGATATAAACTCGGAGACGCACTCCTGGATGCATTCGCGGGCGTCCTTGGCGATCTTCCCGTTCTGCGGCACAGGCACCTTCATGATCTTGATGATGTTGCATATGGGCAGGAAGCGGTCCTGTTCGCGCAGCATAATCCCCCCATCCTGTTTGTCCGATTCGTCTGCGGGGGTTGAAAGCAGGAGGATTCGTAGGCAAATTCATATTGCGTAGTTGATTTCCCACTTACCGCCGGAGGCCTCGTCTTCCTCTTTGACCAGCATGTCGTTCAGATACTGCTGCGAGTCCTCGCTATTGCTCATATCTTAAGATTTACCTGATTTCCTCAAAGGATTCGGTTTTGTTTACTTTACTTTTTTGCTTTTGGTTATTAGTGGTGGTAGCTTAGTGCGCCTATCGATATACGTACTTCAACCGATAGTCGCTTTGTGGGGTCTGGCAACGCTCTGAATATCGATAGAAAGATAGATCAGTGAACGGATCGCAGCGGTATATTTATTGCATGCAAAAAAACGGAGCAAGATGCGCGTGGATTTGGCTCTGGTCAAGGAGGAAATGGAAATAGATGAGGTCAAGTTGGAGCCCCAGGACGATTTGCAGGACAGTGGCATCAAAATATTGAGCGGTAAGCTTGCAATTGCTCTCCGCTCACATGGGCCTGTGTGTGTGCCGCTGGGTGCACGAGTGTGGGTGTCGCTATTCTATTACGCACTATACCGTTAACTTTTAATTTTTGCTACTTTTTTGCAAAACTTCAGCATGTGATACGTTGAAAATCCTTGAAGAGGGTTCCCACATTATAACCGTGCCGGTTAGGGATCGCCCGGAATCGGAGGACGAGCGCGAATTCATTGCCAGCCTCGGACTCGATCGGCAACAGGTAAATATAACCTAAAAAGCACGCCCACACAAGGGCGTAGGGAAATGAGCCTGGGAGGATCGCTTTTATTTCATGAATCGTTTCTGTTCTTAGAAAATATAAAAAGCGTATTTTCTTTTCTTTTTCTAATGTTAAAGTATTTTGTATTAGGCAAACTTATCTCAGCTTGAAGATCATGTTATTTCTCTATGTACACATAAAATATACATTTTAATATTCTTTATTGCAGATATTTTCGGTTTCATCGGAAGGCAACCCATTGCAAAGAAAATGCAACATCTGCAATTATGTCCTTGAAAGTCAACTGGAGATCTCGAGCCACCAAGTCAACCATGAAATGAACCGGCATTTCTGTCGTCTGGGATGTATCATTTGGTTAGACACCCTAGAGCAGATCCTTGAGCATGAATATCGCCACCACTCACAGCCAGGACATGTATTCTGTTGTAGGGTAAGCTCTTAAAAGTATTATACATTTTTTCAAATGCATTAACAATTTATTTTTAGGTTTGTGATTATCTAGCCACAGACGCGGATTGCCTGGCTACCCATATGAAAACACATATTTATCTATATCGTTTTGTTTGTGCCATTTGTCGTCGCCATTTTGAGTCCCACCAGAGCCTTAATCTGCATTGGAAGGATGACCAGTTCGTCTGCGGGCAGGTGCAGTACATGGAGGCGCTATCCTCCAAAGCAGAGCTTGTGGCAGTTAAGACACCAGTTTCTACAGAGTCGCTGTGCGACGTACAAATCAAAACGGAGCCGCTCAGTTCTGAGGAAATAGAACAAATGCTATTGGAAGGCATTCCTCCAAACAGCGTTAAATTCGAACCCCAGGACGAGGAAATGCTAGAAGATAGCATTAAGAAGGAATTCAAGGAACACTCTATCGATAATGGTTCTGTCTGGCCAACCATACCTATTCCACTCAGGAACAAACTGCGCCTGCCTGCTTTGAGCTCCAACAAACTGCATTCGGATTCAAAAAGTAAGAACTTTCAACTATAATCTATAAATTCATTAAAATTCGATTTTTGCAGGTGTGAAATGGAATAATCGACCCATTTCAAATGTGATGGCCGACAATACAAGGATTCTACAAAGTGGTAGACAAGACTCAGTGGAACAAAGAAAGACGCCCATCGCAGCAAATATACTGAAAGTATTGCCCAGCAACTGCATGGTCATTAAGTTGCCGCCCAACACAAAAATCTTTAAGATGCCTGATCAAGCTCCGACTGGCCTTAAGATGCCAGGTCAAGCTCCGGCTGTCTTAAAGGACTCCCTTCAAGTTAGTCTAAGTGGCATGGAAAAGGCAGCAAGTGTCATTAAGATACCGCATGCAATTAGTATAACCAAAGTCAATTTTGCGGAAAATTCTGTTTCCACTCCTGTTTCCATTATCCAAACTGCGCTCCCGGCACAGACCCACAATCGGTCGTGCTTTCTCAGTGACGCGTTTAACAAATCGGAGAGCCGACCCGAATCACTGAAGATAATTTCCGAAATTCGTAATCAAATTCGCTCCATAGAGAAGACATTGCCTCTGCCGGGAACAGTGCTGCAAACTTCAAAGATGAAAAAGGATAACCATTTGCCAACTCCTTTGATTGCTTCAAAGGATGCACCAAAGCCCATTGAACTAATTCTCAGCCCATTGTCTTTTATGTTGGCCAAGGAGCTGCAGAACAAGCATCCACTTTATCGTTTTATGTGGACTTGTCCGGAATGCCAGCGCTCTTTTGAGAAGCATTCCGCATTTCGTACGCACTTGACTACCAAGCATGATTTAAGCCAGGAAAAACTGAACAGTCTCAAAGTGATCTTAATGCCATACAAAAGTAAGTTCTTGAAATTATTGTGGGTTATTTGTTTCCTTGAAATTTTTAAATTTTTTTCCTCTTCTTTTTTTTTATAGTACTCTCACAGAATTCATTGGAAACGCTTGTAGACTCTAAGCTACAAGTACCTGAACCTTCTCCAGTCCCGGACAAGGTTGTTAATTTGCCTTGTCCGCTAAACGCTAGTGAAGGTGTTGCTCCCTTGATAGATCAGACATCGGCTAAACCAAATATTTGTGAAGATGTATCACCGCCAATGAAAACCGATGAGAAATCAGCAGGCTCGAAGAAGTCGACGAAGAATAAATTAAAATGCACAGAGTTCCAGTGCACGGAGTGCTCTAAAGTATTTACCACATTTGGAGCGCTACGCATCCACAAGTCAATTCACACAGGAGATTTGCCGCATAAGTGTAACTATTGTGACAAACGCTTTCGAACTCCTGGCCAGGTGCGGGTACACCACCGTCGTCACACCGGGGAGAAACCCTTTAAATGCAAGGTGAGCACTGGTAAAAGCAAACGCATGCAGTCTTTAATATTTTTTTCCGTTTTGCAGGTCTGCTCATTGGATTTTACTCACCGTGAAACTCTAATTTCTCATCTATCGCGCCATATTGGAATGAAGCGTTATAAATGCTATGGATGCGACAAATATTTTGTAGTTGTCAGCGGATTACGAGCCCATCGTCGCCTCCGTCCGGACACCTGCGGCAAGGTCAAATTTACTGCGCGAGCGCACGGCCCTCGGGTAAGGGTCATCAGGGGGGAGGTGGTCTTCGAACATCACCCAGAACACAATGGCTACCTACGCAGTGAGGATCCGCTCAACATTTTGTCACAGCGCGATCAGACCGACTCGACCCCAGTTGAAATTGCTAGGGTCTGAACTAATTGTTATGTTTGTTTTTCTCACCAATCTATCTTTACCTTTTCCATTCGAATGGCACCACTATGATATATTTTGTATTTTTTTAAAAAATGCATTCAAAATTAAAATATTTAAAGGTTTAAGATCTTGAATCATAAGATACATTTGTTACCAATGAATATTCATTGACTTCTAAGACTTCCTTTATGTTTGAACAAAACCCACGCACATATAAATAAATCTGTTTATACAAAGACACACATAATTATTAATGATTTAATTATTCAAAAAAATCATATACGATAATTTAATAATTAAGGAGAAACTTCGATTATAGAAATTGCAAATATAGGCTAGTCTTCCCTTATCGCTAAATCACGAATTATGATTAAAATTTGATGACAGGGGGTTGATGTTATTAAATGCTTTAATTTTATTGCATTGCTTTGAGCATTTTAGTACCTATTTTTGAAGCTTAGAAATTGTTGAATTAGGTCCTCACGATGGTGAAAATCAGAATTTATGCATTCGTTGATCACATTAAAAAGATCGCTCTCTCGGGCTATTGTGGTTGGAGTCAACTTTGCCTTCATTTGGGATGCTCCTTGAAGGAATTTATTGTGGAATTTTTCACCCTCCCTGACGAAATCACGAGAAACGTTTAGTAAACCCAATGATGTCAATCCGATCACTTGAGATTCGTGTGTCGATGGATCTATGTTGCCCTTTACTGTATTGATTATATTTAGCAGATTGTAGAAGTAGTTATATTTTTCATCACTTGTGCCGCGCTCAATGAGCTCTCTACCATGGTTAATATAGGACTCAAGAGCAGCTGTTCCCGGTCCACGATGCTCATTCGGCACGCTGTCCACTATTTCCTGCACAAACTTTATTGTGACCATCAGCATATTTCGAGCTTGAATGCTACGAATGGTCTCGGCATATCCAAAAAATTGAGCAATGATCTCATTTTCTGTTTTTGGTGGAGCAGCCCAGGCAAGGCTCTGGGGAACAATTCCAACAATTATGCGATAACAGACGTCTTTTGGGAGTACTCACCAAAAACAAAATCGAAATTGTCAGCGTGTAACCCATATTTGGCAAGTGCATTAATTCGACTAAAATGTTTTTGAGCAGAGTCTGAGTTTTTATACAACTGTCACTATCAGCGGGTACGAGAATTAATTGACGGGAAAGATTAAATCTGTGACACTTCAATAACAATATTTCTTGATCATAGGAAAATTTTCTATAAGAGAATCATTAAGAGAATCATATAAATGTAGGTCAGTCTAGAATCAAAGATGAAAGAATAAAATCTTGGTTCGTTTCTTTTATTTCATCTTTTATTATTTATTTTCATTCGTTTTTGCAGTTTTTTGAAAATGATATATTATTTATATGGTATTTTTAAACATAATATGATACTCTTACTCATACATAATTGCGAAATACATACGCTCATCTTTTGCTTGATTAGTATAATCATTATAATGTTTGCTTGTCAGTATTATTATGTTACCTTTAAAATTGTTATATCTTTCTATTTGGTAAAACATATAAAACAATTTATATTTTTAACAAAATTTGACAAGCCGACAAATTTGTGTAATATACAATATATTCGTACTTTTCAATTGATTTATATGTTATGTTTAATACGATTGCAACACTCTGCGGGGGTACCTTTATCTAGACATCTATTGTTGCTAGCACTATAGTTTAATTTTGTATCTCTCGTTTTATTCCAAACATGCCCAGCCAGCCAACATCGCCGCCAAATTTTCTACTTTCTAACACTTCCGATCCAATTGGCAGGGCAGCGCGCTAAAGTTGTTGTAACAAATACCTTTATTTCATATAAATATTTAGTTTACATATGACTATTGTTGTTTAACATGTGTTTCAGCTAATAATTTAGTGTTTGCTTTTACGCATTTGCTTGCTAACTTTGTTTATTATATATTAATGCATAAATACGAGGCCGAATTTAAACGTTCTGCAAAACAGCTTATCAGTTATATACATTATAATGTACTTAAGACCTATTGCCAATGTCTCTTTTAATCATTATTTTGGCTTATGCCGTTCTAATTTATGGTAAAAATTATAATCTACAGTACATATCTACAGTTATCATTCTAATCTGTTCGCTTGGTTATTATCTATGCCTTCATACACCTTAGGTACAATAATTGTTTAGCTTTTCAATCTAAATTACACATACATACGTGGCTAGCTTGGGTATCGACTGTGGTATATACAGAAATGTACTGGAGAACAGAATAAAAGTCGTGGGAATGAGGGTAAAGTTCCAATTAGCTGATTAGCTGGAAGTTACGTCTGCGTCTCTTATCTTTGAACCGAACATCGATCAGTCCTTCAAGTTCGTCATTTTTTTTGGGAGAGATCAAAACTTAAGTCGTGTACGAAAACTAATTTTAGAAAATAGCTGCCTTATAAAATATGCACTATGCAAGACTTTTGACTAATTGCACGGATTGTTTATACTGGTTTCCAACAACCTAGGCATAAAAACTGATTAACATAGCAGTATTTGATTGATTGTATTACTCATACGTGTTTATAATATATTGGAGATTGGATTTAGCTGCCAATCCGCCAGAAGATTGCGTTTTAATCCAAATGTCTTTTACTTGCGACCCTATCCTTTCGTTCGAGATTCGCATTAGGCGGTAAGACTAATAGCTACCAAGTCCTTAGTTCAAATATGTATCGGTTTCCAGTGGTTCGCCCCTTTCATGACCATTCTGGCGGCAGTTCCACGAACAACAAGTTGATTGACTTCCTCCTTCGTTAGCGAGCAAATACTTGATGCACATATAGAAGTGTATATGAGCTGATATATAAATTTCTGATAATTAAACGTGTAACAGTCTTTTTTAGTTTACATTATCATTAAAATCAAACGCAGTAAAAGACCGAGGGGGCCCCGAAAAGATCGTAATGGTAACATAACCTGCGGGCGGGGGATGCGCTTATCAACTAAAATATCCACGTATATAAGTATAGGTGTATTAAGTAAGTGTGGGCAGTAGCTGGCTATAATACTTTAGAGTTATGATATCCGTGTATATCGTAAATGCGTATTATGCGTAGAGTTCGAAATAAGTATGCAACGAACGCAGGGTCAATGAGTTTTTAGCTCTGTGGGTGGAACAATTCCGTCCAGAGTTCGGAATGCACTCAATTCGCATAGTTGTCAAATGAGCCCAAGTACTCCAATGCAGCGCGATAGCAAAAGTGGTATTGATCCTGTTGATGGTTAACAAAATATGAAATTAATCCTTAATCTTTTAAAATGCATGTGTAAGACCCACCTCGGTTTGCACCATAGCCGGACGCTGGGAGCGCAGGATGCGCACTGTCTGGAAGACATCCAGCACTCCCTCGTACTGCATCCGCTCGAGCACGATGCTCAGGGTAATGAAGACACCCGAACGTCCCACACCCGCCGAACAGTGCACGGTGATGGGTCCATCCTGGCCAAACTGCTCCTTGGTCTTGTGCACCTGTCCGATGAAATCGATGAAGCCTTCGCCCGACTTGGGCACCCCCTGCTCCGGCCAATCGATGAACTGGAACTGCCGAACTGTACGCGAGGACCCATCTCGAGCATCGGTCACCTAAAGAAGAAAATCATTCAATTAGTTTCGAGGTAATTCACTTTTATCGCTTTTATTCGTAGAGTAACAATTATTTCACGTGTTTAGAAATTAAGTTCAACACAGTCAATAACGTCAGCTCTAACATATAAATATACCCTAACGCCAGATGGCGCCAATAGAATTGCGAATGGCGCCATCTGTGAGGGGGAAGAAATAATTTAACAGTCGTGGACTCGACTATAGTGCTCACCTTGAATTCACGCAGCTTATACTGCGGCATGTTGTACTCAGCAATGGGATCCACGACATAATACTGATAGCGCACAGATCGCTCGTGAGGCCAGTACTGGAAGCATTTCTCCTGCGAAAACAACAAAAAAATTGTATGTCATTTAATATTAAGATAAAGCTATACGATAAAATTGTCCCCATTTTAAAAAGACCCAATGGCTAATCATAAAGTAATAATTGCAGAGATCGCTTACCCTGCCCATTTCCTTGAGCTTGGTCAGCATGACCACAATGGTGGAGTTGTGCTCCCAGAGCATGCGCCAAAAGTCCTCGGCCGCATCCTGCACCGGACCCTGGGCGGCGATGTAGGCGGAGCGGTAGCGGTAGCCGTCGATGAAGCTGGCGTTGACATAGTCGCTGCCCTCGATGCCGTGGATGGGGGTCAGGAAGACGCGACTCGATTCGTAGGGCAGAATGTGGACCAGGCGGTTCTTGTGCTTGTTGCACGGCAGATTGGCCGTGACGAACTTGGACGAGTCCATCTTGACGTTGGACAGCTTCTTGAACTCCACCTCCATGCCCGAGATGCTCTCGCCAGGCTCCGTGATCAGTAGCTTTTGCAGGTGCGTGTGCAGGTTGCGGGCCGGCACCTCCGTCATCCCGCAGATGATGGCCTCCAGGATGGCGTCGTGTATGAAGATGTACTGATCCTCCGTCTGCACCATGTAGTTGCGCTGCGCCCGCAGGCAAGTCACATGACCGTAGATGTCGATTATCTTCTCGTGCTTCATCCGCTCTAGCATCGAATCGATCACAATGTAGCAGCCGGTGCGACCCACTCCCGCCGAGCAGTGAACGATCACGGGTCCGGACTCCGGCGGCGTGAGAGCGCGGCATCGGCGGAGGAACTGCAGGAAGGGAGCCGGATGATCGGGCACTCCGTGATCCGGCCAGGCGGTGAACTGCAGCTGCTTGATCTCGCGACGGTCGTTGAATCCCTGCCGGCACAACTGGAACGTCCGGATGCTGTAGGTGGCCAGCTCCTGCGTCTCCGTGATGGTCACAAAGATCTGGCCGTAGGTCTCCGTTCCGCGTGTGGGCCAGTACTGGTCGCACTTGATGCGCGTCCGCTCCTCCAGCCGCGTCATCATCACAATGGTGGCCGTCTTCAGCTCCCAGCACATGCGCCAGAAGTCCACGAAGGTCTCCTGCAGCGGTCCCTGGGTGGCCACGTAGGCGTTGTGCTTCCGATAGCCATCGCAGTAGTTGGCATTGATGTAGTCCGACCCGGCCACGCCCTCCGCCGGCGGCAACTGGACACGGGAGTGATCGTAGGCGGTGACATTGGCATAGCGATTCTTCGACTTGTTGTGCTCCAGGTTCGAGTTGTCCCACGTGAACTGCTGGCCCGGCTCGATGCTCTCGTACTCCTGCGAGAACTTCTGATTGTCGTTGGTCTTGAGGCGCTCGATGTGGTTGGCGAACTCCGAGATGGGTATGGGCGGGTGTGAGATCATTCCGGGCGTCTGGAAGTTGAGGCGCCGCATGTCCACGGGATCGCTGGGCGTGGGTCCGGCTCCCAAATCGGCAGCCATCAGAGGACGCGTCACGGCCGCCTGGTCCGGAGTTTTGCACGGCTGGCGACGACGCTTGACCACACAGAGCACAATCAGGGCGGTGGACACGACGAAGGTGGACACCATCAGGGGCAGCACCACCCATAGGATCTCCGGTTCGTCCTTGTTGCGATTCACCGACACCTCCGGCTCCGATGGCCAGTTGGGATCGGGTCGGTGGGGCCGTTCACCCGGCGGCGCTTCCCTCATGTCCAGCGAGAGGAACTCGGAGAAGGGACTGGAGGTGTAGAGGTGCTTCTGCGGCGTGTCCACCACCGCCCGCACAAAGATGCGGTAGCGCTTCTCCCGCTCCAACTTGCGATTCGTGAAGTTATGGTAGTCATCACCAGATCCCAGGTGGAAGGTGAAGGGTATGGAACGCTGCGGGAACTTGGCCGCAATGTAGGGGGCATTCGGACGCTCCGGCTTATTCCTGCCCGGCAGAAGGTCATCGGTGAGGAACTGATCGGGAATCTTGTGTAGATTGGACTTGTCCTCCGGCACCACCACCAGATAATAGTGCGAGATGGGTCCGTATTCCTCCGAGGCCTGAGGCAGTATCACCAGAATCTCCTCGCCCAGAACCACGCCGTAGAAATCTGGCTTGACCATCGGCTGAGGGGCGGCCATTTGGGTGGTGACCGTGATCTTGGTGGGCGGGCGGTAGGAATAGTCCGAGGGAATGGCACTCACGTTCACATTGTATGTGGTAAATGGACTCAGCTCGTTGATCGTGTGCGTCTTCATATAGTGCTTCAGGATGATCTCTCGCTTGGGAACGATCTGGGTCTGCGAGAATCCCTGCGAGTCCACAAACACCTTCATGGCATCGAAGCTGATCTTGTAGTTCACGGGCGTAAGGCGAATGGGCGGCGACCAACTTAAGGTCATTGAATGGGTGCTGACATCGTGGGCGCGCAAATTAAGAGGCACATCCTCCGGCTTGATGCGTACGGTCACCTTCTCACTGAGGCGTCCCAATCCGTTGTCGAACCTCGCCGCAATGGCCACGGCATATTGGGCAAACTTCTCGAGATTGACCAAATCAGCGGATTCCGTCAGTCCAACGGTTTTCGTCTGCCAATCGTCCAGATCCTCGACGGCGGTCATGGTGTAGAAGATCTTGTAGCCGAGCAACTTGCCACGACTTGTCACCGGCTCCCACCAGATCTCCGCCGTCTGCTCCGAGGTGGCCTCCGCCTGCAAGGACATCGGTGCGCGTCCCATGTCGCGCTCCGTCTCCACAATCAACTTGTCGCTGAAGGGTCCGGCTCCCTGCTTGGTGTAGGCCCTCACCCGGAATATGTACTCGGTGTTCTCCTCCAGATTCGTGAACACCGCCTTTCGAAGCGTCATATTCCGCTCGGATCCCAGGCCATGGTCGATTTTCTTGTGGAACTGGACGTCGTACCGGGTGATTAAGCCATTCCGATGCTCCCTCGTGGGCGGATCCCAGGTCACGCACAGCACATCCGGAGTTTGGAAGCGAATGGTGATGTTCGAGGGCGGTCCACCGGGCGTTCCTTCGGGCGTCTGGAATATTTTCACCGTCTCCTGGCCGATGCCGATATGATTGCTACCCGCCACTCGGAACTCGTACTCCACGCCACGTTCCAAGTTGTCGAAGCGTTTCTTGGTCATCTGCGGACCCGACAACATCTCCTCCTTGAGAGCCTGATCCTTGACGCCCCAGCGCAGTCGGTATCCGCGCAGTTCGCCATAAGTCTGCGCCGGACGCTCCCACTCCAGTTCGATGGACACGATCGGTTCCCGCTCCATGATCTTCAGACTCACTGTTGGCCGGACTGGAACACCTCCCGGCGTTTTCACCACTATCGCCGCACTTCGGTCGCCGTCGCCCTTGCGGGTTAGTGCGGCCACCTGGATGGAGTACTTGGTGTCCGGCTGCAAACCCGTCACATTGAACTCCAGCGTGTCCACCACATCAAACTTGAAAGGTTCGTTGAGGAAGCCCTTGCCCTGGTTGCGAATTTCAGGTGAGTAAAATTAGTATCTAAGCGATATTTCTTTCGTATTGATTGATTTTAAAACCAATATATAAAATAAGTATCACTTAAAACAAAAACCCTTAGCTTGATATTAATGGGAATTGTAATTTATTTATTTCAAAAATATAATTTTTATACGTATTTCATTTAAAAATTGATCATACTTAATAGTTTATAATTCATTCTAGTTTCTTTAATAATTTGTTAAGTGTAGGTAAGTAGCATTCGTTTTTCTATTAATTTACCTCATCGCGTAGTTCCTGGGCATGTATGTGATATCCTCGGATGATGCCATTGCGGTCCTTCTCGAGTGGGGGCTTCCAGCTCACATGGATCGATGTGGAGTTCAGGGGAGTGGCCTTAACATCTTGCGGATCGCCGGGCACTAAATGCGACGACGAAGAAAAACGAGATTAGAGGGAGGTACTCACAGTGGCGAAAACAACTGAAATTATTCACTTTAAATGTAGCTTAACTTATACCAAGAATATTGGCTAGGGTGATTAACACTAACTTACTTAACGAGGTTACATACATGTTTTTAAATGTTTAGTATACAGACAGAAAACTAGGCAACTAATACTAAGTGCTTAGACCCTAGGAGTAATACATATATGGAGGAATATATGTTGGTAGTACAGAACCAGAACAAACCTAGTTCCAAGTCAATGCCATCACCACATCACAGACAAAAACAGATTCAAATCAACATAATAATTGGGAACTGGAGGAACCAAACAATAAAGTGCTGCTTAGGTGCTATATAGTTGGTATTTGGAAGGGGTTGCTCAATTGGTGCTCAAAAGTTATTAGGAGGTGCAGTTTATACCTTGCTATAGTAATATAGTATAGTATAGACCAGTACTTAAGGAGTATGGTGGCAAAAAAGTACACAAAAATGTTGGCTATCGTAAACACTTTGATTTCGATGTCCATCTCGTTTCACTTAGCAAAAACAAACATGTAAGCATTCAAAAATTTGTTACTTGGTTGTGTGCAAAAAACATACATTGGTAGTTCAAAAAATTGTTTATATATATTTTCTATACACGTGTGCTGCCTTTTTAAGAGCATCAAAAATCCTTGCCGACCTCTTAAATGGTTTGGTAAGATTTTCAAAAAATGTCGAAATAGAGAAACAAATCAAAAAACAAAAGAGATTTGATTCTTTTAGTTATCGGTCGATATTTTATGGACCAATTCAAAAATATGTTTTTGGGAAAAAAGAGTATAGGTTTAGAAATAGAGATGTAAAGTAGATAGTATAGATAGTATGTTGCTATAGGGCATTCTTAAACATAATACATAGTCAACCATTAAATATACTCACTCTTTTTCTCTAAATAGTTTTAAAATGTTTTATTTGTATTATATATATAAACCACCATCCATTAAATGTTGCGTTCAAAAATCAAATTTCGCATAATTTCGTATTCACATCAAAAAAGTTTCAAAAAGATTTTGGTTTATGTTTTTTTTTTTTTGGTTTTTTCCATTTTGATTTGCATTCAAAAAAAGGTGCACGAAACAGAGCAATTGGTGCAAGGTGCGAGTGGCCAAGCAAAGTTATTTGGTTTTGTTTTTATAGTATGTGAAAAAAGATATAAAATATAGGTATTTAGTTTACAGTATACAGTTCCAAAAAGGGTTACTAGTGCACAAAAATAGTTAAAATCCAGAAAAGGAAAATTTAACAACTAAAGATCGAAAACATGATACAAAATCTACATATTTGTTGGCACACCGCTTTGATACTGTACAGTGTTTTTTTAAGGATTTAAATTTTTTTAATTTTTTCAAAATTATGTGGTAGTTTGTAGATTTAGAACACCTAATTAGTATTATTTATCGATTAGCCTAAATTAACTTACCTTATAGATCTTAAGAATACCTTAAAGAAATTGTTGTAAAATTAGTCTGAATTATTTTCAACTTAGCATTTGTTACATTGTTTTATAACGTTTTCGAATAACTTTTTAATATAAATTTATACACTTTTGTTTAATTTTGTAGCAAGAAACTCTTTTAACGCTGAACATGCTTCTTAAATATAGCCTTCATTATTTAGACAGAGATTCACTGCTTGGCGGTTCCTTGCCCTCAATCATTGCATTTGGGTTCATTAAAAATGTTAAATAAATGCATAATACAAATTATTCAAATGCAACTGACGGCGCAAAAATGTTAAATTATGCTTCATTAGTGTCCTGCAGCTTGGCAGCTCATCTGGTTAACTTTTGCAGCCGAAAGCAAATGGAAGGGGTCAAATGCTGTAGTTTTGTCTCATTTTTTGTCGTTTCACATCCATTCACACCAGGTGAGATACCTGCACACACTCACACACACACATCAGTGCACTAAAAATATAAAATAATTAAAATGCCACCGTAGAAGTGTTCTCTATTTTGTGTTTCTTTTTTTTTCCCCGTGCTTCTTTCTGTGCTGAATGGAACAAACGAAGCAAGGAGCGCGTGCTAAGCTTCCAATGCTCGAGGTGCTCATTTTTTAGCTTTTTTCTTTATTTTGATGTATGTTTTATTTTTTATTTTTTGGTGCATATAAAACGTGGGCAGGACGTGTGCGAGACTGCGAGAGTGCGACTGTCTGGGTGCACAAAGGGGAATCTGCTTGCCATGCGAATCTCCCAGGCGGATTGAAAAGCAAGTGCCCAGCTTTAGACAGGTGGAATGCATTTGCGTTTGTGCTGTGCCAGCTAACAAGCGCATCACATCATAACGAAATACGCTCCCGACATACGAAACACAAAAATTAGTAGAAAAAGACAAGAATGAATGAAATAGTCGAGTGTCCCGACCATTGAATACCCGGCACTTTAAAAAAATTATTTGCTTACTATCTTGCGAACGATTGTATATAATTTAAGCCAAGATTTACTCTTTTAAGACTGTAATATTACTCCGAACAATAAGACATTGGTTATGCGGCTGAAAAATTAAAAAAAAACAAAGTTTTTGTTTTTAACTTGGTAGCCTGGTATCCTTGACTTGGTATATCTTGGAAGTCCAATTTCTCTACCTGTTTGTTTTAAAACAGATGGTTGTAGAGTCTAATCAAAAACATAACAGGAACGTTATATAATTTCCCTTGTAACATACTTTTTACCAAACACAATATACCTTTTTATCTACCAGGTACCGGGTATAATAAAAATTAGTGTAAAAAGAAAATGGTGAAATTGGCAAATAGAGTTGTATGTACTGAGAGCACTACCATGTGCTGACCTGACCCTTTAATGCTGGCCCAGAAACTTCAACTGCAGCTTGCGAGCCGCAGGCTACAAGTGCGACAGGGGGAAACTGAAGGGAAGGAAGTGAGTTCGGTTTGAGATATGTGGCCGGTTGCCTCTGGTTATGCCAAATTGAGTACAATTAAAACGAAATTCAAGTCAGTCACATATAGCTCAATGGCAGTGCGGTGCTTTGATGCTGTTCTTGCTGCTGCTGGGTTCTGCACAGAGAGAAAATATAAATCGACAATCTCAGTATTTGACTCTGCCTAAGGATTAAAAAAATACTTTTTCTTTTAGGCGATTTATGTTATTTTTCGTGTGAAAGATGAATATATTTATCCAAAAAATAAAAATTATTCAGTTTTTATATTATACGGCTACGTAATAAATATAAATATTACGTAGCCGACTAGTTGAACCTCCTGTTCTTAGCTACATTAAATATTAACATTCAAATATCATTGTTATTGTTATTGCTATTATTATATTATTAAGGGATCTACAAAACTGTCAAACTGATTATAATTTTTCTCTGTGCTGCCCTGCATGTGATTGTCGTAAACTTTGTGCAGAAAACATTCACTCATTTACGTGTCCTTCAAATTGGCATTGTGTGTGTGCCTGTGCATAAGGTGCGGTGCTATCGGTGCTGCAGACTTAATGCTAAGCTTATTATAACATCTAGAGTGAGCTAAAAGATGCCAGGAGCGTGTCACAATAAGAGAGAGAGAGAGGGAGAGAGAGGGGGCGAGTGAGACGTACACTAAGGTGCTTAACAATAAGTACATTTAATTTACAGTGCTTAGCCAAAATAAAACGAAGTGAATGGGCCACCACACTCAGATGGTGTTGAGCTCTTAAAACACACAAATTGAGTAGGTACTTTATAAAGAAAACTGTTTTCTGTTGAACAAGCAAGTAAACAGCTAACAAGCAAATGAAGGAAGGTTTAAACATCGTGTGGATATATGTATATGGTTCTTGAGGGTATTTTTTTAATTGAGTGGAATTCATGATTGAGAACAAAAATAAAAATCATGTTAAATGGATTTGGGTCATGGGCGTTTGTCTGACTCAGATTGAAATCAAATTCACAATTTATTTCTTAAAAATTGAGTTTGAGTATGAGCGTTTAAAAATGCTCCATATATGCATGATAATTTGGATTGGTTTTAAGTTTGGTTGTTATTGCCATAAAGGCAATCATATTTTTCAGACTGGACAAGAGTATGTAACCAATGAGTTCATAACATATAAAGTTGAAGTTCAGCAAAGTGCTTGTGTAATGAAAACACTGATCAGTAATTCACAGCGACAAAACCATTTTCAATCGGACAAAAACGCTTGAGGAATGGGAAAGCAATGAAAAGTGCAAATATGCAAATGTGTTAACTGTGCAAACATGCAGGTGATTGCAAATAAAACTTAATAAAATGGGTCAACAATACAAAATCTACAAAATTATGTGCGTAAATAAAAAATTCGGTTAATTTTGTGCAAAAATCAATTTAAGGATTTGTCATTTGCTGTGCCTGGCTTCGTTATTTGCATAGCAATACACAAAAAACAAAAAACAAAAATCCATTTAAAAACGTGCGACATTGCGGGGCTTACGAGGCATTCGTGGTGGGATGTGTGGAGCTTCACTGGTGACAAAAGTGCAAAAACCGTGTGCCAAAAACCAAACAGATAGGGGAAGGCAGTAGCTGTATACTGGATACTGGATACTGGATGGGGGCTCAAAAATTATAGTACACCGAGCTTTTGTAAACGTTATTAAATATGTATGCATTTATGTAAATATCACACATGTGGATGTATTGGCAAAGGTATGTTTGCAGGTGAGCGCAACTGAGAAAAAAAATAATAAATAAATAGAGCGAAACATTTTGCGCTATTTGCCTTGGGTAAACATTTGAAATCAAAATAAAAATGTGCGGAATATTTATTGGGTTCAGGAACGGGGTTATTATGGTTATAGCCCCTGTTTAGTTTGGCCTGGGTATGTTTACATTTATAATTGCATACATTTAATTATGCAAATAATTAAATAAAATATTTAATGCAAACAACCTAAAATCAAATTTGTGTATTGGTTTTGGGAATTCGGTTGTTATTGTTGTTGTTGTTGTATAGGTTGTGCTTACAAAAACTATATGAAAATGCCAAAAATACAAAAAGATTACATTGAGTTCATGGCGTTTTTTTGTGCTATACAAATTACCACAAACAATTGATGCATTATATTCAAAAATATTTATTTATAAAATTTGATTCTTTATTTATATTAAGAGATATATCTTGGTTTTTGTGCATTTCTCGAGACGATTGCCAGTCAAGAAGTAAAAAGAACAAAAATATTGTTGCTTGCATATAGTACACAATACATAGGAGTTCTTCTAAAAAGAGATATTTCTTTTTTCGTAAGAGATTTTGTGCAAAAAAGTAGTCAAAAATTGCGCCAAAAAATATGCAATTTTATAGTGCCAATAAGAAAATTTTGTAAATATTTTAAAATTTTATTTTACAAACGAATTTTTATAAAGTATAATAACGTAAATTATATAATATGATTATAATAAAACTAAATTATACATGGTGGGTGGTAAGAGACCGCAAATATGTTTCTCTTAACATAACAAATTTATTATCACCGGATTTCTAGCGATCCTGCGTAAAGAGAAATGTTTTTATGAAATTTAAAGACAATATCAGACCAGATAAGATTAGAGATAACAGATAAGACTTAAGATCAAACTGTTTGCAGCCTGGAAGGCAAAAAGAATTAACGTTAAATTTTAATATAAACAATAAAATGTTGTTTTTAATTTTGTAATAAATTAGAACTGGTCTGACCTCGGACAAACTTTTAATTTTGAAATCATACATTTTGGGCTAAACTACAAATGAAAATATTAGCTGTTTTCAAAACGCTTATTTACAGCTAATTGGTTATAGAGGTAAGTATTGGTAAAATTAAGAAATTAAATTTGGTTGACAAAAAATATATATAGATATATATATATATATATCAGATAACGCTCCATAGTGCTTAGCCGCTCCTGTGGTGGATGCTCCCGATATCAAAATTCAAAAACTGTACAAAATACTTTCGATTAGTTTTAGGTTCAAATTTTTTCTGGGAATTGTTAATGGGCTAATGGTGACGATATAAAAACCAAATAACTAACTTAAGATGAGTGTAAAATAAAGAGTAAAGTAACCGAAAATCAATTGGTATCAAGTAAGAAAATAATAAGGAAATTAAATGATTTTGATAGGACTTACGCATAGGTAAGATCGTTAAGGGCATACATACCATCCTCTTGGGTTCGCAAAATGATGGGATGGGATCGCGGCCCATCGCCGACGGATGTGCCGGCTAGCACCCAGATTTTGTACTCTGTCCAGCGCTTCAGCTCGTCCAGCACAATGCTGGTCATATTGAGGGTCATCGTGGTGGCCTCGTCGTCTTCGCGACCCACCTCCACGAAGAACACCTTATAGTAAATGATCCGACCGTTCGAACGCTCGACGGGCGGCGGCAGCCAGTTCAGCGATATCGTCGTCGAGCTGGTGGCTATGGCGGTGATATTTCGAGGCGGTGCACCTGGTACTAATTACATAGATGGGAACGGAACGTATTTGTGTGTGCATTGATTTTTTTTTCGATTTTTTTGTTTGATGTTTGGGTTTTTATGGGATTTTTGGTTGTTCATTGTTGTTGTTGATGCATAGCCATGGTTTTTGGATATGAGAGAGTTGGTTTTTTTCATAGCGTTCAGCAATTAGCGCAGAGAATACAAAAAATTTCAAACCAAAATAATATGGATAACATGAAAAGAAAAAGCCATAAAGCAAAATAATATTAAAATCAAATCGAATAACATGGTTTATATAGACATAAAAATATCGAAATAAATTTAAATATCAAGACATAGATCCAATGGTTTATGCAAATAATGTTGACTCCTTTTTGCGTTCGTCATTAATTTGTGCATATTTTTTGGTAACGACTTTTTGAGCTGAAAATTTTCCCAACTATCTACTGGATGGAGAGGCAAACCCATGTCATGCATAGCTTAGAAAAAACGATATCAAAATTTGTAACTACACATTCACACAACATTTACATACACACGAAATGACATTCATTTGCATAAACCATGGGAATTTGGCATACTTTAATACATATAGAGATGAAAAATGAATAGTCTACTAAACTTAAATGTAATGAAAGTGCGCAAAGTTTTAAAGGCAGAGTAGCTATTGCGATCTAGATACTTAAGATAACTGAACAAAATAGGAATGCAAACTAATTAGGAAACTAGTAATATATTCTAATTTCAGCAGGCAATACAAACTTGAAATAAAGCTCTATGCTAAAAACAGTTCCAAAATAACTTTGTGGCTTGCCTTCATTGCAACCGTCTGGGCCACATTTAGTGCCGTGCCACAGACAATCATCTACATTTTAATTATGCGAATATGCAAAACGTGCAAATATGGAAACCAAAAGTGATATTTATGCCACTGCCAAGAACTTTGCACTTCCGGCATTTGTCTTCGCGCCGGTCTATTAAAATATCATTCAAAATCAATTTTCTAGACACTGATGCAGACGGAGAGAGAGAAGTTAAGGAATTTTCGGTTTTTGGTTTTGTGGTCTCAGTGCTTCTGGTGCAGAGTGCAGTGTGCAGTGTGCAAAGTGCATTAGGAATTTTAGCACTTAAATAGTGGTCTAAAGTTGGAAATTGTTTGGGCATAATTTACATGATTTAACACTCACCGAGCCACAAATGATAAATGGAATATAATCGAGCATTGCAAAACACATCAATTCAAATACGCATTCCGTAATAGTTTGGTTTTTTTTCTCCCTTATATTTTGCATTACATTATCGTGCTATTTTCTTTTGAACTTAAACTGAAAAGGTGTTTTTGGTTTGGAAATGTTGTTGGTTGTTGGTTGTGTTTGCTGTTTATGGTTTAGTCCTGTGTGTGATGTGGATTGTGGACTGATAGCTATTGTTCAGTGAAGTTTGGTCTGTAATTGGATTAGTTGAACAGATTGCAGTGCAGAGAACAAAGTTTTCAAAAGATTTTAAAATACGTGATCCAATTTCGATTTAAATTTCATTATGAACAGATTTAATGAAAAGTATTTGAGGTACTATTGAATCTACAAAGATAGCATTGTTCATAGTTATAATTTTTATTATTCTGCAATCTGTTAAACTCAAGTTTATAGTTTAATTTACTATGTATTATTTGTGTAATGCTAAGTGTCTTATTTTCTATGTAGTAATAGTATATTTATGTGTAAACTATGTATATATTTGTCTGTATTCGGTGTAGTTTTAAACAAACTAACTATTTTATTTTCAGAGTATCTGATCTAAACAACTAAAACTTAAGGCTAACTTGCAAGGAACCAGAACGATAACATGACAAACAATATATATATATATATATAGGTATATGGATATATGTATGTATAGTTAAGATATACGTGGGTAAGTGCATAAAATTCACTGCACTCCGGGAACACACATCCGATATCATTTATTCATTACATTCGCTCACACTTTACCTGTTTCCACGAAGGCACAACTCAATAAAATGTAATCTCGCACTCAGACATTTTATGGTTTGGGTAACTGAATAATCAACTACATGTTTATAGACACATGTTCATGTGTCAGGGTTAATATATCATATATATATATATAAATGTGGATTTGTATTAAAAATCAATGTAGTTCGTTGTACTTAAGTCTATGGAAATTTGTACGACTACGGCGGTTTGAACTAACTTAAGAGTTATAGAATTCAGTGGTCGCTTGGCAAACTTACCATATTGCTTGGTGCGAACTGGAATGGGTGGTGTTGTGGCCCCCTCGCCCCTCTGTGATCGTGCCGCCAGCCAGATATAGTATAGAGTATCAGGATATAGACCATCCAGAGTATAGGCCTCCGAATTGGAAATGCGTCTGTGGGGAGAGGATGTTTGGTTAGGTATATTGCTAATTTTTAGAGGCTCTTCGAGAACCAAAACTCACTTGTGATGGGCCTGATTGGCGTATGTGTCATTCCAGTAGAGCTCGTAATGAACGATATTCTCGCTGGAATGCGTCGGCTTGGTCCATTGCAGTGTGACTGCGGTCTCGCCGATATCGGTTGCCCGGAAATTGCTCGGTTGCGATGGCACACCTTTGTAGACATATCCGTATTTCATATTCCATGTTTTTGGGGGGTTCGGGGTTTCCAGTGTCGATGTTTCGAGGGTCGGGGTTGGTGCGTACGCCGGTTGGGAATTGCATTTGGTTTTTGGTTTGGTAATAATGAAACGGAAATTACGGAAATTAAATAAAATACAAACAAATCAATGTGGGCATTTGTTTGTATGCCGATGGATCCGACCGATAGCGTTTGCGATTCGGTTTCCAATTCAGAATGCTGCATGATATTGATGAGGTGACACACGCACAGCAATCGCTGCATCAGCATTTTGAATTCGTATTGGTTTTTGCATGAATTTGATTGAGATGTGTCCATCTAGCCAACAACCCGATTCCCCATTTCAATGTTTGAATATTTCAGCGCTAACCACAGAAACCAGCTGGGAAAAACCCGTAGAGAGAAAATGATTATCAATTTTCAAATTATTTCTGCTCCCCAGGGAATCCCGAAGAACCTCTCATCGCTTTGATGTTTTACGCTTTAATGAATATAAACCGAAATTATTTTTTTTGAATGCCAAGTGGCTGTGTATACTGCTTTTATTGGCTTTCAAAGAGTTAGACAGTTCAATTGAATGAAGCTTGTCGGCCGTAAGCAAGAGTCACGTCTGACCCAAATGTAAGTGGACATTTTGCAGTTTACATAACCCCAAGTAATAAGTCTAAGCAGTTCAAAGTTGAACCCCTGTTTTGGTTAGTTATTGTTGCCGTTAAAGCTGCTTAAGATGGCCACAAAGGCAGTAAGTCAGCAGCAGTCTGACCGGCCACGCCCCCACTTAAGAGCCCAAAATACACTCGGTCAAATGCATTTGCATCCAATAACCAATGATTGCAGCCAGTTAATGAATATCTGCCGGACATGCCCACAAGTGCAGTTGGTGTTTGTGTGTCGGACGGAGATAAATATTTCATTGAACGGACACACGTTTCGCCTGACATTTTGTATTATAATTAAATAATTGGTGTGATCTATGTTAGCCGATTGAGTTGAGCAATTAAATTGCAAAATGCCCGATTCAAAATGCAACATTAGTCGTTGCGTGTGTGTCTGCCTCATGTGCCTAATTGCAGCTGATTGCCCAATCAATTTGGCTTAGCTTACCTTGCTGGGCCTTCACTTGCACTGGCGTGGACATTGGACCGGCTCCCATCGAGGTGTAGGCCTGGACCCGAACTGTATAGATGGCATGGGGCGTCAGCTCAGAGACTGTGGTCAGCTCACTATTGTCGACCATCTGCGAGTTCCAAGAGGCCTCCGGTTGATTCGAATTGGTCGTGTAGTACACCTTGTAGCCCTGTTTTTAGCAAGACATAAGGAATTAGGTAAGTTATTTACACTATTGGTACAAAACAAACACTGCTATGTGCTTAGATAATATAAAATATTTTTAAGATTTATTTATAATAAATATGTACAACTTTTATTAACATCAAGTCACATTTTTATAGAGAAATCAATTGAATTCCGATCATTTATTCAAGAGAAATGCTTGGAAAGATTTTTTACTAATACCATTTATTTTCGTTTCACTAAAACTCAACCTTGCAGTGAGAACTAGGATTACAAATTTATTTTCCAGCCACTTTTGTACTGAAATAAATCAGAGCTGCGATATGAAGGCTATTTGAAATCGGGAAACCAAATCCGATTTTCAGCTTTCATTAACTGATAAACCGAAAATGATATATTGCTGCTGGCCAGAGATTTGTGAACCCATAAGGAAGGCCCCGGCAAACTCGGCCTGCCCCGCCGGAGACCACAACGATTGCCCACTCGGAATGGAGACCTGTGGACAGGTGTCTAGGATTTGCATACGAACGTTCGCCGTCGTTAGCCATCGTGCCCGGAACATGGCTAAAGGCATTTTGCCAATTTCCCTTCGACGGGACGGACCCCTCCATTCGAGCCATCGGACTGACGTGACAAAGTGCGTTGGTTGGGCTCCGGGTTACGGGTTTCGGGTGCCGGGTTACGGGTTTCTGGTGCCGGGTCTCTCTGTGTCCGGACTCCGGATCTTATCGTTTAATATGCGCACTTGATGCCAGGTACTTACGGTCACTTGTCCATTGGGCGTCTCTGGTGGTTCCCAAGTAATAACCATGGTGGACGAGCTCAGCGTGCGCACTTGAACATTACGTGGTGCACTTTCCATTTCTGCAGGCGAAAGGGGAAGAGGGGAAATGGGTAATATTAGCATTGTCATGACAAAGGGTGGGCATATAACAATGGCTGTTTGGCTTGGCCAGTTGCTCAGTAGAGATTTGGCTGCCTAAGCGAATTCCGAAAATGTATTGCTCTAATGAAACATTATTTGTTACCGGCTTAGAGAAACCAGACAATGGGGGTTATTATGACTAGTAAATCTAACAGACGGGGCCATTTCGTTTTATAAGATAGGTTTACTTGTTCTTATTGAACTTAACTAATACTTTCATACTTTAAAAACAATGGATCTTTTCTAACTTTTAATAACAACTAATACTTTTAAAAACAAGAGGATAGATTACTCTCATTTTTTGTGACATTTGTATTCTGTTTTTTTACTGACACTGATTTCTGTTTGAATTGAATATTCCTTTTCAACCTGCAACAATTTCTCCCATAAGATATTTATTGGAAACATGCCTAACAATTATTTGTCAGTTTGAAATTAATTATAATTTCTGCTCACTGTCAATATTAAATGATTTTAAAATATGCTGAGCAGACCAGCACACAAATCATAAATATGCAATTTTGTTAAATGATTTTCTGGGGCAAAATGCGCAGAACGACAAACAAATGCCATTATCGAGAAACTAGTGAAGCCACGAGGCGAAAAGTTGTGAGGGGGAAAGTATAGTCTATGGCATTAGGGCTGCGCAAATGTTTTGCAAAGCAAACAATCCTCATCCATCACAATTTGTTTATACAATGAACGGTTGGTTGTTGTTTTAGCTTCTGCTCCTGCTGCTGGAGATGCGTATTTCATGTCGTTTCATGGTCGCAGCAGGTTGCTGGTGCAGGTCAGCAGGATTTCGAGGGAGGCGAGGGGGAGGGGGAGGAGGAGACTGTGCATTTCCGGGAAAATTGAGGAAATTGTTATGGCGCGTCGAAGCCAACGGCTGGCGGCTGTTATAGTGAGAATTTTGCATTTATAAACTGATTGTTGTGTGCTGCGCCAAAAATGTTTTCCCGCGAAGCATGAATCTAGCTCTATGCGTCATGCAATTTTCTGCCATGAATTTGCACGATTCAAACATTTGTCGGTCAACTGCATTGTCAGCCGCAAAATCATCGGCGGAATTCGACCATCTACCCCCACCGCATCATGAATTGCAATTAGTGGAACATCTCTATCACTCAATTTTCCTTATGTGTGATGGGGTGTGTAACCGATTCGTAAACCGATTGGTTAATGGGCAATCAATAAATTCCAATTTCTCACAATTTTACTGCAATATCCACAAACGGTGCAGCAGCAGTTTTATCCACAATTTATATCGCAGTCATCTCATCTGTTACCCAAGTGCTACCCCAATGTGTATGTGTGTTGGCCTGGTCCATTGCTTGTTATAGCCAAGATTTGCATGCAGCTCGCACACACCGATTTACCGATAGATTCCGGCAAAAATTTCCTCTTCGCCCTTCTGTGTGTGTGTGTGTGTGTGAGTCCTGCGAGTGGAGGAGCATCACGTAAGCTGCATTTAAGGGCATATACATTACATACGGATACGCTCCATTAATATGTATCCTTGCATGCCTGCGCACACGCCTACTCCTTATAGCACCAGCACATAGCACTAAATCGTAACCCTTAAACTCAATCCCCACCCCAACCCCCTCACAAGGATGCGAGGCAGGAGCATGTGCAGACCATACATCTGATTACTTGACGAAAGGATATGTTGAAGACTCGTTCAAGGCGACCCAGCCCCAATTGCGGTCCACACACTTAAAATGTGGGTTTTGATTACTGCCCCTCAAAAACAGTTTCTGCCCTCAAACGCTTTCACAAACATTAATGAGTACGTTTTCCAAATGCAGAAGGAACTTGTTTTACTAATTAACAGCTGTGTTGTGTCTGCTATGAAACTAACTGCAAGGAATAAGTAAAAATTACCAATGCTAGGTAATAGAAATAGTTTGTAGTGTTCAGTTTGAACATGTATTAAATTATGCAACATTGAGGCAAAATAATTTCAACTTTGTTTGAGGAATATATATATTAATTTCTGGTATTAATATCTATAGATACAAGAGCTAGAAAGTCTAAATTATAAATTTGGTTACTTAACTTATTAAAATAGCTAAAGGAATTAATTAAAACAGTTCTGAAAATCAGTAAATTCAAAGGAAAATGTCTACCTTCATGTTTTCTATGTACTTGGTAGAATATGAAAATGAATAATATAGAATCTAGTATACCTAAACAATCTATTAAGTAACCTGAATGTCCTGATGCTTTCGAACACAGGTGCGTGCGATGGCATCACCTTGGGATTCTCCTACCCATTCCATTAATGTACTCGTCCCCTTCTTTGCAATGTAATGTTACTGGCCATAAGAAAAGCTGCGGATTATCCACTTGGCTCAGCTGCTACCTAAACCAGTGACACGTGTTAAGCATTGCGTTGACCTGCTGATGCCAGTCTGCGGGCCCAGGAGCTCTACTTGAACCGCCCATAAACGTTGCTATCGAAATATTATTTCGAAACGATATTGGGCAGGCGATAAGCATAATTGCGGCAATAAAAGTTTTCAACTTTTGTACGACACGCTCTTGGATCTGCTAGTGAAAACTGCAAATGCAGCTGCTGCTGTTGTATGAAAAAGCATTGAACGAAGTCAGAAATACCCTGCAAATCAATAGTCGCTTTTATAGTGGACTATATTTTAAGATTATTTAAATATAAATAATTTTAAAATGTCAGACAATTTTTAATATTCTTTTTATTATGTTTCTAGAATGTTTACCAATGAATCCATTTAGATTTTCTTTTTAAATAAAAAATATCTGTTCTTAAAATTCAAACAGTGAGCACAAAATTATTGAGGTACTAACCTATTGTTAAAACATAGAAAAATCAGTTCGTTTCCAGCTCCTGAGAAAAAGGATCACAGAAAAGGCAGAAGGGACCGGAAATGCTTGTCAGACAAGCGCATGCTTACGCGGGAATTGCCAGGACTAAAACAGCGTTGCATGCACCCAAATACAACCATCCGCATCGAAACGGACGCATAACAATGCAAACTTTATGGGATGTTTGGGGGAGGATATCCCCCTTAGCCATTTCCATCCCCCCACCGCCCACTCACATACGTCAGGATATCGCCAGGACTCGTGGTTGTGGATCGCAGCTGCGTATGCAACGATTTTTTAACATTGCATTTACCTTTGATTCTATCTAGCTACTTGTTATTCCGCTTTCTTTACTTTTTATACTTATTCCTTTTTTTTGTACCCTTTTCACAATTTTTGGGTCGGATTTTGTGCTGCTCAACAATTGTTATTGAAATTGTTTTCGCAATTTTTTGGCCAACCATAAAATTTTGTTTGCCAAGGATACTTACTTGTGCCACCGAATGAGAAATCGCCTGAGAAGGCAAAAGCATGTGCAGCATGGCGAGTGGAAGAGAGAAAGGACAAATAGACATTTTCAAGAAGGGTTAGTACGATTGCCGACATAATGGACCAAGGCAAATAAAAACGGATCTAAGAGCGTATTCTAAATTCAAAACGAAATTGGTTAAAAATCCTTTTTTGTGCAGCATGTGAAAGACACCGGAATGGAAGAGTGAGGCAGTTAGTTAAATGTCCTCCAATGGGGGGCAGCAGCTCATCCGCTCATCCGATACTCACTTGTCTCACCGGTGGTACATGTCGCCGGGGCGGAGGGCGGTCCACGTCCAATATTGTTCACGGCTATCACGTAGAACTCGTACTCGGTGTAGGGACTCAGGGCACGGACCACATAGTACATGGTGATGATGCCGCTTATCTCGCTGAAGGCCTGGTTCGCGTTCTTCGGCTTGTACTGGATCACGTAGTACTGCAAGTCCTCGGGACCCTTGTACGACCACTCCAGACGCACCGAAGTGGCGGTCACCTCGGAGATTTGCACATCGGTGGGTGCGGTGGGCAGAGCTGGCAAAGGATATGAAAAGATATATGGTAAGCAATGGTAATGAGGTATGGTATGGTAATGAGAAAAGCCATTTCTTTTGTTTGCTAAAAATTACTATAAAACAATTATCGTGTTTTTATTTAAACTGAAATGATATTAACCATTAATGTACAATTTCGATAAAGTTAAAACAATATGGTTTTAAGTTGTTTTTAAGTCTGTCTTCTGAATATAAAGACATTGTTGCGTGTTACGTTAGTTACGCTTTCAAGTAATTTTACAAAAATATTTTTTAAAGTTTACGTAAATTTGTGTTAATCAGCATTATTTAAATTTATTCTTCCTATTTTCTTACATTGCACTTTAACCACCGAAACCGAATCAATTTGTCCTAGTGTGGAGGCAGCAATGCAAGTGTAATTTGCACTCTCTTGAATATTAACCAGATGCAGGATATTGCGGCCGATTGGCATCTCACTCTCGGGTGTTAGATCTTCAAAGCCTGAATAAAAGCATTGATTAAAGATGGGTAAGACAGTTGATTAGAACCATTTGCTTACCCTTCATCCACTTGACATGTGGCATGGGTGAGCCGACGGCAATGCAGGAAAGATTCAGATTGGAGCCCAGCATCACCTCGCTGATGCTCTCTGGAGGGCGGGAGAAAGTGGGCGGAACACGACGGACTTTCACATACAAATTGGTAGCCTTTGAGTGTTCGGTGCCAATTGAGTTCTCGGCCACACATTCGTACTTCCCTTGATCCTCCTCGCGGCTGTTTTCGATTTGCAGGAAGCCTAAAATAAAGTAGATGGCCAAATTTTAATTAAAACTTTGTTTTATTTAATTTGTTTATAGTTAGACTAATTTTAGTTTAAAATATATTAAATATTTATTAAACTTTTTATACAACTAGCAATCTTTCCCTGGGTACTGGTTGGTTTTAGACTACCCAAAAGACTTCGCTACCTACATATCCTTTGCGCCTATGCTTATTGGTATTATACCTGTAAGCTGAATACGTAAAACAGCTGCAACTTTTGAAGTTAATACCTGATTAAAAGGGGTTGCTTCTACCTAAGTGTGAACCAATTGGTTTTATAGAAGCAACCCTTCAACCGGCTTATAGAAAGACTATTATCATGTTGCAAATTATATCTCTACCTGATCTGGAATATAAGACATAGTTTTCTGGGAAAGGAAATTAGTTCCATTCTGACTCTTGCCAAGAAAACAACGCAAAGATGTTCATTGTGCTTATATTAACAAGCTTGTTATATTTTGTGGGTGGCACCACTTATGTAACCACCGACAGTCACGTTGAGGTGCCAATATACCAGAAACGACCGTTGAGCGAGCAAATGGAGATGATTGATATCCTGGATTTGGGAGACCGACCGCGACGACAGGCGGAACCCAATCTGCACAATTCAGCCTCCAAATTCCTGCTGGAGGTGTACAATGAGATTAGCGAGGACCAGGAACCCAAGGAGGTCCTGCATCAGCGCCACAAACGCTCGCTCGACGATGATATCCTGATTTCCAACGAGGATCGACAAGAGATTGCCAGTTGCAATAGCATTCTGACCTTTTCCAGTCGAGCGAAGCCCGATGAACTGGGAAACGAGCTGGATATGCACGTAACCTTCAATACCAACGATGTGCCAGTGGATTTGAGCCTGGTTCAGGCCATGCTCAGGATATACAAACAGCCCAGTTTGGTTGACAGGAGGGAGAACTTTACGGTTTCTGTGTATAGGAAACTGGACAACCGACAGGACTATTCCTACCGCATCCTGGGCTCCGTGAACACTACATCCAATCAGCGTGGCTGGCTGGAATTCAATTTGACCGAATCCCTGAGAATGTGGTTGGCCAACAAGGGTTTGCCACGACGAAACGAGTTAAGGATCTCCATTGGCGACTCCCAGCTGAGCACCTTTGCAGCCGGATTGGTGGCTCCACAGGCCAGTCGTTCCAACTTGGAACCCTTCATAGTGGGCTATTTCAATGGGCCCGAACTCTTGGTCAAAATACAGAAGCTTCGTTTCAAAAGGGATCTGGAGAAGCGACGGGCCGGTGGAAGTCCACCACCTCCTCCACCACCACCCGGGGATTCATACAGGCCACCACAATCCTGCGAGCGACTCAATTTCACTGTGAACTTTAAGGAGCTGCAGATGCACAACTGGGTGATTGCACCCAAAAAGTTCGAGGCTTACTTCTGCGGCGGTGGATGCAACTTCCCGCTGGGCACCAAAATGAATGCCACCAACCACGCCATCGTCCAAACCCTGATGCATCTCAAACAGCCGCATCTGCCCAAGCCCTGCTGTGTGCCCACGGTCCTGGGAGCCATCACCATACTGCGCTATCTCAACGAAGACATCATCGACCTCACCAAGTACCAAAAGGCAGTGGCCAAGGAGTGTGGCTGCCACTAGCTTGGCTTTAAATTAATGTATAACCAGTTCTCAAAATAGTTTTTAATGGATATAGGATTCAATGTACATATAAATATTTTAGAAGTAAATAAAAACATTTTCTTAAAGAAAAATAAACCTAATTTTCCTAGAAACTATTGCTATTATTGCCATAACATTTTGTAGGAAAAGGACTTATGGAAAGTTTTTCTGAGACTCAACTAGTCTTTAGGCTTAGAAATACTTATTTTCACAAACTTCCCTTATTTGAATTTTGAGAGTGTACAAACTTTTATGTTTATTAAGCAAAACCTTTACTTGTTACGCCCTTTTATGACGCCTTTGGGTTCTGGGGGCATGGGTTTAACCGTAACAGAGTCGTAAGATCTTAGATTTATCAATAAATTTGAAAGTCAAATGATGTTTGTTTATCTCACATCACTTTAATAGGCAACCCACATTATCCTCATTGCCCCATAAAAAATTCTCAATTCACCTTGCTTTTATGTACGGATTCCATCCACTCCACTTCAGGATGTGGATGTTGCACTGCCCGAGAAGCAACACATGGAAAATTAACACTTTTTATATGATTTTAAAAGCCATATAAATTTTACGACAAGTCTCCTGCCCCCAAAAAAATGTTGCAATCTCTCCAAAGAGAAAAGACACACAGACACAGTCATCTATTAAATATCGGGGCTCGCTTTTCCGGGATATTACGCTAATGTGAATGACACATACGGTGGAAAAACTGGCGGAGTACTTGGAGGTTGGAAAGGGAGAAAGCCATAAACTGGCTTCACTTTGACATTATATTTATATGACTAATAAACAATGATGCACAAGACGGCGATGAGTAGACAATATGAAATTTACGTACACAAAATTCACTCCTAAAAGCCAGTGGCTTTTAAATCAACAGTTATGAATATATATTCCAGGCACACAATTTGTTTAATAGCCATTGGAATTTTTGGCTCTAACGGAAACCAAAAAGTTATGACACGAATATGTCCGTTATTGCGCTTTTTAATTGACCAATAACTATTATTTCACACGATAATTTAGAGAGACATAGTAGAGAGCCAATGATTTGTTTTGCTTGGTTTATAATTTATTTTGCAAATTTATTTCATATTTTTTGCAAAATTATATTAGCATTTTAAATGAAGCATGAGCGATTCGGTAACAGCGTGTGAATTTCTAAGCGTTTAAATGCAAAACTCTGTGATATCGTCGTGTTACTGTGTGCGTATGTGCGAAATTAATCATATTGAGTTTCGATATTCAATTTTCTCCTCCATACAATAAATCAACTACCTCAATTTAACATGCACACATACCCGTATTAAAGAATGAGTCAGTGTGCGTGTCCATATAGGTAAGCAAATTTAAAATCTGCATGAAATATGACAATTAATTTGCGAAACAAGAGTTTTTTATATGCAATATTATCGTTTAATTATGTATTGCTGCATTTTGTGCATATACAAGCAGTATTGATCAGGCTTAACCGAAAAGCTTAAATTACAAAATCGTATTTTCGTTTGATATGATACTGAACTGAATATTGTGAAAAGTCATTTGATGAAAATTGTATGAATTAAGGCCTAAAGACTTGTATTTAAACTGTATACATTTCAAAGAAAACCCAACATTTTATAATATCATAAAATTGCCAACAAGATTTTTTAAAAGCAATTCATTTTTATTTGTTCAATGTGTTGAAGTTACACATTGCAAATGCATGTTGACTAAATATATCTTGGTAAAGGGTTATACAATTACCATTTGAAAAGAAAAATAAATAAGCCGTGTCAATAAACAAATATAAGAGTAAACTCGGCTACAGTTGAGTGAATCATTTTAATGACTCCTGTTGATGCAGAATAATAAAAAATATAGTGACCAGAGGCCTCAAATGTGGGGAAGTATAAAAATTAACAAGTGACTTGGTATGACAACTTTATTAAATATTTTTTAATATATTGATCACCTATGACTTAACCTTAGTAAACGACCTCATTTATGTTTTCATGAAACTTAAGCTTCATTTTACCTTAAATTGTATAAGTAAATCTCTATAAATATTAACGTTTTGAATAAGAACCCCCACAAAAAAGGATCCCCAACTACGCTTCTGGCATTTCAATATCGAACAAAAAATGTCGAGCAGCGCTAAATGCTACAAAAATCGCTTGGTTCGCACTAAAGCCATGTTTATTGTGTCTATTTTATGTACCTTTCCGTTTTATTTTAGTTGTCATTTTGTGTTTGATACAAAAAAAAAAAAAGATGAAGGAGGGGAGAAATAAAAAATAAACCGACTAAAAGTGATATATGCTGTGCAGATTGCTGTGTGGTTTTTAGTGCACCGCCATTGCAAGCTGGATGTGTTTTATGTTTTGTTTTGCTTGTAAAAAGAGCGCTTTGTGCTTTTATTTTCGCTACTACTGCCGCTCACCTACAACATGCATCAAAGTTGATTGTTGCGAAATTTATTGCATACTATTTGGCCTGTATGGCTGAACATTTATTACGCTTGTTGCACTTCCTGTACAGCCGGGATTCCCCCGGCGTCGCTGTCTCCAACCGTCTGGGCTATTGTTTAGGAACCGTTGAACCATTCAAACAACCATTAAATGTTGCAACTTTTATAAATAATCGACCACTTTCGTTCTAGCCGACATGTGTAGTTCAGCGATCCAAATGAATATTTTTTGCCTCTATCAAATGCTGGCATTACTTAAAATAAAAATGATGAAAAATGATTAAAAACAAAAAAAGAAAGACAACGTCTGTGGAGAACGTTGATTAAAATTTATGAAGGCAAGTTTCATTAAAACTCTTGGCAAGCTCCTGCCAAAAACATTAACGTAAGCCGCACACTTTGCGTGCAGGATGGCTGTAGCAATAAAAATTAAGCTAGCATACATCTGGGCTCCCGTCTGTGTCCCGAATGTAAGTCATTCCATTCCCCGTGTTTTTGGCCTTGTCTCTCCCTGCGTGCGTGTGCTACTCTTATGAAAATTAAAAATTCTTTCAAGGGCCATAAAAAAGAAATATAAACAAATGGACAGGCTGCTGGCTAGCAAAAGAGTTTGTCCGTTGAACAGGTGAATATTTTATGGAAAATGTTATTCAACCGAAGGGGTTTGGCACACAAGTCCAGAATTAAAGCTTCGCAGGACTATCTTCAGTGTATTGTTTAAATTTAAATGATTGCTTGTCCAATACAATTAAGTTTGAAAATTAGAATTTGGAAAACCTTTAGTTATCCTTTAAACTATTTAATCAAATTATATGGCTATATTTAATTAAGAGAATAAGAATATAAGTAAAAGTTTGAGAGCGGTATAATCAAAATTTTCAAATTACGATTCTTCTTGAGAGTTTTTCGAGAATAAAATAAAAAGTTTAAATACTTTCAATTTAGAACACCTTTTCAAATCTAAAATTAGAAAAGTTTTAAGCGATTTCGTAAGCTATTAAGAGCCACAATAGTTTCAAGCACCAGAGTTTGATCCGTTTTAACAGGAAGAAAACTAAAAGACACGTTGACAAAGGAAAAAGGGCGCTAGAGAGCCAAAGTCCCAAGCAATTCTTCCACCTATTTATGTGGCCGCTGTAAATGTGGCAAGACATTGGTTGCGGGTTAGTTTGGACGTGGCACACATGTGGCACGCCACACAGCTGCACTTCCGCTAGCGCAGTCATTTTCATATTCTGCAACTTCCGCCGCTCGCACATTTACACTCACAAAGCCAAAAGCCCCACGAAACGCACACGCTAACACTTTGGCTACCAAGGACCTGGGTCCTTCGACTTTGGCTTCAGCTTCAGCTTCGGCTTCAAACGCTTGGCTGCACGCCCAAATGGGATTATTAATTTAATTATGCTTTAATTTAAGTAGTCCTCGTTGTCGTCGTTACAAAGTGACATTTATGGGGCGGCTGGCTGGCTTTCTTCTTCCCCATCTCCACCGCCCAAGTTCATTCACATAAAAGTGTGCAAAGTTTCAATTTTGGTAATGCAAGTGACGACGACTTATCGTCAACCGAAAAGAAACTCAACTGACCCCTCCTCTACCCGCATCCTTACACTCGAGGAGTGAAGGACATGCCCCCGCTGGGAGAAAGCCGTTCTAGTCATGCACATTTTGGCAATTACTGTCTCATTTTCAACAAAAGTGACTGTCAACTCTTTCGAGCAGGAGCAAATGACAAGGAGAAGCTCATAATTTAAGCATTAAACTTTTCCCGAAATGCTTTCAAGTTGACTTGCCTTAACTACAGTTTTACGGCTCAAGTAAATAATTGCGTGCAGACCCCATTTTCCATTTCCCTCAGCCATTTCCTCCCGGGCCACAGGTTGGTCACGTCAAGTGGCAAGGCGATTGTAATGATGGAGCCCAGCAATTAAAGAGTTGGAGCCCAGGTCGCAGGTCGAGGGGCCATCATCCTAGCAGCTGCTGCCCTATTTTTTTTTGGGGGGGAGGGAGGGGTGTGTAGCTGCCACGTGTAAGTTTCGAACAAAAGAAGGCATAAAAATGTCATATAAAAAATAAGACGATGTTGCAAGCTGAGCACTCGGCTATATTCGAGTCAAGCAGCCCGGAGTTGCTTTTAAGTTTTCGAAATTAAGGTTAACCTGCTGAGTTATATGGCCTCTATTCGCTGTTTTACGCCCCGGTAATCCTGCGAGCAATCCAACTCAATATTCAGCTAGTTAAAACTTAAGTATCCACTTGAGGAAAGTTGTGTTTAATTTTAACTAGGCTTTTATTATCATGTTTGCTTATATTTTACAAGATCTGGTTCTTGATATTCACTTAAAGGAATGTGTCGGGGCTAAGAGGGGTATTAATTGTGCGCATTTTTATACCCTTGCAGAGGGTATTATAATTTCAGTCAAAAGTTTGCAACGCAGTGAAGGAGACATTTCCGACCCTATAAAGTATATATATTCTTGATCAGCATCACCAGGAGAGTCGATCTAGCCATGTCCGTCTGTCCGTCTGTCCGTCCGTCCGTTTCTACGCAAACTAGTCCCTCAGTTTTAAAGCTATCTGCTTGAAACTTTCCCAAAAGTTGTCTTTCTATTGCAGGTAGTATATAAGTCGGAACGAGCCGGATCGGGCCACTATATCATATAGCTGCCATATAACTGAACGATCGGAAATGCCATAACTTTGGTGTTTTTAAAGTTAGGAAGTTGGGATTTCCTATGAGTTTTATTTTTGGCCAATTAATCCGACCTACCGAATTTCATAAGGATCGGACGACTATATCCTATAGCCGCCATATAATTGATTGATCGGAAATGCCATAACTTTGGTATTTGTAAAGTTATCAAGTTGGGATTTTCTATGGGTTTTATTTTTGGCCAATCAATCCGACCTACCAAATTTCATAAGGATCGGCCGACTATATCCTATAGCTGCCATATAACTGAACGATTGGAAATGCCATAACTTTGGTGTTTTTAAAGTTAGGAAGTTAGGACTTTTTATGAGTATTAAGAATATATGAATATATGAATAATTTTGAAGAATATAATTTACAGAATATTCTGCAAGGGTATATCAACTTCGGCTCCGTCCGAAGTTAGCTTTCCTTTCTTGTAAAAGTTGAAAATTGGTAAAGACTAGTTTAAGTTATGTTATTGTGTATTGTTGAGGACATAAAGGGATATTATATATCCAATAGTACCCAATGCAGGACAATTGAAATCAAATATCCATACCCAAAATACGCATTCAATTCTGTCAAATACAATTTCTAGTGCACCTGCTCAAGCAAAGGAAACCATTATCCTTTGAATTGCTCCCAGACAGACCCTTCGTTGACACTTCCATTCAGTTGAGTTCATCTGCTCACACACACAGCCCATTAAGACAATTGGCTCTGGCGAAACCAATTTCTGATAAGCCTCTTTTGCTTAAAAGCCAAATTATGATATTTGAAAAAGCCCAACATTTTTCTGTTACTCCTTTCCTTTTACTTTTTGCCAATGAGTGTGTTCCCAACCCCGAGAAAGTAATTTCCCCAGACGCTGCGCCAGAACCTTTTCAGCAAAAAAAAAAAAGGAAAGCGTAAGGGAAACAGGGAAAAACCGTGGTCACTACGGCAAAGGTTTTTTTTATTCCTTCCGTTATGCTTTTTATTGAACAAAAGCCCAGAGGGACTATTTGGCGAAATAAAAATAAAGGTATAATACTCAATAATATTGTCGCTGGTCGTTGCCCGCTTTATTCTATTGGAAGCATACCCGTTCTCGGCTCGAAGGACTAAATTAACTACCAACTGCCAAAGAGTATGAAAATGACCCACGAGGTAATTTTAAATAAATTATTTATAAATGTATTTGTGCACTGAAGTGCGACCGCTGTCATTTGCCTTTGCCATACGCTGAAGAGGAAAATGTTGAAGTCCAAAGGAACTTAATAAACCAGGGAATTCAGAATAATAATTCTGGGTAGGAATTATTCTTACTTTAAGAAAATGTCGTTATAATAAATCTACCAGACAAGCGTAATTTTGGAGATTTTTTTATGCCTTGAAAAAAGACCAGATTAAGAGTATTTTATAAATATCGTTCATATTTAACTGCTTTGTTTTGATTTTGTATGTTCTGTTTTAGAAATATATGCCTGGTTAAATAGTAAAAGAATTTTAAAGATTTTTTTGACGTTTTCTAAATGCGTTTCTAATATTTTATTATATCTAAAGACTTTTCTTTGGCCATTCCTTAACATTTCTTTGCGAAATTCGGACCAACCCGAGGGCTGGTAGTAAAGAGGAGTGTATAATAATCACATTAATATATCCAGCTAAGGCGATTGGGTGTACGACAAAGGAATGAGGGAACGTCGCCATAAGGTCCTTCGGGCTCTCGAGACGGTTTTATTAAAATAATAAAGTTCTAATTTAATTATGGCGCGAACAAAATGAAGTACGACTGCCGAGTTACTTTTCATTTGATAACTCACGTACCCCCGCCACCGAGGACCACGCCCACATTATCCACCGCCCACCTTGTGTCCCTGCAGGCTCTAATTAGCAGGCGGCGGCCGTATAACCGAAAAATCAACGCGCTCTGGGAAAAAGGACTTGGGGGTAAGGAGTACAATAAAGGACCATAAAGTGCTAATTGAATAAAACGGCACATGACTTGCATAACTTATTATGTGAAATATATATTCTCGCCACTCGGTTTGGCGTCATTGGGAATGCAGACCCAGGATCCAGGATCCAGAACCCAGGACCCTGGGATCTCCCACAATAGAGCAAAGCAAACCCGTCCGAGCCTCACCTCAGGCGAAATATTTATTTTCATAAATTTAAAGCGCGCTTTAAGGCAGCCGACGGGGGGATGCCAACAGGGGAGTGGGGGGGATGGACGTTTAGGGCACCCAAAAGGATATTTAGCTGGCGGAAATACTTTTACGTTTCGTTTAACGCGGCAAAGATGGTGCCAGTCTGGTCGGACCCTCCTCCCCCCTTGAACATTCCACACCTTTTGAGGGAAAAAGAAAAAGTTACTCGGCCCACGTAAAACTAATTTAACCCGCAAAAACCTTCTACTTCTACTTCTACTCCGGCGTCCACAAGCGAACACGGCGGCCACTTTGGTTCGTGTTGCGCTAAATTAGTCGACCTCCACATCCGTGAAAAGCGAGCAAAAAATAACAGAATCCAACAAATAAGCCCGGACTATGTTTGCATGGAGTCTCATCGTTGAAGCGGTAAAAATAATTTCACCTTGGGGAAATACATGTAACAGTTTTTAATTTGCATCGCTGTAGGCCAACAAAAGGCGATGGATAGTTTGGTCAGCGTTTGCAATTGCAAATGGAGGAGTCGGTGGAAAGCTAAGCCAATCTATTTCGCTTGAATGGTATATTAGAAGCCATTTGAGAAGTCGTAACTACTTTGACGATGGGAATAACTTTTATTTTATTCATTGAAAAACTAGTTCCAATTATTAACTATTCGTTTTTTAATTCTATAACTCATAATATTACATATGCGACTTAAACATTTAATATAAATTCTCACAGGCCTTTTCTTTTGGCAGTATTTTAAATGGTTAAACATTGTTTATTATTCATTAAAGCAATAATTACCAATTTAATTAACTTTTCATAGTATAATCTTTTAAACTTGTATTTTTAACATATTTATAAGCTTCCAATTACAAATATAATTCAAAAAACTTTTTCCTAACAGGACATGCACTTTACAAAATGAATACCATCAATGAATATGTTTATGTTTTCGGACCTTTTTTATCTACTGCCGAGATAATCTCTTTGAACATGTCCTTTGAACAGCATACACCATAAAAAAGAACCCTAGTTAATCTCAGGGCATTTGAAAGTCAGTCGCTGCATGGGAAGGACATTCCAGGGAGCACACTCAATTGTTTGGCAGGCTGTCATTACGCGTAAGCGACCATTTCATTAGCATTGCGGCGCCAGAGGCCCGATTCTGGAACCCAGAGCCTGCGAGGACATCGCGTAATGTTTTTGTTAACGTCGTTGTTGTTTCCTTGCCATGCCCAACACGTTCCAATTGTTAAGGCCCAGCTAGGTGGATGGCCTGCTGGAAAACATTTGTCCGATCATCGCGTCCCGGCAATTGAAATAATGCCCCTCCGGCTCACTCCGCGATTTTCTAAAGGCCCCAACCCCAGTCCCCCCGCTTTCCATTCGATTCGGTTGTCAACGTGACCATTATTGATGTCGTTTTAAAAGGCACTCTTTAATGCATATTTATGTCAATATTAATGTCAATATTTGAGCCTCTAATGACCAGCGGCCCTGGCCTCTGCAGATGGCAGCTTTTGTGTTAGTTTTGCCCACTTTGCCCCCGTTTGATGTGACACAGATCGGCGATAACGATGCGACCTGACATTGAACATATAATTATCAAATGCTGCCAATGCTGCGACGCCTGATTAAAGGACCCGGCGACATTTTGTTGACATTCGGAAAGTTTCTGAAAGCTGAAAAAGGTCCGTCTCCCCCACCTGCAATTCAAAGGACGAACTTTGCTCGGGTAAGAGTAGGTAGATGGCAGCCCTGCTACCTGACAAAAGTCAAACGTTAACTAAGCGCCCAAAAACTTGCGACACAAAGTGCGTCGAAGCGTAAGTAAACTCCTAAGAAATTCAAATGAGCGTAAGGAAAAAAGCAGATGGAAAAAATAATAAAGATGAAACCCGCTCGAAAAGGTAACAGACACAGTCTGCGACTACAGTTTTAATAAATGAAGTCTTTGGTCCATTGAAGTTGCCGAGCGGACATAATGTAACATAATGCATAGCAGATGGAAGATAATCAAAGTCTACTTCTATACCTAGCTTACAAAAGTAGAAATCTAATATTTGTATACAGAAATTATTGTTTAAATGCATCACAGGCTTTGAATACCCTATTAGTCTTTTGATTTTTGAAATTAAACAGCCAATAACATATATATAAAGCTAGTCAGTTTTATATTTCCTTTTGTTTGAGCTTATTTTAATTAGGTATTTAAAATGAGTTACATAGAACAGTGAACCAAATTGGTTTAAATTGGTTAAAATTGGTTTAAGTGTTGACATTGGGCATCGAATATCACGTTTGAATTTACGTAGCTGAAGACTCTTAAATAGTAAGGAAAAGTATATATATATTTAGTCCTTTTTAATTTGGTAATTCGTTCATATGTTACTTGGAGACTTAGATGAAAGTATTTCAATAAAACTTACTCACTAAATTGTACTTACCGTCCTTGAGTGAGTAGCGCGGATTGGTCATATCAACCTTTGTCTGATTCTTAATCCAGTAAATGTTGGGCGTGGGATTGCCGATGGCTTTGCATGTCATGAGGACCGTGTGACCCACTTCAATGACGCGAGTGCCTGGACCCTGGGTTATAATCGGAAAGCCTGAGGGTGTTTTTTCGCCTGCAACGGAGAGAAAGTCGCGAATAACAAAGGGTTAAAAATTATTATGTTGCGAAATACAAGTAGCAGGCGAAAAATGTTCATATGCCAGTTTAAGGAGGTGCCGGGGGTCTAGGAGTTTTGGACAAACAATATGGCGTTGCACACACAAACACACCAGAGCAAAGTATTGTTTTACACGACTCTTTTATACGTACGGAAGTTGCCGTTTTCTGCTATTTTTTTTATACACATATTTTTGTGTGTGAAAGCTTGGCTGCGTCGTCAGTTGCTTTTGTTGGCGCTTTCTACGCCATTTTGTAAGTCAAACAATGGCGTTCCCGCACTCCCACACCCGCACACACACGCACACGCACACACGCAGTATATGCATATAAGTATTTGTGTGAGGTCAGCATTTACCCCTACTCCGGGTGACATTTCCTTTGTTGCAACGCGAGCCAGCTTTAAGGGAATTTCAGTTCAGTTCTGTTCCGTTTTCTTCCCTTCCCCTATTGCGAAACCTTGTCCCTTTTTTGCGACAAGCTTAAAGAAAACTCTCGCGGTGGCTGTCAAGTGGCCCCGGCTGCGACTGTCATCTGCCCTCCCAACTGCATCTTTCAAATGAACAAAGCTCATTTACATTTTCCAATTAAATCCGTCGGCGGCCATGGCAATTGGCAAAAACGGAGCACAAGGAGAGGCACCGAGGATGAGGATGAGGATGACGATGAGGATCAGGATGTGGATGCAGATGAGGAGCCAGTGGAAGTGGATGCGGATGATTCCAACTGCCATCGTTGCCGGCAGCAGCTGCCATTGCATTCCATCTGCCGACTGTTGCCGACGGATCTGTTACTCTATGCGAAAGAGTTATAATGACTAAAGGTTTTCGGTCTATTTTTAAAATTTATACTCCCCCAAACATCGATATTTATTTCAATTCAGAAGTATATTAGTAAAATGGCAACCAAAATTCTTTTTTAAAATATAAAAATGTATTGTAGTCATGTATGTAGTACATGTAGTCATCTCATTAAACTTGTATAAAATACCCAGTATTGACAACCATTAAATAGAGCATCAATAGATTTAGTCTATGGATAAGTACCCTCAAAAGGACTGAGAAAAACTTGAATAACAGATATAAATGATTTAGATTCATAATTTCTCTGTCATCTCAAAATAGGTAGTATAGTTTTTGGGCAAGAGTATATGCCCGTTGCTGCTGCCCCTTTGACTTTTCTAAGCCAGTTTTTTGGCATTTACTGAAACATTTAACAGCGACAAAGTCCACAATAAACGGGCGCCCAGAAGTTAGTTGCAGTCGGTTGTTTTTTGCTCTGGCCTGTCCCTGTTAACTGCTGCATCCCTTGGTTCCTCTGCATTCCCCGAATATTCTGCCAAAATGTCTTGCTTCTCACTTAGTTGTGCGGAGCTCTTGCTCCTTCTGGTGGAATCCTGATGCAGGATTCGGGCCCTCTGCGTTTGCGTGTTTGTGTGTTTCCAGCGTGAAATTAAAATTTTAACACAGAGGCAAAAAATGCGGTTGAATGTGAATATGTATATGCTTTGCACAAAGGCATAAAATGCAAAACTACAGTACCAAAAAGAATAAACAACAGCGGCATTGATGTTGACATTTGACGTTGCCGTCATCATCATCATCATCATCCACACATCGTGTCCCAATGTCCTTCCGCACTTTCGTCCCAATGTCCTTCCTCTCAGCCCTTTATCCCATATTGTCTGTTGCCATTTTCAGTCATTTTCACATCACCCCTTCCGATCCCTTCCCGCCGTTTGTTTCGTTGCTTTATTTATTATTGCAGTGTCACTTCTTCGCAAATGCATAACGAAACAAACACACACGGCGACGAAACAAAAAAATAAAGGCACAAATGGAAAATAATGAAACTGGGCCAAAATTAACAAATAAAACTTCAACATTTCTATTAAACAATGTAGAAAACTGCATTCTATTTGACTAACAAATATGCATGACTGCATACAGCGACAAAACTCCGACTAAGCGTATACCAATGAACAAAAAAACTAAAGGGATAAATCCTCTTTGGAAATGGTTCCGTTTTGCCAATGGTTGAGCGAAGAATACTGAATGTTTGTATATGATAGAACTCTGAAAAGCCAATCAGAGTTGCACCAATTTGGGAAAAGCTTGAATTCTTTTTTCTAATGGTTTTCAAAATAAGAGAAGTACAAGAGTTTAGTTCACCAATTTTTGAGAGAATATTTGTTTATGGAACTAAGATAGGAATCTGTAAATTGATGTGGATTAATGGAAAGGTTTACATAAATAAACTCGTATGATTTAAATGTATACAGAAATATACAAACGAATTTAAGGTTAAAGAGACCTCTAACTGGCTTTCCTTTTGATTAGCACACTATACTCGTACAAACACAAATTCAGCATAGATAGCCCTGCTTTCGACAGGCTATAATGCAATTTCATGGGACGTTCCACCCGCTGCAAAACACTTTGAAAACCTTTCATTATGTGACAAAAATTGCACAGCCTGTTCTCGCAACTGACGACAAGTGCCACACGAAATATCCACAACAACAGTTCACACTTAACACTGAAGCTGCCGTACGTTGTTCGCCAGTTGTGCGAACGGAAATTTTTGGGTAAAATGCCATGGAAAAGCTGGCCAACACTTAATTTACAGCATTAGAGCGAACCGAGCAGAGGCAAAAATGTGTTGCACGAGAATGCCCATGGCCCAAAAATATAGAACGCATGGTTGGGCAGCAATATGTATGTGCAAGGCGGCAGTGCGTGGCCAAAAACTGATGAAGGCAGGCAGGCAGTTTTGTTGGGATTTATTAAAAAACCAAAAGCAGCAGCAGCAGCAACATCATCACACCATCGAATTCGTTTGACATTTTCATGCATTTCAATTAAGCTGTCGTCTGAGTGTGAAAATGTACAAGGCTAAATGGTTGAATAATTCCGAAGTTGGGGGGCTGAACAACACATAAAGACTGACTAGACGGCAGCACCACCACCAACACCACCGCCACCTTGTTAATCTCGGCGACAGATTTTAATGAATTAGCTAATAAAAAGGACGAAAGGACCTCATGGTTTCCTTTCATATGGAGTACGTAACGCGTATGTCTTGGAAACGATAAACATCATTAGTCGGCACAAAGAGCTTTATTTGCATCTCGTCTGCTTTTAGGTGCCACTGACCCCCCGCGAGGATGAATGGAATCCGACGTGATTCAGGTTTTCGCCTTATCGAGTCCATTTCAAAAGGCACATTTTCACGCCGTGTTTTTTTTCCACCTCTTTTGTCTATGGTCAAAGAGATGGAAAATATGTTGTTTACCGGCTGAAGCAAGACACGTTGGATGAATGTCACTCAAACCAGGTGTTGGGCATGGGCAAACATTTTCGGAGCGAAGTGCTTTAAGCAAACTCCACTTTTTGGCTTTAAAGTCACCGACGATTTCGCACAGCGACACAACGACGAACGCCTGGTCACAAGGCATAAATTTGCATATTTTAATTATTCATGCATTTTTAAGATTGATAAGGAATGTTGTGGCCGAGCGGTGGGTCGTCGTCGTCGTCTGTCCAAGGATTTTTGTAGCCCCTTTGCCCGAGGCTAGTTAAAACACCATTTTCCATTGGTCAGCAGAAGCAGCAGATCCGGAAAATTTAGACCCCACCCTGAATGACACAAAGTGTGAACTGGCATGGCAAAAGAGTTGGAAATATGATTAAATTGTAGCAAAATAAAGTTTATATATTTTGATTATTCTTCAAATTCACAAGGTTAGAATTTGAACTAACAAAATGTTGAGCACAGTAAGTAAATAGTTTTAAAAGGCTTTATTTAGTGGCTTGGATGTGCTACGACCTGTAGTATATTGTTCGTATTTAATTTTCAAAGCAAATATTTTTTGATATTGTAAAAACTTAAATTGGTTCTGGTTTTTCAAATTGGGAAATGTAAATAGCTGCCCTTAAAATGCTAGTAACTCTAACAATACAAAATCGAAAGCGAACCATAATACAAATTATCCGGTTTTAAAAGTAATTTGAAATGAACTTTCAAAACAAGTTCACAGTTATTTTTAATTTAAATAATCCCCAAAATGTATTTCTCTCTTTAGGGAAACACAATTATTTTTTAAGACTCTCCCTGATGAAAAATCCAATGAACAAGAAAAGACAAAAGCTAAATCAAGCAATCCAGAGCAAATCAAACTTGGTGTCAACTTATTTCGGATTATACTCGACAAACTTTTCTTCTTCTGAGTAGCCAAGCAATTGAAAACAAATCAAAACCGAGGAAGAAGCCGTGGCAGCCACACGGTCCACAATTGACAATCTTGAGATATATATATATATATATTTATAGGCCGGCGAACGCTGGAGCTGGAGATAAAAGCTGGGGCCAACCAGAAAGTTCCTCACCGACTGAGCAAACAGTTACGGGCTTCTAAGCAAAGTTTCCAGCTATAGTTAAGGCAAAATCCCAAACAAAACATGCTCGAAAATTGAGTGTTTATTGTGTTAAGTAGACGACACACTCACACACAACCACCGATGGGGGATAGAATGGGGTCTACGGGCGCTAGACATCCAAAAACCCAGAGGAAGTGAAAAGTGTGCGACAAGACGAGCCAAAGCTGAAGAGCCTCTGGCAGAGTAAATAACCGTTTTTTAGTGGCAGGCTGGTTGGCTGGTTGGCAAAAAAAAAAGACAACTGGCTAAAGATGTTAGACAATGCCAACAATAAAGCCGCAAGTGCCGGCGGCTTCAGTAAAGAATAAAAAAAAAGGAACAAAAAAAAAAGTGGAACCCAGAGCAACACGAGGAAGTTTCATGCCCAAGATGTCGACAAATTTGTGGCCAGTCAACACTTCCTGTTTCCGGATTCGCATATGCCATGCGGCTGTGTGTGCGACTCGGACTGTCTATAAGTGACATCCAGAAGCCCCATTGATCAGCGTAATGAAGGGGCCGACGTTTCCCTAATTGC